CATTATCGCGAGCATGGTGAAGCCCATAATCGACATCACAGCCCAATACCAATCTGAGCCGCGGACAGTGATATGAATATCAACAGTCCTGTCGTTCACTATGAAAGGATTAACGTGGGTTGCCCTGTTGCCGCCCATTCTGTCGTTAGTGGTAGGACTATTGAAGATCCAGATAAGAAAGACAAGTCAGATAGGTTCTCAATGACATAGCCCACAGGCGGACTTTATGACCCGTACTTGAAAAACTATCAGAAGCAAATCTGCGTGTATCACCAGAGCCACATGGGTATATATCATGCACTAATAAACGAGTCATTGATGTAATCGATTCCGTTCTCTTATGCTAGCCATGCGTGCATGTATCTTGGTTCCGATTTGTTTACACTGAAAGACTGGAGTAACTTGGTGCGGTACGACTGTATCTACTCCGGTCCGTGTGGACCGGCTGTCGCGGACTTGTGGGCTGCATGCAAAGCAAGCGGACGGGGACGAAGAAACAGAAATAGGCTGGTCCTTTGGTGTGCTGCTGGATCGAACCAAATACTTGCAGGCCACGTTCGCCATCCTGCTTCCAGCCGCTGACCCTCATACAATTGACACCGGTGTTGAACGTCATAGCTATTCAATTCGGAAAAAGCAGCAAGTCTAGGCTCTCTTTTAGGCGAGCCGGTCCGCGCGGCCCTGCAGGGATTTCAGTCTGTGTCGATCATTCCGTGCGGATTGTAGATCTGATATATGTACTGTACCAACTTGGCTTAGCTCACCATAGTAGTCGATGATATGCAAGATCATGTCACCAGGGTGAGGATCCACTTATTCTTCTAATACTGTCTTAGGTGTACAGTACTCTACGCGGTGATTCTTCATTTGTACCAAGATTGATATCCAGGTATAGTTGAAAGGGCTTATCTTGCTTGAGATGTATGGAAGTTACACCCAGAGAAGTCTAGTGAATAGGTGATGGTACGTCACGAGGCAATATGGGATATCCAGGCCAGCCGTACTTGCTTCTAGTCATAGCTGTGGACTTATGGCCCATCCAATTGATATGTATTATATACAAAGCAAGGGACCAAAAAAAACAAAAAAACGAAAAAGAAAAGGCTAGATACATAGAAGCCTGAGTGAACTAAATACCACAAAGTTTCATACAGAGACACAACACCACGATTACAAACCCCCCCCCCCATTGCTTACTGATCGGAAGAAGCAGAGTTGCTATCCATCATCATTGCCGCGCCCTGAGCGTGGCAACTCCCACTGCCATTGGTACTAGTACTCAACCTACTCTTACACCAATGCTTAAGCGAATGAAACGTCCCATGAGTAAGAATATTCTCAGAACCCCACCGCGAGCTTCGCCCACTCTCCTGGATGACAGCCGGGGGCGGAGGCTTGGGCTTTCGCGGATATCGCAAGTAGTAGAACGCCTGGCGACATATAGGACACCTTGCGTCAAAATTGCAGACCCAGTCATCGGCACAGACTTGGTGGAAGAGATGCCCACATGGAAACTCCCGTAGGACGGACGTTGAGACTATCAGCTCAAGACAGATAATGCAGCATTCTAGATCTTGGTCTGTATTTTGGTTTTCATTCGCTTAGAGCACTATTCGATGCAAAGTATGGTATGCTGGGGTTGAGGGGATGGGGAAATGAACTTACGAGGTGGAATATCCGGAAGGCCTTGGAATGTTCGTAGTTCCGATAAGTCGAATTCGTATTTGGAGGCACGTTGTGGATGCATGGTTATTAGAAGGAGAATGAAAAGAAGGTATTTGGGGGCAGACTGGGCAAGTAACCTAGGGCCGGCGGCGGTAATCCCATTTTATTATCACCACGACCTCGACACGAATTCTCGTGCCAGCTCAGAAAAAAGCATCAAAGGTCAGATTAAATGATCGCCGTGAAGATCTGCGTGGTCGGAACAGGGTTCTGCACAGAGTAGACTGGGCTGTTCCGCATCACGCCCTGCCACGCAGAAAGACAAACGCGGGTGTACCGGCTAGAGTGGAAGACACGGAAATCACAACAGTATTTGTTGAGTGGAAAGGTTTGGACCCAGTTGGTAAGAGGTTAACCCCAGACAATAACGATACTATGGCATTGCAGGCTATTACATACACGTTCCAAGGCGCGAAGAATGGGGCGGCCTGATGCTGAACGAACGATTCACATCAGGGATGCCCTGTTATCTTGGCTCGCGATATTGTATAACCATTAAGTTACATGTTGGAGGTAGCTTCATACGGAGACTGTGCTAAATGCTTTTCAGACGCAGGAGATGTGTCCGACAGGTGCATATATTGTTGTTAGAAGCTGGGCTGCGGCCATATCTTCCACCCCTCTTGTATTGACCTCCGGCCTTGCGAGGACGATTCGAGCTGTCCACGCTGTTACAGAACAATTTACTACTCGAGACCGCGGGTGATAATTATTAACAGCCAGCGCAGTGCTGTCCCACTCTAGACTTCCATTTACGGATGATTTAAGAGTCGCAAGGGCCTGGTTGGTTCTTCATTGTCTGAATAATGTCCGATCCTCGCCAGAGTCATAATATCCAGCTCTCATAAAGGTAACAGGCGTGTTTCAGAGACACAAAGGTCCATGGATTTGGAATATCCTTCGCATGTCCGTCGTGTGAAAATACATTGAGTGCATGCCGGACGCTTTCCATCACACTGTGATCAAGGTCAGCAGTTCAGCGACATGGAAGGCATGCCTGCCGAGTCTTACACCTAGTTTTCGTCCGCTGCAATTGTTGCAAACGGAGCGCCGCTATGGCTTCATGGGCATGAAACCGAGATCGATGCAGACAAAGACTTGAGGGCGTGAGTGTCTATTGTTGATGGCGGCGAGGAGAGATGTTCATGACAGAGCGAGGGTGGCGATGTGCAGGCATGTGATGCCTCAGGACTCAGGGTATATCATCTGCATGACTCCTCCAATGCAAATTGTCAAATAATGAACCGATCGAAGGGTACTAGTAGTATGAGGGATGCTCCTTGGGTCCACCTCCCCAAGACAAGATTTGCAGTGGGCCCCATCTTGGCGGTTTTATATGCCCGAATCGAGAAATGGCTTCATATCTCCCGCTGCCAAAAGTCCGACACCGAACGTTCGAGCCACATTTGGTGGACAATATTTGGAATCTGTTTGTCTTTAGCTTGGAGATGATATGGCAAGGATTCATCTTGTGGGTAAGCCCTACTGCGATGGCCACCGCATTTAGAATTAAACTCCGCTACTATTTCAACTAAGCAGGTTTGATCAGAAAGATGGGTGGATATGCGTACACATGCGGCCAATTGTTGGAAATGGGTTATCTCCTGAACGCCTTTATATATTCCCCATCCCCCCGAGAAGAAAATGACCAAACCGACACCCACTTTTCGCAACCAAATTTCACATCCCCTCCAAACCCCGAAGATGGCCATCGATCACCTTAGTCTTCACGTTCCCGAGGCCAAATATCAAGAATGCCTCAAGCTCTACCTTGCCGCACTAAAGCCACTAGGGTACGAGATCCGTCAGCAGCTTGATGGGAAAGCTGTGGGAATGGCATCGAGCTTGGATACTGGCTTTGTTGCTCCTGCAGACTTTTGGGTCATTAGTGACAAGGACGTCCCAGCCTACCCCTCACACCTTGCATTTCGTGCACCTGGTATGTCTTCTGGAATCCACATAGAATCGATTTCATGCACTAACAGATGTAAGACCGTGCCAGCGTTGAAGTCTTTTATAACGCGGCTATCAAGGCCGGAGGTGTGGACAACGGTAAACCTGGATTGCGCACGATGTACCATGCGAATTATTACGGGGCATTTGTCATTGATGCAGCTGGTAACAATATTGAGGCAGTGTGCCATCGACCTTAGAAGCGCCACCGCGGGTATTCCAATGATGGGTGAGCAGGTGGATATTTTCTTGATGAAGCTGTAGATGCGTACAAAAGTGTTCTTTATCTATTGGCAACGTCCTAAGCGTGCGTTGGAGAAGCCATACAGTGCTCCAGTACAATTAAACGCTATATTACTGTGATAGAGCTGAGCAAGGAAGAGACAGGAGTCATCGCGACTTTTTACTGTCTATACACAGAATATAGATTTTTAGAAAGACTTAAAGATCTAGAGACAATAGATATAATATAAAGTAAGAAAATTGGCTGGCGGCGACACTGCTATAACGATTCGGCCCACAGAATCTTCCTATAGTTCTGTGAGAATGAAGAAATTATTTAGAAAAAACTTAAAATACAAAAGCTAAAGCGAGCCTTACAGTTCAGTCTTTAACAGATATTTATTTCAGCTGCAGGCTAAAAAATAATAAGAATTAGAAGATCCACAAGAAACAATAAATAGAGTCCAATTAGAAGAGAAGCCCCTGGCTTATAGAATATAGATATTAATATATCAATATATAGATCTCTTTATATATACTTTTTTTTCTTACTAAGAGAACTGTTATAGTTAAGCAGGGGCTTACTCATTAATTAGAGTAATATAGAATCAGTAAAGCTACTTTTCTCTCCGAAGAAATAGAAAGAGAACTCGAAAAGTGCCTCGATTATATATTCGACACCCAGTCTGTATAGTTTTAATCCGGTAGACTTGGGAGCATAAAGCTTTCTTCTGATAAAGGATTGACGCCCCACTTGTGCTCCTTTTGCGAGAAATAGATAAACAGTTTTCAATGTGCGTTGGTTGAATTCACGGCGAAACAGGCTTATATTGATTTGCAAAGTTGGAAAAAAAGTGAATAAATCACAGAGAAAGTAAGCATTGTCGTCGAATCCTTACTTTGCCTCTTACATCCCAGGGGTTGATAGGTCAAAAGTCTTCAAGCCCCAAGTGATCCGCCTCGCGTGGTGTAGGACTGGACTGTTTTACCAGTTGAAAGGGCAGTTTTAAGTCTCGGCACAGTCGAACCGAATTCATTCCCACTTGACATTTAATTTAGGATTAAAGGTCTCACTATACACATGCACTTATTCAGCAGTCCTATTTCGACAGCATCTTCTGCACTCGCTTGACGAGGCTCTGTTCAAACTGCTCCACCCCGTTCGACTGCTTGTTCAACTTGCCCGCTTTAACCACATACACAGCTCGGCTGCGAGCTGTGCTTTCTTCTGTCTCTTCCTCTAACCCCTCAAAGTCATCATCGAGCCTATGCTCTGTATCACGTTTGCCTTCCACAACGGAGCGGATCAGGAATCGGTCGTGGGATACGAGGATAATGGCGCCGTTGAAGGAGGAGAGTGCTGTTGCGAGCGCCGTAACAGTATGGAAGTCTAGGTGCGTTGTAACTTCGTCGAGAATGAGAAGTTGCGGGGCACTCCAGACAATACGTGCAAGGGCAAGGCGGACCTGTATATTTATGAGCAGGCTATTTCGATAGAGATAGAAGGGGGTTGAAGACTCAAGAATATACTTACTAGCTGTCCACCCGACAATTTGCTTACAGGCACATCAGATGCAATGCGACCTTGCAATCCCATAGATGATAGGAGCCCTCTCACTGCACCTTCATTGAGGGATCCATCTGCTTCGGTCATCAAGAGGCTGAGAGCCGTGAGACTGGGCTCCTCTCTTCCCCGTTCCTGAAGCTCCTCAACAGAGTGTTGACCATAATACCCCATTTTGAGTCGGGAGTGGGTGGTCACTTTACCCTTAGATGGGATAAGCTGCCCAGTCAATATCCGAATCAAAGTTGTCTTTCCTGATCCATTGAGACCCATAATGCCGACTCGATCGCCAATATGAACAACCATGTTGATATCATCCAGAATACCCGGCTCATTCCTCTTATATTGGAATGTAATACCTTCCAAAGAGACCAGTGGTCCTGGGAATCGTAGCGCAGTAGCATCAGGTAAACTCATACTCGCTCCTCTCTCATCGGTTGGTACAACGATCTCTGGTCGCACAAGATCTCGACTCAATTTGAAGCGAACCCCATTCGGACCAACCTGGAGTCCCATCCGATCATCAACTTTTTTCTGTCGCGACTTTGCCTGTCGAAGCTTGTTTTCGTCATTCGTTTTCTTTCCGATCTTTATATTTTCCCGGATAGTAGCTTCCATATGGGCAATCTGTCGCTCCTGCGCCTCTTTCATACGCCCCAGGTACAGCTTCTGTTCTTCATGGTATTTTTCATAGGCCGTAAGGTTGCCGCGGAAGTAGTTGAGCTTCTGGTCTCTGAGAATCACGATTTCTTCACAGACAGCGTTGACAAACTCTTTGTCGTGAGAAACGAAGAGAATGGTGGTTTCTGATGTCTCGCGGAGTTGTTGGAGGTAGTTTTCTAACCAGACTACTCCTAGTAGATCCAAGAAATTGGTCGGTTCGTCGAGAATCATGACATCGGGCTTCTGAATCAGAACACTTGCGAGCATGCATCTCATTCGCCACCCTCCTGATAGCGTAGCTACCTTTCTCTGCAGAGTTTCTTCTTTGAATCCGAGACCTCGTAGAATTCGTCGGGCTTCGTTTTCGATGTCTGCAAGTTTGAGCTTTATAACTATCAGCTGGATCCAACGTGATAGGTGAGGTTGAGGGGCCGGGGTCGGGGCCGGGGGGGGATATACATCCTCAAGCTGAGCTTGTAGATTCTGAAGCATCTCGGCTGCTTCCTGTGTATCCACTTGTACTGCCTCGGCATCGATAGCATCGGGTCCTTGAGAAAGTCTAGTTGAAGGTAAGCCATTTGCTCGAGGTGGCGGGCTCGATCGTCTCACAATTCTTCCGTTGATTCAAGCTTTGATTCGGCAACTTTCACATCCTTTCGTGCCTGTAGGCCTCTCGCACCACTCTTAAGGTTCGCATTCTTTTGAGCAAGAAAGAGTTTCTTTCCTGCCTGCTCATATCTGATTTTACGAAAGGCATGGACAGGCTCCAATGGGTCCTCTGTTTCAAAACTCTTGGCAAGGACTAGCACGATGTTAATGGTATTTTCAGAGTTATAGAAGATGGGGGGCCTATAGTACCATCGGCTAAGCGAACTGCCTCGTTCCTGGCCTCATCACTGCCAAGTACAGACTCCAAGACTGTCTTCTCCAGGTTCAGACCGTATGTACTTCCCGAATCATCTTGATCTTGCGTCTGTTGTAAGATTGCAATTCGAGTTGGGTGAGGGATCCCAGGGATAAGCTTTTCAGCCATCGCCCTCAGAAGGGCTAGTATGTATGTCAATGCTAGTTTACCTTGGCGGGATTCTTCATCTCTTACTTGATTTCCCAGTCCCATTTCGTCCAATTAATCCATAATGAATGCCTCCCTTTAGCCGAAGGTGTCCATCTGATATAAGCTCTCGTCCTGTTGCTTTGGCCTTGTATTTTCCTTTCGATTTTGTTTTCGGGGCATCGTCAGCTGAGTCGTGAGCTGATGTGACGGTTATTGAAAGACCCTCTATGTCTATCTTTTTGGAATACAGTTAGTGAATGCTATCGCGTCGGAGATCAATCCACTTACTTCCGGCGAAGGATTGTCATCTAGAAGGTGGAATCGAGTTTGTTTGCAGCTGGCAAGGATTGTAGGGGCGGAGGTCATAGTCTCGTCAATTGGGGAATAGAATCGCCGGGGGGTCAAACTGTCAATGTAGACGAACTCAAGTCGCGCTATGGTACACTCGATTCGAAATGAGCGCGTAAAACATAGATGAAGTTGTCAATGGCCGTGTTATGTCCTTGCGAGATTCATATACTCAGAGCGGAAAGCCTCGGCGCACATATGCCCATGCAATTTCTGCAAAAATTATCTAACCCTTCGCCTCGTATAAAGAAAGAGCCATCGCCCAGCAGAGCACAAGAACTCCTTACTGTTCATTTTTGCGTGACCTTCTCACGTCGGGCACTCGATGGGGTTTAGTTTGTTGCTGGCCGTGCGTTGGACGGATGGCGGGTGGTGCCGATGTGTCATCGGTTGAATCAACTGGTAGGTAATAATTTAGTCTATTATGCCTACGAAGCAGTGCTCCTATACTATGGTGGTAGAATGGCTGTTGACAATTACCGCTGTCATATAGAGTTAGCAGTGAAAGACAGGAGTGTAACCAAGACTCACAAGAGCAAGTCACCGTCGGGGGTCCTCAAGAGGTACTATTAGCATTCCTTCGATACACCTCTGTCATACCTATGAGTTATGCAAGCCCTATGTGATGTGATCCTGCATGTTTTGTATAAAAGCGGATCCATCGGTAGATTTTGGCCAAGGTGGAAGTTCCAGGAGTGTAAGAAGGTTCTCTTTGTTTGTTCCGTGGTATCATTGGTTTCTCTGCTAATTATTACAGTTTGAATTATTCTGGTTGTTTGGGGTAGGGGTACGAATCGTGAAGGCCGTGCTGAAGCTCCGATATATATATCCTTAGCCGCAGGGTATCTGCTCCAGCAGCCGAGTCTCAAGATGTTTTGTCAGGTAGCTCCGGATTTCCCGTTTGTTTCTCTTTGTCTTTCTTTCGGTTTCCTTCTAGCCTGTCCCCCTCTTCTTGTCAATCCACGAAGTATTGGTTTCTGCTACATGAGACAAGTCAAGGAGAAAGGTATCTATATAATCCTTATAGTGCGGACCGCACAGTACATACGACCATAGGGTGTGGAGAACAGGGCTTCCCGTCCGCTCAGCCGTACTTAAGCCACACGCCGGGAGGTTAGTAGTTGGGTGGGTGACCACCAGCGAATCCCTCCTGTTGTATGTTTTTTCTTTTTTTCTTTTTTTCTTTCCCCCCACCTCTCCCTTGCCATTCTTTCTTGAACTACTGCGACCTATGCATTCAATGCTCTTCCTTTGAAAGCGTTTAGCCTTGTCGTGGGGGAACCGTACCGGATCGGATCAGGTGACTACCACCGGAAGAACCAGGCTGTCGTTGTCGTTGTCGGACACTGCCGGGACTTCTTTCCTTAGTCATCAACGTGTCCTCCCCGGCCAGCCGGGGAGGAAGAAGAAGGTATACCGCATGCGCCAGGATAACACGACCCAACAGGGCGGAGACATTGTTCCGGCCCCTCCCTACAACTTGAATACAGTCAATCTTTTCCAATGCGGAATGGGTTCGGAAGCAGAGCTCTGCGACCTCGCCCACGGCTCCGAGCTGGCGGCTCTGTCTTGCCGAGAGTGTAGGAGACGGAAGATCAAGTGCAGCCGCGAGCTTCCCGCCTGTGGCGCCTGCATGGGCTCTGCGAACGCCTGTGTATATCCTGCGGGGCCTCTGAAACCCGGTCCCAAGGCTGGCCACTTTCGCCCATCGAAGAAAAGAAGGCTGGAGCTTCAAAGTCATTCGCCACGGCCGATAGACATGGGCTTGCGCACGACAGTTCCTCAACACAACACGAATGCTGAGCTTGCGGAGTCGTTTGTATCTCATTCCCCGGAACAGGGCTCGAGAATAGATGCCAGTGCCTCGAAAGAACCAAGTGGCGCCTCCCTGTCCAGTCAAAGTCCAGAGCAGAGCCCCGCTGTCACCCATCGAAGGCTTTCCTGGCTGGTTCATCCCAATCACGAACCAATATACAAGCCGTCAGATTGGACGGAACACTCGATGATCGAGCCGTTGACGGACCAATGTACGCCGCTTTCCCTCCCGGCGAGCCTCATGGAGTCGATTTGCGACACTCTCCACACTGATGAGGCGGACATTCATCACCTGTATGGATTCACTTTCACTCACCTTTGGTTTATGACCCGACAGAATGGACTGATGAGAATCTGCAAACCCATAGCGTCGCTCTTTACTTTGACAATATGATGTCGTTTACATTGTTCACTCCGCACTTGCTGAATATCAAGTTCCAAGCTGCGGCACCGTCGCACGTCGCTGCTTTGCTGGCGGCAATGTTCTCATTTTCGGCCCGGTTCCGACTAGACAGCACAAGTACGAATGGCGTTGCCGCTGTTGCTGAACATCCGCGAACATCGCCAGGTGTAAACGACTTTTACCGAATTGCGACAGCGTCCATTGACCAGGAGCTCATGGACCTCAAATCGCCACCGCCGCTTCTGTTGCTGCAAGCCATGGTCTTGTTAACATTTCATGACCTGATTGAGAGTGCAGAGGGTAAGGGGTGGCGATCCCTGGGTCGTCTGGTCCGCATCGCGTATGAGCTCCGGCTTCATCTGGTGGACCGGGATGTCAGCCATTTCTCAGTGGAGCATCCGGATACGTGGTCGATGAAGGAAGAACGTCGTCGAGCCTGGTGGGCAATCTGGGAGCTCGATGTTTTCGCTTCTACGGTCCGTCGACTTCCCCCTGCAATTGATTGGAGTCAGAACTGGGCCATGTTACCCGTGGACAATGAATGCTGGCTCCAAAAGAAACCGAAGCCAAGTTGCTATCTCGTTGCCGATCCCATGGAACGATCCAAGGTTCTTCAACACTGCGGCAGTCAATCAGAAAAAGCATGGTTTATTGTGGCCAAGTCCCTCATGAGGACTGCCTACTGTGTGTCGAACTCGCAGGAATACTTCTGGTCTCCCCCTTCTTCCTACCCTCCCCAACCAGGCCGACCGCCATTGCCGCAGCAGCAGATGTCGGCTCAAATCAAATTGTCGCAAGAAATCGTCAACAACGCCCTGTACTGCTTCTCCGTTGCCTTGCCGCGCCATTTGAGATATCGAGGCCAACATCTCTTTAGCAATGTCGCATCAGCATCCACGAGGACCAAGCAACGTGACTCTGACATTTACAGCATTCAATGTATGCTCAAAACTACCGCCTATATGCTGAACGATCCCAATGCACTGGAAACTGCATCCCGGTCGACCCAGTTCGATTCGTCATTGTCCCCACAACAGCAACAGCAAGAGGTAGAATCGGAGAAGCGTCAGGAAAGCCAGCAATCTTGTGAAATGGACAAAATCCTGGCAAAGAACCTCTCCATGGCGGATGCAATACTATCCCTGGTCCGTAACAGCGGCCCAGACCATGTTCATCTGGTCAATCCATTCTTCGCAAGTACGATTTGGCTGGCCACAGCAATATTTGTGGTTTACAAACATCTTTGGGTTTTTCATGAGGGTTCCCGCGAGCGACTTCTGGTGGAGTCCAACGTCGATCTACTGCGAACTACCTTACGCCAGTTTGTGCAATGGTGGAATATGTCGGATATTCTGGAAGCAAAACTCTCCGAGCTCGAGAAGGAGCTGGTGAGTATGCGGAAGATGGGAAGTGGAGGCGCCGACTCGAGTGACTTACAACGACAAGAACGACAACAATACTTTCTGGGAAATGAAGGACAGGAATTTCTACCAGAGTCGATTGGTGCGAACCCTACTGTCCCGTATCCACCAAGAAATAGCAGCGACGAAGGTGCAATCCCATGCGACGTGCTGCTCAATGGTGGCAGTAGCATGGTACATGACAGACTTCCACCCGGGAATGCGGATGAGCTGGGCTCAGACGAAACCTTAGGCTTGATACAGGATAGAGGGTCTTTGCCCTTATTCTACGAGAAAGGCTCGGGACCATTCCATGATGATTTGTTCTACAATGTGGAGTTGCAAGGGTTTTTGGATGGCATGTGGGCTGCATATCGGGGGCAGGACCCATGAGGATCATCTACAGATACAGATCGATGGTCATTGATGCCCAAAATAGAGTGTTTACCAGATTGAACGATGTAGCTCTGGAGTGAAGATGGCACAACAACAGGTAGACAGACACTTAATTGGAGGCAAGGCTACGGCAATGCCTGCGGGGTTTAACACAGGAACCTATTACAGGCGGCAATAGATTGCACTTGTGTAAAGATGCTAACTAGATGAAGAGATGTGTACTCATGCATCACAGACCGAAGGGACAGTCGGAATGGTCAATCGACTCGCATGAGGTCCGCCGACATGCAGAAAGTGTTTACCGTGGTTAAAGTTCTGCATAGCTCCACGCAATTCGGGAAATTCGGCGAGCGTCATATTATGACCCGCTACCTTCAGAATCAGCTTCTCGCCCGGGTCAAAGTATATACCCGTCTGCCACAGGCCGATGTCCAATTCGACAATTTCGCCAGGGGAAATCGGCTGCCGCGAAGAGTAATCATGTTCGGGCCACCACTCATTGCTCAGGCCCTCGTCGAGGGCACGGTGACTCGCCCGGAGGCACCCTGTTGGGCCTAAATGCACCAGTGGATTGATCAGCTCAACCGGCTCGGGCATTTTGCAGATCTTCCGGGCGTCGGCGGGGATGTTGATGCTCCGCAGGACCTTGCCGGTGGAGTCTGCCTTGCGGATTTGAACGAAGACATCCATATCGGCTCCCTGTTCGCAGGACATGTACAGCAGGGCCCGTGCTGATCCAACGAGGGCACATGGTTTCTCGAAGGTATGAACAAACGAGAGCTCTTCCGAATCCGCATCCACCTGCTGGAATGGGACGTCGGAAATGTACGATAGCGTGGTAGCGGAGGGCGCCAGCTCTTCAGATAAGACATTCTCCTTGTGGAGGTACAGCCTTTGAGCCGTGGTGCTCGGGATGGGCCAATTAGGGAAGGGCAGATTGATCAAAGGTTCCTGCCACGGGCTTGGGTTAGCATTCCATTACACCGCAAGCCGGTCCGGCTTATGCTCCGTAGGTCAGTACCTTGTTGTATCGCAGCAGAGACACCCTCGCCTTTGGGGTTTCCTCCCACCCGTTGCGAATGCCCTTGGTGTAGAAGTCGAAAAACCTTTGCAGCTCGTCGTTGGTGGAGGTTTGGTAGAGATCATGCCACTCCTGGGTCGCATGCACTCGCAGCCTGTCCCATCTGGTTAACCGACCACATCAGTCCATGGGAGAATATGTCCACTGTACCATTTGTTGGCATGCGGGATTTCAGTAAATCCACGGAATGAGCCGAATGTATGAAGGAAGGTGGAATAGCTGGCCAGAACATAAGCAGGGACCGTGATCTTCTCCATCGCGGCTCTTTTGCCTGCCCAGTATTCGTTCATCAGAGGATACTTCTGCAACATGCCAATCACATCCTCCTGCTGGTTCCTGCCTATAAAAGATATGAGTTCTGACCACCTCCAGGCTGATGATGCAGATGACTGCTCTCACCTCTCAGTAAACTGGAAAGAAAGTCCCAAAACGGAGTCTGTGGAATACCACCTCGACAGAGGATGTCCCGGTACAAATCTCCCGCGCCTCGAGGGGGGCAATGCAGCTCAAATGCGGTGGCTGCGTGGCAGCAATAAACCATTGCACAATGCCTAACCAGGAATTGCCGACCAAGGCCACCTTGCCATTACACCATGGGAGGCCTGCCACATATTCAATCGTATCGTGTCCATCGTTGGCCTCAATGTCACCGAAATGCCTGATTTCGCCAATTAGGTACGTGGCAGATCTGGCGCTTGTTGTCGGGAGACACTTACTGAGTAATGCCCTCGGAGTCACAAATTCCCCGAGAATCGGGATTCACAATTGCATATCCTCTCGCCGTCCATTCGGCGGGATCAGGAGCCTCGAACTTCTCCAAGCCCGACACACGATCGTGAGGAACCCCCACCCGACCCGGGATCATGTCCAGTGGATCAAAGCCTGCGGACCATAACATGAATAAGCCGAGGACGAATCACAGAAGCAGACGGGGCAGTAGAAACCAACCACCGGCATGGCCCGAGGATCTCCCATACGGACTCCAGGACAGCAACGCCGGGACCTTGTCTTCCGCAGAGTTACGGGGCCTGAAAATGTCCATGTAGATGTGGCAACCGTCTCTCATCTGCACACGGACATTTCTCTCCCAAATGGTTTCCACCTGGAACGGCGCATGAGTGTCGGTCAGCTTCCAGCCCGCGGGCAAGATCTTCGTCTCATGTTTTGTTCCGTTGTAGCCCTTCGTCGTGTCGGGGGCCAGGGTGGCCCGCAATAGAGGAGTGATAGTTTGGCGTGTCATGATGATGCTGCTGTGGTGGTGCTTCTCCGAGGGGCGAGTCCTGTACCAATAAATATACGAGCTTCAGCAGTCCCTGAGCGACTCTCCTCTTCGTTATTGGTGGAGACTCGGACCAATTTTGATTCGTGAGTGAGCCGCCACATATCCGGGGAGCAGGGCGCTCATGGAACGGGGGGGAACGTGCCCATCATCCACTTTTACAGGGAACACCTGTTCCGGCGGTGCCAGGGTGGTAATGCCGGAATGCCGGCTCAATCTCCACTCCACAGCTGTCCCACGTCCCTCGAGCCAAGGCGACGAGCATCCCCGGTGTGCTGAAGAGACAAGGGGTGGGATGCGATATGGGGTCGTCCCTGGTTCTCCACGATTGAACCGCCACTCGAAGCCGGGGGCTTCGGGCCAATTCTGATTGGCGACCCGGTCGGCCCCACATGAAGCTTAATCCGGCCGGCACAATTCGTACTGGTTCGGAGGAACGGCCGGGGACGCCAAGGACAGAATCCAGAGCTTCTTCCGCGGACATGTCGATCTTGATCAATACTGCGGTAGCGATATCCACCGCGATGCATATATCCGGGTCGGGTCGACGAAGCGAAGGAATGACGAACGCCACGTCTCTCTGCTTTCGACCAGGTCCCCATATCCCACGCCGATCCCCCTTTTTGTGCAGCCCTGATGGGCTGACTCTCCGTGACGATGATCCACCTCCAATGACATCCAGGTACATGGTACACTGCCGTACCATGGCGCGATTCGGATTCCACCATGAAGACTGGGCACCGCTCTGCCCTGGTGGGCTGCGTATGATGTGGTCGACCAGGGCAGGTCCATTAAAATCGCTTTTGAGGGCCGCGCATCCTCGAGACAGGACTCACCTGTCAGTGTTGAGGAGAGTGCTTCGGTATAAACTAGCAACGCTACGGCCGCCGGCAATGATCTCCCATAGCTTCCCAACTCTATCCTGTCGGGCCCTCGGGGCGTTGCACCGAAGGTTCAATCATCGCCAACACGATTTCGTGGCACCTCCCCCCCGGAGTGCAATCTGACAGGTCTGGTCCTCAAGTCACCGCTTCCCCAGAGATGCAATGTCTATGACGTCATGGGCTGACTTTTTCCGAGTTGTGGCGTGAATAATACAAAGTATATTGTTCGTCGTATTCCCCTTCTCGGATCTCGCAGAGTATATTATGCTTCGTATTCCCATTCTCGCCGCCCTTCATGCTTTCCACCCATCCGAGTTGCGGTAGGCGGTCCCCGCTACGCAGCACCTAAGCCCTGACAGTGGAGTCCGAGTACTGGCGCCTGGTTTCGATTGTGGTTCCAATCATCTGCGGTGTCCTTGCGACGGTTTTCTTCCTTCTCCGCCTGTATTGTCGCCGCGCCGACGGCCAGGCCTTCAAGATTGATGATCTGATGATGGGCATGGGACTCTTATTCTCGTATGCAGTCACCGGCTGTACGACCTTCAGTGAGTGATTTCGCATTTATCCCCGGGGCAACTGGGGGTCCTACCGGCGCACACACACACACAGACACGCCGCCCAGGGGAAACAGATGGATCTTGCTAAACCCTGATTAATCAGGCGCGGTTCATCACGGCGGAAAACAACCCTCCATCTGGTCACCGGAGGAGGAAGAGCGTCACTTGCTGGTACAGCCGCCCTGAACCTCATTTCCACGCACAGATTCCCATGTCGACAGGTCCACAATGCCAGATAGGTGAATCTGCTCGTGGTACAACAATACTAAGAACCTCCTTATTTTAGGTGTCCTGGCTGTTCGACAAATTATGGCCCTTTGCACAAGTATTTGTGAAGACCTCAATTCTCATCTTTCTGGACCGATTGTTCTCCGTGATACAGCGATTCCGGATCCTTGCCAGAAGTCTGATCGTATTCACCGTCGCATGGGGGGTTGCCGCAGTTCTTGTTGCCACCCTGGAATGTTCGCCGCCGCAATATTATTGGAACAAGAAGATAGAGGGACGTTGTATGCCCGAGCAAGCAGCTTTTTACAATGCCATTGGGTCCCTTGCCTTTGCTGAAGATATTATCATTCTGTTGATGCCCATTCCGATAGTATGGCAGCTGCGCTCAACCGTACAACAAAAGCTCGAAGCGACAGCGCTCCTTTCAATAGGCGCAATGTATGATTTTCTGGCTCGAGTATTCACACCTTACAGGCCATGTCTAACCAATCTGCTTTCCCTGTAGGGTCTGTGTTTTCAGTATTCTGCGATTTATTGAGTACCTCAACTATGTCACGCCAGAACAGGCCGGTAAGTTGCTTCACCAACCAATCTGTATCCTATGTACTCCTTTCTTTGCGTTGCCTTTTTCTTTCTTTCTTTTTTTTTTTTTTTTTTTTTCGTTTGCTCGGCTCTGTGTGCTGATGTATTCCAATTTGCGCTCAAATATAATAGGGTTAGCTGCTAAAGGGTCACTGTGGGCAAACTTGGAGCTGTACTTTGGAATAATCTGTGGATGTTTCCTTGTCTGCAAGCCACTCCTTCGCAAGATAAGGATGTGCTTAAGGGTTGTGAGTCGTGCCATTTTGCCTGAGACTTCCGGGGACCGACGTGGGTTATTTTATCTTTCAGGATTACCACCTGTTGTTGTTCAGGACGAACACTGTTCCGAACCCTGTCCGATACTATCGGAGACTTCAGCGGGTGGGAATACTGCAGCGGCTGAAACCGACCTCGAGAGCGTCGACATAGCTGAGGTGAGGCATGTTGACCGTTTCTTCGCGTCAGACGCTGAAGTGGGTTCAACTCCCCGAGGGATCCTGGAACAGAATAGGTACAAAGAGGCATGATCTGCAGGGACGATTCAGTTGATCTGGCCAATATGTGTAATATATAATCTGCATCACAATGAGACAAAAGCGCAAAGCATTAGACGAGGGCGGCCTCAGGCCCGAACTACTGCAGTGTTCGTTAGGGCTGACGATCCACTAATGTGATCATCACACCTCACACTTGATCTCGGTTTCGTCCGGGTTTCTATCATGGAGTTGCTTCATATATAGGTTATATCCATGGTTGACTGTGGGGCAACTGGAATGTTGGCATTTCGCCAACCAGACCCACTGGCGCTACAGATTCAGCCTCATGTACGAAGTACTGATTGTTCTTCCACGGAGCGGGATGGGGGTATTAGTAATCCCCAGATGAAGCGCAGTTAGTCAGCTGACGGCTTCCGCGGAGGCAGTCTTTCGCATAAAAGCTACCAAGCCAACCTTGGACTCGAGTTCCACGGAGGCAGGACAACTACTGAGTCAAATTGACAGTGTCTTGAGTCCTACAATGGAAATGAGTAATCAACCGAGGAAGGCATGCGATCTATGCTACACTCGCAAGATCAAGTGCGACGGACAGAAACCTCGCTGCTCGAACTGCATCAACTATGCGACGGATTGCACACATACGGTATTGAGCCGGAAGTCGAAGCCCAGAGCACAACGTAGTAGCGGGACCAAGGAGACGAACGAAGTGCAGAGCCTACAAGCTGAAGTACAGCGTTTAAAGACTGAACTCGTACGTATTCTCGGGCGTTGGAATAATGAGGATACTTAATCGTAAAAACTACAGGCTCAGAATCGAGATCAACATCAGACGCGAAATCTGACACGAGGACTCGAGGAGACGATAACAGCAACGCACGTTGAAGATCAACACTATGAGGACAATGATCAGACAGTCAGCTCACTGAAGCTACCTCCGCTACAACAAGCCATGATCATGGTCGGAATCTTTCTCAACACTTACAACTCGGTCCTGCCGCTCTTTCATACTGACACGCTCTTACGTCTAGTCGGCGAATGCTATGCCTGTCATCCCCGACAACGCGACCCAGTAGTATGGGCTGCCATCAACGTCGTCTTTGCCTTGGCTAGCCAACAGGTCCCAGGAGACGCTAGTAATGCCCGGTCTCAGTACCAGACCGATCAAACAATGGAGTATCTCAACAAAGCACAATCCATCATCTCGACTGTGATGCTGGGTGAGACCCACCTCCTCAACATACAGGTACTAGTAGGCATGGTGATGGTGCTTCAAACTGCGCACAATGTGACCCCATCATTGATTCTGATATCAGCAACCATGCGTCTCGTACATAAGTTAGGCCTACACAACCATGCAGCATCAACACATCTGGATCCTGTGCAAAGGAGACAGCATGCCCGCGTCTTCTGGCTGGCATACATTCTCGACAAAGACTTAAGCCTTCGTACCCAACAACCTTCGATTCAGCTCGATGACGACATTGACGTGCAGTTACCTTCTTCCTTGCCGACGACTAATGGCGATAATGACAACACGGCTGGCATCGTCATCACGGCTGACGGAAGTGCTAGGATGAATTATTTTCTAGCTCGCATTAAGCTGGCTAATATCGAGGGTCGTGTATATGACTCTCTCTACTCAACACGAGCAGTGAATCGAAGCCTGGAAGAGCGTCGCAATGCAACGGAGAGCATTGTTAACGCACTCGATGAATGGCGAGCTTCTATCCCACCCGAATTTAGCGCCAGTATGGTCACCTCGAGCACCAGACATAAACCGGTATATAGTGGATTTTTCTGTGTGCTACACTCAACCAGTCTCCAATGCATGGCGCTTGTTAGCAGGGCTCACGCTTGGGATGGACAATGGGTGAGTGGTCTTCGCAACCATAGCAGAGGAGTTCAGACACTGCAGCTACCACCAGCTTGGGAGACAATAGTACATCAGGCGCGAAACTACATGCTATTGTTTCGAGAGATTTGGTCGAGAGACGCCTGGTTCCGTTGGTGAGTAGTCACATATCACAATGAGCAAGCCGTTGTTGACAGAAACAGGATGACTTCATGTCCTTACACGACCGCCATGGTGCTATTGACGGCCAACACTTTGTACGATTCGTGGCATGATAAGATCCAGCTAGATATCGAGCTGATCGATTCAGCCCTTCTTTGGCTCAATGAGGCCATGAAGGAAAATCAATCGAAGGAAGCCCAAGCGCTTCGGGAAACTTGTGTTGAAGCTGTCCGAACGGTGAAGCAAAAGCTAGCGGAAGGCATCACAACGTCGTTTAGCCATCATGGGTTGCTGAATTATCCAGATATGTTAGAGCCATTCTATGTGTACACCAGGACGGAAGGGGTTTAATATTCATAGCTCCAAAGCTGGTTGACAGGATGCGGAAGGCGAACTCGATCGCTTCCCAGACTTTAAAAATTGCCTCTTCAGGTTGGTCCACTGATGAACAAGCCCTACTCCGAAAGGTTATATGAACCTTCAAGGAACTAAGTTCCAGACCATGCTAAAAGATCAAAACCAACAGTTAGGCCCTCCTTTCCATGACGTCAAAGACGACGTCGCCGTTGCCCTCATATTCATTCTCCACCAACAGATGTAACAATATACCCAACCGCTCCAACAACCCTGCATGATTCAAATCATAGCCTGCAAACTGCGGCCTGAATCCAGCGTCTTGGATAAGCTTTCGAGCGGTGTCGATAGAAGATGCGTTTCCACCGATGAAAATTATAGGTGGCACGCGGCCAGATGCCCACCTTTGCGCTTCCAGGAGTGTTGCAGGCATAGAATTGAAGGCTTTAAAAAGGATTGCCTCTGGGAAAGCTCTCTGGAGCTCTTCCGTAATGGAGGTTCTTTCCATGTACTTGAGGTCATGGTAATGGTTGAAGTTGGCATCCACATTGAGCGGATTCATTGTATCAATCACGACTTTACCCGAAAGCGTAATCCCGTCGCTCTGGAGCTCTTTCAAAATATGCGCCAAACGTGGGAAGTATGCCGACAGAATGACAACTTCACCGAATTTTGCAGCGCCCGTGATCGAGCCGTACTTCAACCGGGCTATCTCGTCCTCTCCGATGCCCCTTTCCAAGGCCACTTCTCGGACGCGCTCTCGAAGCCGTTCCGGATGCGTGTCTTTGCTGAGCATAACTTCATGGCCAAGGCGAATCCAGGCAAAGGCTAGACGCAATCCGATATTGCCTGCGTTCACGATGCCAACTTTCATTTTTGAAGTATATCTCAAGAATTTAGACTGAAGAGAAAAGGGAGATACAAATTAGACGCTTATTGAGGGAGCCTAGAATCTGAAAATTTCATGAGGGGCTGGATGAAGTTATATGCTGTAGCCTGTAGCCTAGGAGCTTGATAAGACTGGACAAAAGCCAGTGAGTTCCGCGGAGGCCATTCGGAATGTAATGCCTTACAATATATAGTAGGGTCTGCCATGGATTTCTAATTTGACTCTTGATATCCTATGGCAGCTGGCTGATTAATACCGGTCGTGGCGCTCCCAGATGCAAGAATAGCCACCTCCGCGGATGTCACTCTGAATGCAATGCTTTATAATCTAGTGGAGGATTTATAATGACAAATGCTAAGGTGACTCTAGATGAGTGATGACCGATAGATATACGTACTGGTGCTTCCATATAGAATAGCTTACCCAGCTCCGCGGAGGCAGACATGTGCTTATCTAGCTTGATGGAAATAGAATATAAATCACACAATGATCCCGAAGCACAACACGAGAAACAAAACACCAAAGTTGCTATTTCACTTCAGGGTACTCCACATCCATAACATCTTGCTGCAAGTGAACAACACCTGCGAACCAAAATGGCCTCGATCAACAAAGAACTATACGCTATTGCGCCTGGTTCGCGTGTTCTGGTCACAGGTGCCAATGGATTTATCGGTTCCCATGTTGTTCAGCAACTCTTATCTCTTGGATACGTTGTGCGAGGAACGGTGCGTTCCCAGAAGCCGTGGCTCGAAGAACTTTTCAGGTCCAAATTTGGACCCAACAGTTTCGAGTCGGTTGTTATCCCAGACTTGAGTGATCTGGACACTTTGAGCAAGGCAATGTCGGGTGTTAGCGGGGTGATTCATGTGGTATGTATACAAAGCCTTTCCGCTCCTCGCGGCATAGTTGTACCAGGCTATGAAGCCTATGATCAACTCTGCAGGACCTATTACTAACCAGCTAATTCTAGGCAACGGACGTTTCCTTCAACCCGAATGCTGAGGAGGTTATTCCGAAAGTTGTGTCCGCCACCGAGACGATTCTGGAAGCCGCCGCTAGACAACCAGCAGGATCGATTCAGAGAGTCGTCCTGACTTCATCAGCTTCAGCGGCAACATTACCACAACCGGGGGTGGAAGGGATTGTGGTCACTGAAGGTAGGACTCACTTTGCCGCCATCATATACCCAGGATATACACCAAATTTCTTCCCATATAAGAATCCCTATTTACTACTACAAGCTCTTGTGCTAATGACATGGATGACCATACAGACACGTGGAATATCGCGACGGTGAATGCTGCTTTTGACGAAAGCACGCCAGCAGATGCCAGGCCGTTCACGGTCTACGTTGCGTCTAAGACGGAGGGTGAACGAGCGGCGTGGAAATGGGTTGAAAAGAACAAGCCGGCTTTCGTGTTCAACTCGGTCTTGCCCTATTATACTGTGAGTAAACAAAAGCCCGGCAGTTGTAATCCGTCGTATGGGCTAATTCATATCATCAACAGCTCGGACAAGTCCTTCACCGCGAGATCCCTGGCTCCACCATGAAATGGGCGGCCAACCTGCTTGACGGTGACGTCGCCGCTTTCGGGTTTCCTGGACGTAAGTATCGTGAGATGCTTTCCACGTTGTTGGCCAGTTTACTGACAGGTATTTGAAATAGAATTTGTCGACGTTATTGACCTGGCACGCGTGCACGTCGTTGGTCTTCTGCATCCCGACGTCCGGTCTGAACGTCTGTTTGCGTTCGCCTCGAGTTTCACCTGGAAGGAGTTCGTCGGCATTTTGCAGAAATTCCGTCCGGGTAATACAAAAATCCCAACCCCTCCCGAGAAGGAGCTCCGAGATCTAAGTGATATCGTTCCTGCTCGGAGGGCGGAGAATTTGATCAAGTCATTCTTCGGGCGGTCTGGTTGGATTGGACTCGAGCAGTCGATCCAGGCTGGAATCGATAGTCTGGGGTACTAGAGGTTTTCAAGGCATAGACCGGACCAGGGAATTTGCAATTCTTATGTGCTATGTGGTGGTACAACGTTGCTCTGAATAACTGTGGGAGCTTAGCAGCCAGAATTAGTATAAGATGTATGAGTCAGTTTTGACCCCTTTGCCAAACCTGATTGTATTGAACCTCTTTCAATGGCCTTTCAACTGCAAACCCTGCAAACCTTTATAGAGCCAGCCAGTGGGAACGGGGTTCCAGTATTGTAGATCCACGAGTAGTAGGGGGAGAAGACGCTAGAAAAGAGCGTTAGACACAGAGGCCAACCTTCATTGAGAGCCCAGTATCGGGTGGCTCATAGAGTATTGGGTCAAGACTCTGGACTGATTTGATCATGTCAACCAGCAGTGGCAGTGCGACATCACTAATGTAATAGAAAAATAGGTGTTCAAGGGCCTTCCAAGGAGATCATATATTGAAAGCTCCAATGGCGTCGTTATCGAATCGATGTGCAAGATAAACGGCGTTGTAGATCATCGCGACCAGTCAACATTACTTGAAAATATTATCAGACAAACGGCCTTCGCATTCAAACCCCATAGATACATCTGCTATATCTCTCACTGAGAAGCCTCGTAACAAAACCAGGAACCTTGAGGACGGCCTAGTAAAGGAGAGTTAAATACTTCACTGGTTCGAACTCCGCACGTCTGATATGTAGAGCATTTCTCGTACACGGTACTATCTATGCTAAAACTATGATATCGGTGCCTCCGGTCAATATACAATGGATTCAATTCTAGAACCAATAAATGGCAAATTTTCCAAGCTATCTATTCGTGGATGATCTAAGATTCAATTCTCCGATTGCCGAGGCCCGAGATATAAATCTGCCTGTTGTACGTAGTTTGAAACCCGGTGATGAATCTCTGACTTTTATATATTTCCATACCAGGCAAATTCCACAGCAAAGCCGTTGGGGGTGAATTCGTAGAAACAGACCAGAATCGGGTTCTATCTACTTCGGGATTTCTCATACAATTTCAGGGCAGGGAAACACCGTATTGGAGGGGGCTGAGATGTTCATCAAGTGAGACGGTGGACGTGTTGTTGTGGTTGTTGATCGCCGCCCCCACGGCACCCCAGAACACGCGTTTGCTTAGGATTTTTCGACCTCCTTCATTCACACGCTGATCGGTTATCATGGGACTGGGAAGCCTGCCGCGAGAAATTTTGAGCCTCATCATAGGTCTGCTCATCGACCGAGCAAGCCCTTCCTTAGATGGGTGCGACAATCTACAGCATATCTGTAACGCTCGCCTGGTGTGCCGGTTATGGAATACGCTGGCTACAGCGCATGTGTTCGAAACCGTGAGGCTGGCGTATACCGACGGGGAATACCAATCCTGGAATGACATGCTTGCCAGCGAAGTCGTTAGACAGGCCGTCCGTTGTGTTTATATTCGCTCTGCCCCGGCTGATGATCACCCACTCGGCATCTGGGACACGTATACAGACTCCGGTTACGAAGGCCTCATCGGCGCGATAGGCCGCATCGCCGAACTTGACCGCATCATCGCTCTACATCTACGGTTTTCTAGACATTGCGGTGGAGTTGAGACCGATGATCATCGTGACGAGGTCGTCGAAGATATTTCGACACGTCAAGAGATCCTCGAATCCGTCTTTAAGGCGATCCACAACCGTTCGAGGAACAAAACCGGCGCGCGTCCCATACGCTCCCTGACAGTTGAAAACCTTCAAAATGCCCCGTTACCAGACTTTACATCCTCTGAGCTCTTCAGGAGCGTCACGAAGGACATTGACAGTCTGCATCTCATGGTAGCTGAGGAGTATGATGAAGCCGGACCCGACTGGGACACATATCGTATTGAGCGACAGGTGTTTGAACCGTACCTACACCACCAGTGGTTGGCTCCTATGTCCGACCATCTGGTCTGCCTGACACTCTCCTTTCAGGTTGGTTGGGGAACCATACCTGGTTATTTTGACGGCAGCGGCCTCCACTTCCCAAGGCTGAAGACGCTTAACCTGGGCAACTTTGTTATCGGGCACCATAACCAGTTCGACTGGGTCTTGAACCAGCCCTCGCTGGTGTGTCTTCGCCTGGACAGATGTTCTATCGTGTCACACATAACCACACACCAAACCAACATTGAGGAATGGCATGTTCAGACTCATGACTGGCATGAGTATCCTATTGGCTCCTTTGGTATTGACGGCCCTTATGTTATCTACGGATTCTCTGGGACATGGGAGGCGATATTTGACAATATTTGTACCTGTCTTCCTAACCTCAAGGACTTCTGTTTTCATTACGGCCAGGACCCGGTCTTCCCGGTGTACCCCGAGATGTTATCGGACCGTCTAACAAAGCAGAGGTATACTACATTCGATGACTCCTGGAATGAAGCGCATGAAGAATCTGGATTGTTGGATTTTGGCGATAGCGAATGGGGCCATCCTGATAAGCGGTATGTGAATCGATCGAAAGAGACAGAGATGGGAGACGGCCGAGCACTGGACGCTCTCCTCCAAAAGATACGAGAGCGGCAGCACCAGCAGACCCTTATGTTGAATCAGGACCGTGACAAAAATAGACGTCCAGTTAAATGATCGCCGGTACCTGGTCCCCAATGATTTCTTTCCATGTTACTGGGGCTTTTGGCCCCAAATGGCGGATTGGGGCTATGTAACCCCAATCTTACAGGACGAGCATTTCCCATTGCCAGGTAGGCTAGCTGCTTTACAAGTCATAAATCTCAAGCAGCGTACTGCCCTTCATTCCCTTTCGCTCACTAAAATGAGGCCATCTCGTTGACAGCTCACTACTTGTATGGCGGGTGATGGACATGTTCTCCATAAAAGAAGTATAATGAATAGCGTAGTTCCCAAATAAAAGGACCCAATATCTACGCAACCTATAGAATGATGAGAAGGTATAGGTAGCTAGATCTCCTTCCATATTACTTGTAGTGAGATTCTATGAGGCACAACTCATGCACAGTCGTCTGCCTCAGGTATTCTATTCTTAAATAAGCCTTGCAAGCCTCCTCTTCTCTTCATTCAAAGCTACACAATACTATACCTGAAACTGGAGCTCTATTACAAACAGAGTTGCGTGTATAATAGTCATACTTCTGCGAGCTTTCGGGCTTCTGATCAAGATCCATTAGGGCACTCGGGAAACCCACTCTGAACCTGCCATGGCCTGAACTGATATTGCTGGCGTTCTCAATTTAGGCAACACTAAAAGTCAATGAGGGAAGCTCCTAGCTGGCAATTCGATGCTAGTCTATGAGGGAGTGTAAAAGAAGCAACAGCTTGCATAGAGCATCGACGCTTCAACGCAGGCCCCATATCCGAGGCAGTAGCCGACTATCGGTTAGATAAATTCGGGCTTCAATGTGGATGCATGAACGCAGAATGTGCATACACAACATCCACTCAGGATTAACTCTAGCTCTTACGCTTAACGCGCGGTGGTGACGCAACCGAGCTCCCAAGGTGATGATGTTATGTTGACACGATAACTGGGTGACTTGTTTTTCACCGGGCTTGTCCAGCATTTCCAGCTTCCCAAAGTCAGTGAACAAGAACTCATTTTCCAAACGCTCGTCAGTCTTAGTTACCCACGATGCCTGATCCAACGGTGATGGTTTTGTTGGAGAGAAACATGTGCTCCACATCCCCTGAAAACAAGACCAAACGCCTGTCAGATGCATCAAGAATATTCTTCATCCCCGAGATCCTGGAGGCCATCCTGTTGAATGTGGACATGCACACATTGCTAATTTCAGCTCGAGTCTGTTGCACGTGGAATAACCTGATCAAAAGCTCCCGCAAGATACAACAGGCACTGTTCTATATTCCTTCGGATTGGGTAGCGCCAGGCCAGCCAGGAATAAAAAACCCACTCGTGGTTGACAAAATATGGTTTGAGTTTATTCGCACACAACTCTACTCACGGCCAAGAGTCAGCGGTTGGTGATGCGGCGGATTCGATGGAATACCCTATATATCATCGGAGAAGAGAGAAGAGGCATATTTGCGGCCCGAGGCGAGCTGGCGCCGTATGCTTCTTCAGCAGCCTCCAAATTCGATTGTCCGCTTCTGGAACCCAGAAGACCCCGACAGGCCCTATTGTCATCATCGTGGAATGATCGATACCCACGCTAAGTGGACGCCAAACCGAGATTATATCCGCATGGAGAACGTGCAATATTGGGTGGACATCGGAGCCTTTTCACCAGGCCTTCTACCCTTCTTATGGTGGATAGATCCATTGCTCATGAGCAAAGTCCGGAGCCGCAAAAGACTGGCAAGAAATACCGTTCTAACCCAATATCTGGCCCAGTTTGATCTCACTATTAACACCGACTACTACTGCTGGCCCACGATTATACCTGATCCTGATGATCCCAATCCAGTAAAAGCAGTCTGGTTCCCTGAGTGGTGCAAGGAAAGGGAGGTAACCTTGCTTGGGGGGGAGCCATTCTAGCCTGGTGATCTTGCTTCCTACACTGTCTTCGCAGTTTCCTAGTTATCTTACGTTACGCCCAGGTTCCATCAACTTCTAAGGATCATACAATATATCGGACCTATCGCTCTTACTTCATAGCCATCTTATCTCGCTCGTTGAAAGTCATGAGGAACATGCGAAAACTGTGCCTTGTTATAATTATATTAGAGGCTGAACTACAGAATACCATGACCTGTCATGTGCGCGAAGCTTAACAAATACAATTCTGTATAATTCACATAGGGCTTCTATTAGGTAAAGCTCATACAGATTCCTTTAGCTCAGAGATAATTCAGTCGTGAACGAGCCTTGCCAGCTTTCCCTTCAATTCAGCCAAACCTGTATTAGCCTTGGCCGCCTCCTCCTTTGCGGTGTTCAGATCCGATGCGAGGGTTACGTTCTGCGCTCGAAGTTCGTTCAACCCTTGCAATGCTGTATCATATTGATCGGCCTTGGCTTTGAGACTTTGCAGCTCCCCATCCGAGACACGCTGATTGCCAATCTCTCTGCGCAGAGCGATCAGATCCTGATCGCGGATCTTGATCATTTGCAGGTATCGTGAATTCTCCTCCTGCAATTGTTCAATTTGTCGTTTTAGTAGCGTAGCCGACTCAAGCTCCCGGTATATAAGCGACAGGGATGCCTCCACCTCACTAGAGAGCGTGGCAAATCGGGACTTGCGACCTCTAGGCTCCGGTGATTGTTGCTGGGGTGGATGAGGACTGTTCTCCGTAATCTGTGTCAGGGATGCTCTGCGGTCTTCTTCAGGATGCGGAACATGAGCCGGATTCTCTCGCGCTTGTACCCCTGATAACGGACCCTGTACGGTCGGGGTGCTGGCGTTGGTTTGTGACTCAGTAGTCGGCGGTGTGGTCAGTGTGGTTTCATGGGGATCGACTTGGGAAGCACCAGAGTTCAGCACTGTGGTTGGCGCTGGCTCGGGCGACCCTCGCGGCGTCAGATGTGGGGGGGATATATGCCAGTTATGCCGGACGCATATCGGACAAAACCATTGTCGGGAGCTGTCACGAATCCACCCTGAGGGCATACAAGCTGTATGGAAGGACAATTTGCATGTATGACATGGCTCTACTCGACCTGCTCGGCCGCAGACTCGGCAGCGATCGTCATTGAATGAGCCGTTTCCTACCAGGTTAAGAGTTTAATGGCTGCATTTAGGGTAGACCGATTGAACATTCGAGAAAACAAAGGACCACTTACGTCGCCATTCTTTGTATCGTTCAATCTTAGTTGACAATGGTTCACTCTCATATGACGCAGCAAATTCCGAATATGAAGGAAGAACTGATAGGTTGGATACACTAGATGTCGATTCGCCGACCTGTGCTTGGGAGACTCCACCCGGAACCGCTTTGTCAGGACTTGCCGGCGAGGCGTGTATCCGCACTCGCTTGTTGCGCCTGCAAGGTGGTGGACTCCTCGGTGAACGACTAGACGCTTTCGGGGGCATGGTATGGACTGTTGAGAACTGGAACATATATGTAATCCCCAAATACGCAGGATGTCCACCTGGGCATAAAAACCCCCGATTGCCACGTGACCTACATTAGTCAGACGGTGTTTTATGGGTCCATGCAAATCGATGATTGATAATCAAGCAAATATTCAAAGTATCGCTCAATCATGACTCGCTACTTCCTGTTCAACCACTCAACGCGATAAGGATGATTAAGCCACTAGCCACTATTATTGCTGGTGCTGGTGGAGGCACGGTAGCCATCCCCTAGTTACAAACATATCAGCCACTAGTGCTAAACAAAACTCGGGGAGCGTCTATTGCATCCTCATTTGAGCTTGATCTGAGACCGCACGTAGAGACCTGGTAAGTCGAAGTATCCTGTGTGCCGTCTATACGCAATCAATATATTACATTCGACAGACTGTTTCTTTTTGGATGGCAACCTTTCAAACCCTATGAGTTACAGAAGTAAACGTTTTGGGTCATCTTGAGAAAAACAGTAACTAGTGAAGTAGGTCCTCAGGTTCCGAAGATTTCAACAGCACACATAAACAATGAAACATGGTGTGAAAACGTATGAGTATAGATGTTTGTCTCGCCAGTCCCTGTACATGTATTGTTGTAAATCGGTCGGTTTGGTACTACATGCACAGGTTCGATTACACGCCCTGTGTCAATTTCGAGGGTCAATTATAGTGATCGATAGGGAAGATTGAAGGCAAGCATGGGACCCACATGTGTCATTTGTCATCCACTAGGAGTTCCACCTTCATAATCATACCTTGAAACTCAGCATGGCTTACTTCAAGTATTCTGTATGTACATAGTGGGGCCAGGAGGCAATGATAACTGCCCCACTTCGACCCCATGGTAATCTTGGTCAGCATCACATATCTCTCCGAGACCGGGTGGAATGTTGTGAAGAAGCCCCATGATGACCCAAAACCCCAGGGGTATCATTACTGCATGTAAATACTAAATACTGACGGACTGGAAGTACTAGCGGTGGAATTTACGCTGCAACATACTACAGCTGGCAGTGCAACGCAGATGGACAGGTAAAAGTCGCCGTTCACACTGATGTGATATATACATAGACAGCCAGAAGTTCATTAGCCCGTGATGCCCTTACGCCATGCGTAGCTTCGCCTTCGTGGATAAATCGTCTCTGCTCTCCATCTCCGCTACCAGCTCAACGAAGTCACTCTCCCCCTGTTTCGCCAGCTCCGCAAACTTCGGTGCATTATCTCTCAACCAAATGGCGTCTTCTCCAGCCTGTAGCCAAAGTAAGCGAAGACCGTTGATCACAAAGTCATCTTCCCTGGGGGAACCGTTTACGGCGCTTACCCGTGGTAAAAGAAACCCATTTTCCATCCCCGCCGTAATAGTGCCCATAATGAAGACTCTATTCAACTCGGCTTCTTTGGCCCCAGACTCGGCTCCCTGCACAACGATCTGATTCCAAGCATCAGTGACACGCTGGGCGAGTTCCTCGAAATCGGCCGTGGTTCGGTTGCCGCCAGGTCGAACATAGGCAATGATGCGATTGATCGCACGCTGCATGACTGTTTGGCAACAGTGAATCTCAGATGGGGATCTCGGACGAACGAACCTCCTTTCCTCCTACATAGCTGCAGGAATTACTTGCGTCGAGGAAACGGACATTAACGAAAAGGCTGGGGGTGGTGAACTTGCGTGTGTGAATATGGGTGATGGCTTGAGCAAGCTCGGTGCGCTGGGCTTGACTCAAGGCAATACAGTGCTCGACTTCATACAATGGCATGATTGATTCTACTTAACGGGGGGGTGGCTGTTTCAACTGCCCTCATTCTGAGCACGTCAAGCAAGGAAATTCCCAAGTGGTATATATACCTTTGCCTCGGGTGCTGGATTGATTGATCAGCATTGCGGGGCAGGAGACTCGGCAATCCCGACGTCTCTCTCGCCCGAGAAACAACCCATTTGCAATGGACATGTCTCTACGACATGCTAGATAGAGTGTAGATAGATGTCTTATATTCGTTTAACTGCGTTGTAATCTGGGGTAATATCTGGATAGTATCATATTACTCTAATAGGTTACTAAAGAGACACTGTAATGACTGAGCTCCTACGTTCAGTTCATAGTGCCGCAGCTATCTTTATAATACAGCTTCTGATTCTACGTAACGTGAACCAAGCCAGCAGGACTTACAACTTTTGGTTGCTTTCCCCATACTTTTTTGATAATGTGCGTACTCAGTAGATTACACTACCGTCCTAAAATCGACCCACCAAGAACAATAACAAAAAAAAGGAAGGGGTTCCTCACTATCCATTATCCCTGCCCTGGAAGCCGAACAAGGGCAGCGGTTTTTTAAACGCCAATATTCCATGCAAAGACAGCTTTGAATCCCAACCAGAGTCCGCATTTTCCAATCCTATTCGGGTACGCCGCCAATACCTTGTCATACAGCTCTTTGGCACTAGGCGACTCCTGCACGAGGCGGTTGAAAGTCATGATGTACTGTCTCGAGGCAGCGATATTGAAGCCTCCGTACACGGCTCCAGGTCTGTGACGGGAAGCAACGACAATAGCCGGTTCATATTTCTCGATCATAGAAAGGGATTCAAACGAAGCCTCCCGCTCCGACTGCAGTAGAAATTCTGCCATCCACATGTGCACATCGTTGTACACGATGTCTCCCGCATCTACCATATCCAAACGAGGGCGCGTGTAGAAACGTCGTCTCCCTAGTGTCCGAGCAACCAGCATCAGTAGCCTCAAACGCGCGGCGGTTTAGTTTCTAAGATCTTGTAGTTGAACCTCTAGTTAGAGCTGGGTTTAGTAACGTAGTCACCAAAATGGCACAAAATACTGCTAAAAACGTCTGCTATTCAGAGATTGAGCCGCAAAGATGCTTTGAGACAATGCAGAGTAATAAAAAGGTAATATTTTTATACTAAATACTGTCTCAATTATTTCTCTTAATCACGCGAGTAGATTCCTCAAGCTAAGTAAGTGCCTGGGATGCTTCAAAACTCGAGACAAAAATACCACATGTCAAAAGTGAGCATGTCAATAAATCCACAGGAGCTCGGACCCTTATAGACCAAGATCAGAAATGAGGAGAAAAAAGACAGAAACTACTAAGTTCTCCTAGTTCCGAACCATCTAGAACTCTTGATCAGTGAGTTGCTCAGGTTTCCCTTAATGGAGCGAGATTTTTGAACCTCTTTCGGAGACAGGAGATGCGAAATCTTATTTATGCACTTAATCCTTCCTATCAGCTCCATGATCGACATCGAATTGCAGATAGTCTTCCAAATGAGGCATTTATTGAGATAGGAGAGGAGGTGCTAAGAGAGCTCCAGGGTCTCTGCTTTTAAATCGAAATACCGAAGATAAAGAGGCTAAACGAACTTTGTAAAACCTCTATAAAAACAAGGGCACGGCTATGATTATAATATATCACATATTTTACTGGTGATTTCACTGGCAACTTCAACTTCATTTCAAGGGCCTGAACTTTCATTATATTTCAATTTCAAACCCCACCCCTACAGCTTTCTAAGCGAGATCCGTGGTGGCTAGAGACCTGGCAGCATCCATGTAAATCAGCCAAACTACAACCTTGGGTGCACGTATGCGCCAGGTGCCATTAATCCTTGGCCACTGTAGGTTTGTATCGACCGGACATCAGGGTATCGTCAATCCTAAATACTAAATTAGCCATACAGCTTACGGTGTATTGTTGTGTTGCAAACCATTAAGATCAGGCCAAAGATAGCCCGGTCACAAATTCTTACTTGGCTAACGCTTCTCCCAGGCTTTATTTTATGGTGTTTCATTGGCGCGTTAAATCAACGGCTGTATTAACCTGCACCTACAATTGTAGTATTGAAAACTGTAGCTTCTGTTATGCAGCCACAGGTTCAGCTGAAATATTCCCATGGTAGCGAGCTCAGACTACCAATGACTTCCAATGCTATATAATCATTTAGGACCATAGCATCGAGGGAATTAACTTTTTATACCCCAGATTAAACTTACTTCAATCAAATACCAAAGCACTGCCATATTTCAATTACCTAACATGACAATATCACTGACTTTTTAAATGAGATGCCAAGGACATAACGTGCTTTTAACGACAACAGCCCAGCCAGGGATTGTAGCCGCAGATTGCATCGCAATAGCGGCCAGTAAAACGAGGATTACAGTCCCAATGGCTGTAGCATGGGCCACCAGGACAGACAGGAGGGCATTGACCGCGCAACGAGTCCACTTTGGATATATCCATCGGGGTAGCCAATGTTGAGACACCTAAGCCCAACACATAGAGAACCAATAAATTTTGCATGTTGGTAAGTGCACACTAAAAAACAGTTAGAATATTGAGGCATAGAGGTGAGAGAGCTGCGTACACCACAGTCATGCAAGGTGAGTTGGTAGGTAAACTGGAGTGAATTAGGGCACTCTACCAATCGTTCAAATGCTGATTCAAAGCAATCTTCTATATTAAATACGGTATATTTAGAGAACTATCGTTAGTTTAAATACAACCAGAAGTGTGTCCAAATATGTCAGGCAAGTCTTTATCTGATATAATAAAGTAGAATTCTACAAGTCTTTGCGTCATGAAATGACCAAATTCGGACGTTTAAACTCCAGCCGACAGGCCTGGAATGGCCTCAAAGCCTAAGGAAAAGTCACATGAGCTGTCATACCCCCCGGATTGCAATAAAAAGGAATATAGAATGGCTCGAAATGCCCGGTTTGAAACACGTTAAAGGTGCAAAAAAAGAGTTGAGACTATGGTAAATATAAGTGGGATGGTGTACTATGAACGCCTAATAAAAGGAAAGATTTCATCTCATAATAGTTCAGAGTGCCCTGATACCGCTACGTGGAAATATAATTTCCATTAACTGCTTTCCCAAGCGGTCTTAGGTGCGGTTGTGCCGATTCTTTCTTGGCCAGATAAGCATCACTGATATAATAGCAGCCAAGAAGTTCTGAACCACTCCTTGGTTGTGTTTGCGACTTGGTAGCTATGTCATCCATGGACGACTGTCGTGCGTCAAAACTAATCGTATGACTACGGCCGTATCTGATGACATGGTTCTGATTATAAATCGACTGGATATATAAGTGCAGTCCATACAGAGTAATAGTGGCTGCGCTTTCATTATTTTTAATACTCTTAACAAGGCAAATTGCTCGGGCTACTTCCATGTGTCCAGACTGCTGAATATTATCAGCCAGGCCTAGGTATGAAGCACTCAATTCGTCCCTGAAGTATTATTTATTTATTTGCGAAGCAGTATATACTCTTCCGGAAGAAATTGCTTATCGCGGAAAGAATCCAGAATGCAAATCTGCCTAACCCAGCTATCACTCTGGATAGCTTTTGCTTCGTGTGCTGTATTGAAGAATAATGACTACGACCTCAGTCACCTGAACGGTCATGACCATGATGTCAATCATCAGCTTTTTTGCAAACCTGGTCCTGTCTGTATATACAGAGATTGCTGGCGAGGACAGTATCGGGGTTCATTTGAATGCCTTGGGCCTTGGGATGCTTGTGAAGGGTGTGTTGTTCAAGGTCGTATGTCATACGTGTGCTGTGGAACGAGTCCAGTCTATACTGAAGACCCACCAATCCGGATTGAACCAGGTCGATGTTGTATCGGTGTAGGCTGCAACCCAACCTGCTAGGACCGAAATTGATAAGATGCTCATGTAGGATTTCGGGAAAGTGCTACACTGGGGTTCGGGTGGCTATCGCTTAAGATGAATATTTGTACTCTTTGTTCTTGCGTTATAATTAGTGCATCATAATATGAGTAGGTTTAGTGATTTTCAGCTCAACATCGTTGCTGTAGTGGGGCGTAGTATACTTCTTAGCCAAAAGTTTGAATACTCGCGCTAAGCAGATGGCGGGTATAAAAAAGAACGTTCGTTGGCGTGCCACACCCCGGAAGGTGGAAGTTGGCAGTGGGAAGTAGGTGAGATCTCCATGTAGTAGCCACGCTCCGAAACTCTTAAATACCCGCTTGCAGTACCATGCCAGCATGTTCGCGCCACCAATAACAAGCCAAACCATGTCTCGACGTACGATTTGGTAGGATTCGATTCCCTGTAGACAGGTGTTTTGAGTTGGCAGGTGATGGAAATTCCAGACCTTCCAGGGCTGACTGGTAACTTCCCCCAGTCTCATAACAGCCATGATCTCACCAAGTCAGGCTAGGCTCCAAACTTGGGCAACAAGTAATTTATGACCACTGTAGAGTAGGCTATCCCAGAATTATGGTTTCTGAGAGCATGGCTGTTGAGGCCGATCTCTCTTTTAGAACTGATGCCTGTCAGCCACCTTAGAGAAAAACTAATCCATGACTGTAATTCAACATTTCTATTCACCTTTTACATACTATACGATCTTAAAGGTGCCCCACTGCAGGCCGTATGCATTTTATACCGGTGCTTGGGCCTACGTGCATTCTTCCCGACTAATTATAGCCCGAATGTAGCCCGTCCCTTACCCTTAAGCAGAGCGTTGTTCCTGCACACACGTGGAAATATCTCCGCCTCGCAATTAGCTATGTACGAATTGTACGTGTAGCTTCGCTGGAGGTGGATCCGGTAGTAACTAACAAAACAGTCTGCAAGACTGCACTTCTTGATATCAACGGCTCTGGACCATCGTTGCTTCCGCAAAAGTCTAGGCAGTGCTGTGTCCCTTTTAGGCTTTGACTTCATACTGCACCCTATCTCACTGCAACGATGTGACCGGCTCGCCATGGGTTAATCCGAAGTTTACCTAAAACCAACTGCAAACTGCCAAATTCTCGGCCAAAGTGCAGTAGTCCAGAATAATCTAGGCTGGCCTTGGCTTCTCATCAAGCCCCGTCACTCCCACGCGCGCCAAAAAAAAAAAGAGAAAAGAAAAAGGCAATCAGACAAGTATGAACGATCGGTTAAGTCATGGATTACGCCCGACTACATCATTCTTGAAAGTATGCTTTTGCTGCTGGTGAGACCCGTGCGAATATTTATTCCAGATCTCAAGGCACCCCGGAGAGCTCGGTAGCAAGCGTGAAACTGGTTCTGGCGATACCGCCCCCAAACAACTCTTGGGATTGTCCATTTCCATTTCAAAAATGAAGACTATCTGTACCCTCGCTGTTTTTATCCTACTCCTTGGTACCGATGCAGCTGAGCATGGTGCTGCTGAAAAAGTCGGCTTCAATCTTCCGAGGAATGGCATCTCTGTGACTGCCTGTAAGAACTACTCATGCATCTGGCCCTGAAGTGCTGAGGAATGTAACATGTTATTAGTGAATGGCTTGATCGGACACCAAGCCTTCTGTGGTGGCTGGGAACCACCATATTACTGCGGTAACCTTTGCGGTAGCCTAGGATATAGGTGCTATCAGTGTACCGCGATCGACTGTCGGTGCCTCAGGTTTGGCTGCTAAATGAAGCCAGCTCCTGAAAGGTCGCCCATCAGGTTGACAAATGTGTTCTACAGTCGGGCTCAAGTTGAGCTTTGCGGTTTAGATAACAAGTCTGATAGGGTTCTCTGGAAACTTGATCATGGTGGCAATGTCAATGTCTTGCCTTGTACGAGAAAGCCTTCAGCAAAATGGTCTGGCCTCAACGCTTGATGTTTAATTAGACAGTCCGCGTATCCTCTCAACCGTTTGCAGGTTTGTCGTATGATTATACTAGCATTTTTAGGCGCTCCCATGACATGCAGTTGAGCACTTGTATATTGGTGCAGATTTAATTATACTTTTTTTTCGTATTTCCGCAAGCGGCGGTTGCGCTTTTCCATCAAGATCGGGACGAACAACGTACTCTAAGTAAGCGAACGGTTACAATATCACGCAACTGCAGGAGATACCAGTTTAGGCCAAGGTTCAGAGAACCAAGGTCACACGTTATATTCCTACCTATCACAAAACTCATCCGATAGAGGAACAATCCGAAATAACTGTATTTTATTCTGATGATTCACCAGGTTTATGACTGCCAAGTCCCAAAGGTTATGCAAAGACTAAACCTGGGCTATGGGTTGAGTCTTGGTTCCGAGTTTTCGACCTAATCCTAGTTCCTAGCGCAGTCTATATGAAATCTTAGATAAAAGATAGAAAATAATAGGAAGCGGGTAGGTTTTAGGAAAGCCTAGATTGATCAAAATCCGGTCCAGCTCTAGTGTGTAGAGGTTACGGCCCGGACGCAGGAGGTTCTATAACGGTTGGCCTACCGGCTACTTGCGGTATTGAATAGTAAGTAGGGCCATTTGGGCTTTCTAGGTAGATAGGCGCCCTGTGAAAATAGGAACTTCGTATCCTTTTGCTAATAAATTATATTTTATATATTTGCTTGTCGAGACTTTATACTTTCACATTAAACTAGTGGGTCAAAAGTCTGAAGGTACCCGAAAAAAGCAGAAGAATGCAACGAATTCAAATGATATCGGTCTACAAATTGATTTTATTGAAACCTTATATTAATGTTCTGTATACCAGCCATGCGCCCTATAGGGTTTGAATCGAGCGAGTGGGCCGGCCATTCTAGGGCCTAGATCCCGTGGGATTCAAGCCAGCCCTGCGCCTCACCTTCCTTCTACCTCTATAACTACAGGGGAAAAAGTCCGTTTGCTGTGTGCAGTGTAACACGTTTATTTGCTGTCAAGGATCCCTTCTAAGGACAGAGATGAGACCCGCGACTGGCTGCGGTACCCAATCGTGACGAACCACCGGGTTGGTCAACGAAGACGAAGATCTTTATTAATTCTGAACATAGACCAGCCAACCATCCGTGATCCTCCATCATACCACTAGAGAATCACTCTTGAGTTTCAATCACTATAAAGTCACACTTAGTGCCTTTCCTTGGATTGATGGCCCAGGATTTCCGGTGGCATTGTCGCGTCTACTCACCCGTCAGCGCCATTCCCGGCCATAGTTGCGCCCGAACCAAGATGTTCATTAATTCCAAGGTTCATCACAGAGTCAGCCAATCATCATTAAAAATGAAAACTGCAACAGCAAGTGCGTAATCATATCGGGTGACCTCTCTAGTCACTGATCAGACAACACTCCAGCCGCAGTTGTCTAGACCTGTATTATCATTGTGATACAAGTATTTGGCGATATTCAATGTTCGTTATCGATCTTGAACAAAGGCGCCATTTTCACGAATTGATGCGCTTGGCTTTTGTGTGAGGTGTACCGTATCGAATAGTCTGCTTCACCACTCGCTACGGCCATTTGCGAAAGCCCGATGCTCATTGGAGTCTCGAACCCCAGGTGCATAGTTCTGGCTTGAGGGGGGGGCGACAAGCCTCCGCTCTCTTAGAACGGCTTGTAGGATGATGTTGATCCTAACGCTAGAAAGCGCCTCATTCTTGAGGCTTCCCTCGGTCACAAAATCTAGATCCTTCAGGTCCTCGACTACACCAATGATCAATCAACATGCCCTTCATATCATTCCAGTCAGGATAGCTTACCCATCGTTGTGGGAATTGGGATTTCCCAGAATGGGATGTCCATAAACACAGGGGTCTTTGGAATCCTGAAGAGCATTTCCACATCCTCCATAGTCATGCTGCCGTACGCTATGGATATCTTGCCTTTCTTCAAATCCTCTATGGCATTATCCGAGTCTCGTATCAGTGACTCCAACTCCTCAAGACTCATCCCCTCTGGGGGTCTTTCCGCGGTTCAAGGAAAGCCTTGACCTTCAATATCTCTGCTAGCTTCCTGGATGAGTTTCTGGGTACCATGTTGGGTATACTGGACTGTGAGGGTAATATGAGATGGCTTTTTGTGAAGAGTGAGTAGACTATATGCTGGGATCGCGTACATGTCGCTGTTTACAATTTCTCTACGAGACTTCTTATTGACCATCCTTCAGTACATCAGTTTAGGAAAGAGCGATGAACATTGTGGTCGCTGAATCCGAAATAGCGCCCGTTATAGAGGCAGGTTATATACCTGCAATCTAGCGCTGAATGGGTATTGTAGTGATTGCGGCTGTATGATTATATTTGTGTGGGGATCTAAACATTCTATCTATGTACCTATATGCGTACACCTGGAATAACACTAGCTAGGTAATAAGGTATGTAGATATTGTATTGTCAAACTGATGGTTTCTTCTTCTTGCTTTGGCTCTAATGACAATACCGTTTCCTAACCACAGCAGTTCATGAAACACTCTGTGAAGCTACAATTACTGGAGTCGAGGAGGTGGCAGTCAGATCCCATCTCCTTCCCAGTTTGCATCCGGGGCCGCATGCAACCTGCTCAGCTCTGACGTATAACGATACGGCGTCCGTCTCGCCTCGCCCTGGAGATCACGCTGGACCAACCGCGCAAACAATGTGGGGGTGGTATGCTTAATATCCACTTTAAGAGGCTGTAAAACCTCCGGTTGAGCTTCAGTTCCAGATCCAGCCTCATATTCGGGTTTAGACTCGGGCTCAGCTAACCAGACATACGTCCTTGCTGCTTCACGCGAGTGGAATGTCTCCTTATCTATATAGAGGAAGACGTCGCGTCGAAAGCCGATTGGTATTTCATTATTTGAGAGCATTGTACTAAATCTACTCCGGAGCGCACTCGGGTCCAAGCCGTTACTATGGCTACCTGGAGCAGCCACCCAGTGTAGGGTCTCGACCAGTGACACTGAATAGTGTAATCCATGGTAAATAGCCGTTCCGATCTGGGACTAATACTCCGAAAGACGACCTATCCCTTCCCCTTTATCCTATTCCTGGTGGATTACTACAAGACCAAAGCGAGCCCTCGCTTCATCGGGGCCCTGGGCACCAGAACTAGGATCAAAACTAGAATTGCCCGCCAAAGTTGAACTGGATTGCAGTGCGTGATCCTGCCAAGGAACCTTCATCGCAACCTGAATATTCCTAATATCGTCATTGCTCAGCGTGTTCGCTACTGCCAGTTGCACCGCGGTCCATCGCTCTCAAACCCTCCGTGCCACCTCTATAGCAGCCCTGACATTGTCCGTCCTCGGCCAGAATACGGCCCGATTGTCCCTGTACTACGCCTGCCGTTATAATTCTGGCTTTTTTATTGCTCAGGCACAGGCAAAGGCTGAGGTCATCATCATTATCATCACCATCATCATTTTTACTGTTGTTATTGCTGTTGATGGCTTTGGCGATTAGTTCGTCCATGGACAGTCCGCAGGCGTCTCGACAGAGAGTGTTTTCCTCTTCTGGTAGAGAGCGGTGAGTGATAAGTCGGCGTTCTTGATCTGTTAGTCAGGAGGGATGGAATATGGCGTGGTTATAGAGAGTCCGAGTCGACTCGTCTAGGGTAAAGGGGTTCTGCCTGCGTTTATACCGAAGGGGCTGGTCTCCCCAGTACCTATGGGGAAAGACATCTTGAAAAATTGAATGAATATCCAGAAAGAAGAGGGCTGAGGGACTGGATCTGGATGATTTGTGAACAGATTAATTGTTTGCAGGAGCCAAGTAGTAGCGTAAAGTGAAGACTGCAGTCTTGTTGATGGCCGGGCTGACACGTGACGGTCTAGTGATATTCTATAAATGGGAGAGAGATATTTTGGTATAGTCCGACTCATTATATCGTTGAGCTTGAAATATATCCGTAGTACCTCCCATTCTTTAGACTTAAATTTCAATGATATCAAAACAGGCCGAGCAGGTTTTGGTCCAAAATATATATATCAGTTGTGCTTACACTAAAGGCCCGGCGGAGTAAGACGCACCGTGGACCTCCAACATACTTTATTAAGTAGACAACAACTGGAGCTACAAGAGATAAAGGTAATTATATTATCCTCTCAACGACATGTCAAAGCGGGCCTCAAAAGGTCTCGTATCGTCCCTGATGTTCAATATTAATCTTTAATCATCTCTCACTTCGCCGCATGCCGGTCTCTAATATTATCTAGCATCAATTAGACCTACACATAACTTGGTAGTGACTTATTGCTAATGGTCTAGGTTGTTGACATGTCAGGCTATGTCTTTTCGGAGTGTACGTATATAAACTGAAGTAGGAACGAGGTAGACCTAAACCCCTTCTATACAACTAGGTGTGAGCAACAAGTGTAATATGAATCTATCCTATGATGTCTGGTCTAATCGTTAATCACCAGGGATCCTACCATAATATATTCTGGTACTGTTGTGAGGATTAAATTCCGTCCATGGCGGATTTCGGATCGGTTCATATTAGCCTAGGTTATCTGCCTTCCAGTTTGATTATACTATGCTGTTTGTGCGGTGTCCACGATATACATGTCATTTCATCACGCCACTGGCTGCGGGAGTCCACGGATAGTCCGAGCCACCGTCAATCCTCCGCGCACTGCACAGCATAATCAGGTTTCGACATGTTCAGGGAGTATAGGCCTCGATAGCATTGAAGAGACGTGCGCCGTCCGCGTTGTCCTCGTTTCGGCGCTCCGAGGGCCGATCACCATAGGAATGAATGATGAATAGATTTGCACCTTCCGGAGTAACCTCTTCCCTGCGGTCCAAGGCATCGGCGGGCGGCGGACTGTAGGCGTTGATCTTGAATGAGTGTGCGCTTTCCGGGGCGACATCATGTTCAGCGGCGACCTGTTCGCATTCATTAATGCTTATAACTTGTATTGATGGGCCTTGGGTCCGTCCATACTTTCGAGGTAGGGGCGGCAGAGACCATGCCGACACCCATCAGGAGTGAAACAAGAGGCAGGAAGGTCTTCATTTTCGCGCGAGACTCTCTTGCTGTATGCGTATAACGGAAAGGTTGATAGGCTTTGGTTTGCGTCGCTTGCAGTATGGGACAACTTAGGGCCGCAGGCTGAGGGTACTTATATAGTGTCAAGGACAAGGGGAGATGTTTAAATGACTTGCAAATCCGCGAAAGCCTGGTCACTTGGCCTGCCATCATATCCGTGATCGGATGCAAATCGTCCCCGTGCCCCGGGAGCTAAATGCAGCAACGTTACATTAAGCCATGCTGGGTTATCTGATCCTTTGGCTATTGCTAGACGGATCTGTCTGATGGAATGTTATTTGTTCTTCTGATTTAACCGCACCAAATTACACCCTAGAAGTATCCGACCAGTCTCAATCCCACCGAGCAAATTCCTGTTCTCCATCGGTGTATCTCAGATATTCTGCTTTTGCGGCAACCAGCAAGGAGAATAGCCATGGTACCTCAAAGATCAGCCGAGCGTACATCGGAGGAAGGCTCTAGTCCTACCCAGCCATTCCTTGAACAGCAGACCACCTTGAAAGTGGAATCCCTCATCCCGCCGAGGGGTAGCCTTACCTGGATCATTCACATTTTGGCCTCTGGCGTGTCTCTTACGCTGGCCCTGGTGGCATTTATCATGAAGCCAAGCACCCTGCAATGTACTCACCAACTGTCGCCGTACTGTATGTACTCACACCTTCTTCCCTTTCTACGCATCACGCTTGCCTTACGCATAATGCTGTCATCATGTAGTCTAACGCAAACCTCAGCTCCACTTATTAAAGAAGGGTTCATCAAGTATGATTCCAAAAACTTCGACAACGAATTTGACAAACCGTCGAAGTATCGTGGACAACCCAACGATCTCACCGAAGCATCGTGGAAGGGCCTCTGGGAAAGTAAGCAGCACCACTCCTCCAACATCAACGCGACACTAACCTAGATAGCTCCTGCAATCGGAGTACTAGGAGAAAAACTAGACGTTCTCAATAAGTCTGGTCCGGCAAGTCTGAACTGGTTCCCTGCGCCTCGTACTTCAGATCATGGCGCCGAGGAGGAATTTGCTGCTTTAGTTGAGGTCTTCCACCAATTACATTGCATCGTAAGTCCACCTCCTGTCCATTATTGTAGAATCAATTATTGATTTCTTACTGGTTCAGAATACCCTTCGGTTGGAGGTCCATAAGAACAGCTACTACGAGTATTTCGGCGAGTGGCCGGATGGAAGTGGCCCTGGGAATGAGGCAGTTAAGCAGACTCATATAGGTACTTCGACCATCACTGACGAACCGGGCATTATCCAGAATCAAGTACTAACCCAATACTCAGACCATTGTATTGAACTCCTACGCATTACTCTGATGTGCACCTCGGATGTGACACCGTTAATGTTTAAAGATGAACCCCACGCGTTTCAAGGACGAACCCCCGACTTCAATACCATGCATACGTGCCGCAACTTTTGGGAAATTCGCGAATGGGTTGAGAAAAACGGCCTACCGCCATTATCCTGATTTTAGTCACGCTACCTTTCTCTACCAAGCCAGACAGATTGTCACTATCATCCCTCCAAGGCCTGATGACCTTCTCCTATATCTTTATACGGTGCCACAGAAGTACAGCAAGCAAGTTGATTGGCATTGTACACGTTCACGTAAGCGCTAGGATGAATCTTAAGTAACTGTGAAATCCTGTGTGAGGGGCCTATTGCGCCAAGGAACGGCATCCGCCGGCGTATCTACTCCTGCGGGGACAGCGTAATATTCACAGATGCCCTCCACTATATATTATGCCTTGGCATGGATCTATGTTCTCTTGGCGCATGAAAGGTGATTTGATCGGCGACGTTATTCCTCTTGTATGAGTGGGATTAGCTAAGACGTGCAGGACTCACACTCAGGAAGCATGGCCCGGGAACAGGATCCATCGTTAAACTCAGAATACTAGCGATGGACTCGCGACGGCCATACGAGTTTTCAGACACCTGAGAGCACATCCTTGGGTGTGGCATTACTCTTCGCGGTGTTAAGTCCGCTGCTCACCAGGAAAATGTAACCACGGCAGAGGCTCAAGGCCTGCGGGTCATGAGAATCCTCCAATGCTCTTTCCTGTGTTCATTTCGTTGCGTGTCGGTGGGCATGGACGCACTCTGGGCTCTTATTTGCTTTAGGCTAAACAGGGATTTCATCCAACGGTCTGGAGTATCCCATGCGATGTAACGCTGCCCCGTGACATGATATGGAGATGTTGAAGTATGATCTTGAGCGAAGAACTGGGGTTCTACAGTACCCAGCCACATACATTACTCAGGTAACTACACAGTCAGAAGATCTAGGTTGGGTGCTCAGCGAGGATAACTATCCTTGCACAGAACAGGAAGGCTCGTGCTGTGTGTATTGAACCGGACCATTCCCAATCGCACTCTTATCTATCGCGAAGATACCCCTCTAAGCTGGCCGAGAGTCTCATCGTGCGGCCCGACCACCATGAAACGCCTCTTACAGGACTTGAGACACTCAACACACGTGGCCCTCCAGAGGAAGCAATACACCCACGTGGGATCTAAGCCATTGTCTGCTTCCCCTCACTCCTTGCTGGCCCGCACAGTGCCCTGGTTGCTCCAACTTGGTTTCTTTTTCACTGCGTTTGCGTTTCTCGCGTTTAGGTATCAGACAGTCGCTACAGATCATGCGTGCACGTCTCATCTTTCATCCTACTGTGCGTACGTCAGACATATAGACACCTCGTGTGGTAGCTGAATCCGGAATAGCACCCGTTATAGAGGCAGGCATCATCCGATATGCATCCTACAACATAGCTGGTGACTTTGAGCAACCATCCGTCTACCGGGGACGGCCTACAAACAGAACAGAGGAAGCATGGAAGAAATTGTTCATAGGTATGACGGATCCTTAATTCGGGAATGTATGTTGCAGTCACTAGATTGAAGCTGAGCTCGTCAGCACCGGGCATCAACATCCCACATACGAAGCTTCCCTCACTCAATAAATCCTCCACCGTGAACTGGCTCCGAACTCCTGAGAATAAAGGTGACGGTTACGTTGGGTACCTGGAAGTGTTTCACCAGCTGCACTGCTTGGTGGGTCAAATATTCTGCCGCTCCTTTCAGACGACTTATTGACCAGAGACGTATAGCACATGGTCCGACTCAGGATTTATCAGAAGGAGTACGAGGATGAATTCGGGTATCCAGCGGCCCAATTCGAGCCGGAACATGCCGCCATTACAGCCACACATATTGGTGAGTAGCTGTGTGCCTTGTATAAGGACGTTACTCACTCTGAATGACCATGTAGATCATTGCCTCGAGACGCTGCGGTTAAACGTGATGTGCACAGCTGATGTTACACCGGTGATGATCGTGGCCGATGATACAGCGCCTCTGGGTCGCTATGTCGATTTCAATACCATGCACAAATGCCGGAATTTCTGGGACATCCGGGAGTGGGTTGACCAGAATAAAGTAATGGACTGAAGCCTTTTACCGTCCTTGCAGTGGCAAGTCGGACTATGCTTCCAAAGTACGTAGTAGTGAGTGAGTAGCAGTGAACAACGGAAAATGAAAGAATCTGTGAATGCCTTGAATCAATTCATAAATTTGTCTACATCATATCATGTTACATCATGTCTCTCATAACGTCGCCAATAGCCTCTGCACCACCACCGCCGCCCAGTAGCTTCTCGTTCAAAGTCTGAACAGTGACTCGTCGGTAGCTAGTCAACGGCGGGGCTCCATTGTCTTTCACCTCCAGTACGATATGCAGTAACTGCCCTCTAGGGAGCGCTTCACGACTGATGAGCTCCAGACAGCACTTGTCCGGCGGTGGCACAGTTACTTTGACCTTGCTACCAGTGTCGTTAAGTGGCTCAAACGTGAGCTGTCCAACTTCGTGGTGAACAGACCACTGCGTCGCGCTCGGGTCTTTGTACTGATACCACCTGAACGTAAGGGAGTCGTTTGTGTCCGGGTCGTATGTCTCCGAGGCGTCCAGCTCGAATGTCGAACCAGCCTCCAGCTCGAGATGTAAGGGTTCTAACCCTTTGCTGCCGTTCAGGATAATGACTGGTTGGTGGTTGGCCTTGCTCAACTCAGGCGAGAGTGTCCACTGCATCCGCGCCGCAAAGTCGTTTTGGAAAGCGTCACGCCACCGCCAGATCGTCGCGTGGTTGGACTTGTACGTCCGTCCGTCTAACCCAACCACTTCATCGACCGTGTCACTGTAGTGTCCGTTCCGGAGGCCTTTGGCGCTGATATCCGTGGCGATGTAGCGACCTCCCCATGAGCCCCACTCCGGGTGTTCTGGCACACCAAGGCCATTCTGAATCATGTACAGGAAGGTTGGGGTATCACCTTCGGGGATAAACATGTAGTCCGGATAGGTTGAGCCAAGAGGTCCGATTTGAATATTCTCTCGGATCCATTCCTTGCTGATCTTGCTTGGATCAGGACCGCCTTTATCGAATCCATACCAGCCATCGCCAGAGATACCGCACCATGCTGCCATGCCGTATTGATTCCAGCCATGAACCGAGCAAATATAGAAGAGATCAGGGTATCTATTGCGAATCCATACACCGGTATCGTCCTGGTCGGAAATGGTATAGACACGCAGCTTTGACCGGAGTGCTGCTGCAACTTCTTCGGACTTGGTGTTTTGAATCTTGAGCAAGACGGAGGCGAGGACGTTGGTGCCACCCCAGCACAAAATCCAAAGAGGCTCCGTCGAATCAGCCTCGATGCGTTCTAGTAGTAGTTGCCCGCCCTCACTGAGTGGGATATCGTCTCCGACCGCGGACATTCCATACGTCTATCGCAACCAAGTCAGCTGCCGATGTACCGACCGACGGCCCATATTTGCAGGGAGACCTACCTCGGCGCCTTTTTTAATAAGACCCCTCATATATTCCGCTGTAGGATACGGATCCTGCGGATGAGCATGGGCATTCAGATTGTCGACTACCTTTTCATAGCCGTCTACAATCTTATGCATGTCCTGTGGGCACACCTTGGTTTTCATCCAGGTCGATGTACAGGCCACCAATCCCTCTGTCTGGAACTGGTTCGCGTAGAGGAGATACCGGACCAGTGATTCCGCATCGTCGGGTTCATTGGAGATATCGCTGAGGATGAATACCCGTGGCTTGGAGGCAAATGTCTGGAGACGCTCGGCGTGTGCCATGGTGTTGAGTGTGAGGGTCAATGGACAGGAATGCAATGAACCTTTCCGGGAAGCGTGAGGGATTCGTTTCTTATTTCAAATCTGCAGATATGGGCCGATAAGAAAGATGACGACATGCTCAGGAGAGAAATCCACCGTGCGAACTGGCTGCGAGAATATCACCAGCATCCACCTGGGGACCGAAACAGGCAGTTGCAGCCACCAACTGCTGTTACGACGAAGAAAAACCGGGGCGGGGCCAAGCCGGGCTGAAAAGGGCAGTTCCAAGCAGCCGGAATTCCATCGGGAGTTTCATCGGTAGCGTCAAGACTCCAGGTTCGAACCCGAGCGAGACGTTCCCCACATTTTCACTCCTAGTCCATTTAATCCACCCAGAAAGGCCCCATGGGGGTTCCGGCTTCCCCCAATCTCGTGGAGTTAGCCTAATCGTCCCAGCCAATTCCCCGCGGGCGTACATTTACCCCCAATAGACTATGGGGAGAAGCACAAGGCTACCAAGAACGGTGCCAATCCTAAGTTGATGGCGTCAGTAGCTTCGTTAGTCTCATGAACCAGCGGTCTTGTCCGTATACCGCTCCGCTTTTCGCTTGCCCGAGTCGACGTGGTGTGTCGTTTATAAATATAAGTATGCCGGGGTGACACTTGCACCGTTGCGATGTGTATGTAACCTACTATTTTCACTTTTAACCTACTCTAATTGTGCCGGGTTTGCGAGCATCGGCAAGATGTTGGGGTCCTTCAAGCAGTCCGCTCTCTATCAGGAGCTGAATGCCCGTCTCGTGTTCATCGGATGCTTAGTCTCCTTGGGCGCCATGGGGTTCGGGTTTGACAACTCCTGGTGGGGAGGTGCGTTAGGTCTCGAGCAGTTTAACAAACATTATGGAGTATACGATCCAAGCACTGGTGGATACGTCCTTCCCTCGGAGAAGCAGTCAGCTGGCACAGGCACCGGTTCGGCTGGTATCATTCTGGGATGTCTCGCAGCCCCTTGGTTGTGTTCGCATTTGGGAAGGAAACCGACATTGTTGGTGATGTCAGGTCTCCTGACTGTTGGAACCGTTCTGGAGGCTTCCGCTGTCACCTCATTCTGGCAACTTGTTGTTGGTCGTATCGTGGTATATTCTGGTATCGGCGTCGCATCCAATGTGGTCCCAATGTATCAGTCCGAATGTGCTCCCACCAAGGTTCGAGGTTCGTACAGTGCTCAAGCGATCGAGTGGCAGACAAGAAGTGAATGCTGACCATCTCCGTCCAGGTGCGTTTCTAACGGCATACTCGATTTGGAATACCTTTGGTGGCTTCCTCGCGACCCTGGTGGTTTTCCTTTGTCAGAACATCAAAGGCGAGTGGGCGTATCTGTAAGTGCCTTGTCTTCCCTGTATCCATTCATCGTTGAATTGCTTTGTTTGACTGACCAGCACTTAGCACGGTCATTCTCTGTCAGCTCTTGGTTCCTCTAGGCATCGTGTTGGGATATCCCTTTCTCCCCGAGACCCCTCGATACTTGGTCTATCGCGGACGGTTGCAGGAAGCTGAAGCGTCCATGAAAGTTCTGTTTGGGGCCGACTACAACGCGAGCGAGGAAATCCAACTCTTGCAGCTCCAGCTGGAAGAGCAACTTGAATTCCACAAGGCAACGAGCGTGCTGGACTGCTTTCGCGGCGTGAACCTGCGACGGACCATCATCGCGATGGGTGTACAAATCCTGCAGCAGGCTCAGGGTATCTCGTTTATCAACAATTTTATCGTGACATTCATGAAGCAGCTGGGATTCCCAGATCCACTGAAGTCGAATGTCATTGTCCAGACTTGTGGTCTTGTGGCCAACTGTATCTCCCTGTACACTTTTGACAAGCTGGGACGGCGGATCAACATGCTTGTGGGTGCTTTGCTCATGGCGGCCATGATGATGGGGGTCGGTGGCGCCAGCGCATACGGAACGTCCAACCTCACCACCATGGCCCAGAATGGATGCGTCGCAATGCTCATTCTGTGGTATGTCTTCTACGGTTTATCATGGGGACCGGGTGTCTGGATTCTGTCCGGTGAAATCGGAACAGGTCAATTGCGAGAACGGACCCTGCTGTTGGCATCGCTCGGAAGTTTTGTCACCTCCGTGCCCATCAACTTCGTGAACCCATACGTCCAAGCTGCTATCGGCGGTCGTGTCACGTTTATCTACGGCAGTTTCTCGGTTGCCGCGATCGCGTTCGTGTATTTCCTGCTGCCGGAGACTAAGGACCGATCCCTGGAGGAGCTAGACGAAATGTTCCAGAACAAAGTTCCCACGAGAGAGTTTCCCACCTATGTTTGCACGGGTCTGGGGGCCCAAATTACGCAGCTGGAGAATAAGGACGACCTCGGCGACATGAAGGTCAAGCAGGTTGAGCATGTGGAAGCAGCGTTGTAGATCTGATCTGGTCCCTACTGCTACGCTCATTGATGAGCCGATTCAATCCTGGCGGGAAATCGGTGTCCATAATATCTATTCCCCAGAGCAGTTCTAATTGGTATGCCGGCTGTGCCACTGTATATTACATGAATCCATACGGACGTCTATAGTTATTTCTTTTTATTCATCTCTACGATCGGCACGAAATTGAAGCAATGATTCTATTCACATAATTGCAATGGCACATTCTAGAATTGTACGCAAGGCCCGTTACATGCCAAGTCTTGTCGAATTCCTATACAGAATCTGGGCCGTCATGAATACCGTTGGGGGTTTCATTTGACGAATTTACGGGCAACCAGCGCCTTTCTTCTCCATACATTACGCATACCCGTTACTAGTTATTCTGGAGTGTCCGAACTCTGGACTCTGGACAGATCCTGGCGCAGGACTGGGTCCACAACGCTCGCTTCGCACGCCGCCCCACACCATGATTCAACCCCCGACCCAAGGCGACTTGAACGGTTGGTTGACAGTGGTATTGCACCAAATTTAATCATAGAGATTGCATCGATATCGTTCTATCCTCTTCCATGGCCGTAGTCCAGACGTACTCGGTGATTATTGCTTAAGCCAGACGAAGACTGTGCCGCGGTTCACACGGTCATAGAGAACAAATAGTAAGCTCCACAGCGTGTTCTCCCTCCAGATCACCCCATGTGTCATCGAGAGGGCTATCCACCATAATTGATTTACTATGAGCAAGGATGCCACAAAATGCCTGCCTGGGGTGCAGCAGACATGAATCGGAAAGTGGTGGCTCCGCGTGCCTGTATAGGGAGATCCCGATCGAGAAAAGACGGCAACCCTAATTGAATCCACCGGGTTTCCACCGGGGGAATCGCACCACACGGTCCAGCTGACAGACAATACGGAGTACGGAGTACCGCTCCCACAGTCAGTTGTTCCCCGGTCGTCGGGCCGGACGAGCTGAGTCTTTCCGATTGCTAGCTGCATCGCTAGTTTGGTTCCCCACTCTCTCGCCACCCTTAGCCCTCAAACACAACCCGCCGGCTTCACATGTTTACCAGGGCTGTTCATCGACGCATTATATGACTCTCAAACCAAACCTCCGTAATGAAAGAAAACTGTACCCAGCCTAAGATATCCTTGCCTTGGGCCAGTAGGAGAGTGGATATCAGGTGGAACGGCTGAGAATTTGAAACCGACCAAGTGGCAAAAGGAATGCCTTGGCAACAGGTACGGCCATGTTGCCCAGAGCGCCACGCAAAGGAGACAACAGCGCCCAAGTTGAGTGGTAACAGCCTATAGACATCCTCTATCCCCTTGCACATTGAACGTCTAAAGATTCCTGTGCCCGACTTTTTTGTTTGGGCGAATTTGCGACGACCATCCCGAAAGCAAAGCAGCACTCAGAGAGTTGACGGACTTGGAATGGACTATTTGGACTGTCTCACCGGTGTACTGGGGCAGTCCAAACTGCCTTCGATGCAGAACAGTGATTTCAAATTTGTCCGTATCGACTAGGGCACGCAACACCTTTAAGTCGATATGTCCCGTCGCCTGGAATGCAAAAACGAAGAGCCATTCTCAGGCGGCCGTCACTAAACAAGCAATGAATTAGGACAGAAGAAGTTATGGGGCCAGGGCTTTATCAAATAGCACCTAGAGCAACTTTCTCGATCAATGGCCCCATCGTTTGTGAAGGAAGAGTTTCGGATTCAGAACTATATAAACACCAAGATAGCGTCGAAAATATATATTCATCTTCATATTCACACTGATATACTAGGCCAACCAGAAACAACATTCTCTTCACCTTTTCATCAATATGTCTGAAAGATTCCTCCGTGACCTACCCGAGATTGATCTCGTTTTCCCCAGCACTCCTGGACTGGAAGATGTAGTCGAGTTCCTCCGAAACGAAACGTTCCATGGTGCTGTGAAGCACTGTGTCCGTTGCGCCTATTTTACTGTGATCATCGGCAAAAAGCACCCTGCATTCGCCGGGTTGACACTCGACATGGAAAGTGTTCTGCTGGGTTGTATCCTTCACGAGGCCGCATGGACCCGGCTTTTACTCAAAGGATAAACGGTTTGAAGTCGAGGGCGCAAACGCCGCCCGGTATTTCCTCCAGAACCACGCCGAAGCACCCAAGTGGGATAAGCACCGAATTCAGCTGGTCTGGGATTCAATTGCCCTGCAAACCACCCGGTCTATTGCGATTCGCAAACAGTCGGAGGTGCACCTCATGACCCTGGTTAGCTTCACGGACTGTTGTGGGGCCACTCTTACCAGGTGACTATATTACAGTCTACGAATACAAGACGATCGTTGAGGCGTTTCCCCGTGGTGATTTGATGGAAAGGGGGAAGAAGGTTATGTGTGGCTTTTGCAGGGATAAACCTGAGACGACGTACGATAATCTTGTCGGTGGCTTTGGCTTGCGCTTTGGGTATGATGGGAAGGGCGAGGGCAACGACGAGTATGCGAAAGCGCATGAGGAACATAGTCGCCTAATGGGACCCCTGTTTGCTGTCTGGGATGAATTTTCGAAGTATGAGGAGTAAGCTATTCGCTATCGGATATGGCAGTGGCACGATACATGCCAGAGCCCTAGTTGTGATTGACGCAATGTTCTGTTTCTGAAAGCAGGACTTGTTGACCGTGTATGTGTGAAGCTGGCTGATAGTTGTCATTTGGTCAAATGTGTTTCGATATAACAATATGACGTATATGGGTGCATGAGAGTTTTGACGAGCAGGTCCCTTGTAATACAATCTAGTGAGTTTCATCCATATATCTCGAATTGCTGGATTCCGTACTAGCCCACTCAGACGGTGGGATATAGGAAATACTTGTATATGACACGTCAGAGGCCATATGTTTATGAGATCTGCTTTATTATGAAGCTTTAAGAGTTTCATAATCAACTTGAAGATATCTGGAGAGGTTGTGGAGGATATCAAGTATTTAAGAAGACGCTTCATTCTGACTAGAACGTCGGAAGCTAAGATAATTCATGATATCATCGCCTGTAGGGCACTCTCCCCACATACATAGACGTTCGGACAATTATTCCGCACTGTACTCTTCCTCTATATAATAGACTTACTCTACAGGCAAATCATATCATTTTCTTTCAAAGGGTATCTTTCTTGTCGCTGTAGTCATTATACCCTTAGCTGAAGTGCTTTGCACGCCCCCTGTTGATATCAATGTCCCGGTTAGACAGGAGGAGCCTCATTTTACATAGTTGTCGAGAATGAAGTGCCCACTCGCACACTATCGTAGGTTAGACTACGGAAAAAATAAAGAGCACAGGGAAGAGGTAGCGAAACAGCTGCCATATAGGGACATTTGCGTATATACAGTAAGAGCTAGTTACACAACGGGGTATTGACAGCATAGCCAAGAAGTGCAGACTTCCGGTAAAGCCATGGATAATAGATCCAGTAAGTCTTTTTGCGAAGAAGGTGCTCTTTGGTGTTAAACCTGCCCTAGGCGAGTTATAACATCATATTTCGCTTCAGCCGAAGCTTCTCTCCGTACATCGCAATGTACCACGGAATGGGAATGATAGCTATTCCAAGGAAACCTAAAAGACTATTTTCCCAGCCAAGGCCAAAGGAGTCATACATCGAAGGTCCCGCAAGTGGAAGAAAGGCCCGGGGATCGGTCGTAGAAAGGTATGGGCCGCGAGGGCAGAGGCAGCGGCTTCTGGACCGAAGCAGTCTATCAAGTAGGTCATCGAGGGATTCTTGAAGCCTACTATTACCCTTCTATGTTATGGATTACTATCTGGAGAATGCAGTCAAGTTACCGTAATGAAAGTAAAGCCAATGCCAACAAACGAAGTTCCAATAATAGGCACCACCCAATGTGTTCTAGCATTCGCACTCCAGCCGTACCAGAACATGCCAACAGGTATGGTCCAGCATAAGTAAGTCATAGGTGGTAATCGATCTTCTGGCTTAATGTTGGTTCCCTTTTGGCGGCTCGTACATCCATCATTTTGTCACTAAATTGCCCTTGGGCGATGAGGCATCCAAGAGTGCCGATGCCTAATGCAATATAGGCTAGGCCATTGATACCCATCGAGAAGCCGTACTGCCCCTTGAGCACAATTGAAAATGTGTTAAAGAGAAAAAATAGGAGACCTAAACTAAAGGCAGCGTACAGAGCTCAGAAAAGAACGATAGGCGAGGGGAGCAGGAGTTTGAACGGCCTTAGCATATTCCGCTTGAGCTTTGTCACCAATACTGTCCTGTCAGCGCGAAGAAGTGGACGTCCTTGGGCCTTGCACCATTGATTTTCTCTCTGTTAGAGTATAATAGAGGCATATGTTTCGCGTAAGATGAACGCTGCTGCAAGAAGAAACCCACTCTGATGCAATATTAGCTGCCGTGTGTCCATGCCAGGATGCAGGGAATTTCATGGCTTGCCATTAACGCTAGCAGCCGGAATACTCAACGCCATCCTATATACTGGCCAACAAAGCCACCGAGGATCGGGCCAACTGTCGGACCCATCAGAGGTCCGATCGAAATCAGAGCCACCCATCTGCCTCTTTGATTTTGGGGAATGAGGTCGGCCAGGGTTCCTCCACTACACGTAAGGTGTGCAGCCAAGGACGTAGATTGAAACAGATAGCGAAGCCAGCACTATGCTGGAGAAGTTAAATTCCTCCACCAGGAGCTCAGAAGCTGGGGCAAACATCGTTGAAGCTAAGTTCCTAGTCCAATAAGCTATTATGTGAATCCAGAAATGGCGGTAGAAGTATACCATAGGAAGAAGCTAGAAGGAAACTTACGCAACCAATTGGAGAAATGTGACTAGCACTATATGTGCCATTTTCTCGAGTTGGCTCCAGTTCATAGGGTTGTGTGGGCCACCTGGTCCGTCCCAGTCTACAACATCTGGGCCCTCCTTTTCAGATTCTCGCTGTCCTCTCACTTCGGCGGTCAGATTTTGGTTGGGTTGGGAACTATTTTGAGGGACCTGGCAGGGTTCAGCCACTGGTACAGTTGGCTCGGAGTTGCTACACTCCTTTCCTGCATTCATGGTTCCTAACTGGTACTCCTTGCTTTGTATTGACCGGAATAAAGATTAGTGCCAGGGAACACTGAAAAGGAATCAGATGCTTTATATATCTAGCGATATCGATGGAGATTAGGAGGGATGGTACGCAATAATTCGCCCCCAGAATCCCGCTACTTTTTGTTCTGAAGTGGGCAATTCTGACTATGTCTCGGTCCTACAGTCCTCAGGGTCCGTGTAAGGTACCCTTGTGGACCTGTGGTCATTGGTCGTTGTGTCTCAGTTTTCGGGCCTAGTCGCAATCGCACTGGGGTCTCAGTCAAGGGAATGAACCACATCGCATTTCAGGATTCTAATCCATCCACGGATTACCATATACATGGCTCCCACCCAACGTCTGACGATCAACAGCTCTTGTAGCGCACTTGCGCATGTCCTGAAGTGGGGCTCGATGTATCCAAGTATATGTCTTCATATCCGCATGAATTCCCCATCAGCATTGGCGTAGTTATGACCCTACATAGCCTCTAATGAAGACCGATAATGCGCTACGTGTACACCATACCGCATGCCATATGACAGTAAATTGTACCAAACGTAGATCGCTTGGCTAGTAAGACATATGATTGTTGTGCTATAGTTAATTAATACGGACAGTTGACCTGGCTCGTCTGGGCAAGCATGTCAGAAGTCTCTATAAACCTCTTTAAAACCCAAGCAGCACTTCACGTAAAGCTGTATAGGGTACCAAGGGTTAAACGCTACCTACACCTGGTCCACCCTACCAACAAGGATGTACGTGATATTCAGAGGACAGCTCTAGAAAAGGGAAAGCCGAGCACATCTGATGATAAGAAATGTAGTCATTTGCAAAAGATGTACAAAGTTTGGAGTCCCTAGGACAGTGACTCCTTCTATACGTTGTAAGCCCCAATCATAGAAGCCAACTCTGATAATTATTAGGATAGATTAATACGTTATACCTGGCAGAAGGCAACTTAGAAAAGTGAGTAAGGATAATATCAGACATTTTTCGATCACCTATCGACAGCTGTAATTTCAATTCAAGCCTGTAACAGCTTCTTCAGGATCTCCCTGATATCCGCCTCCGAAGCCTCTTTAATCCCCAATAACTGGTTGTCTGTTTGATCATATCGACCCCCAAATGCCGGATCAAATACGGCACGGAAGATATAAGGACTGAACGTCTCAAAGTCTAATAGGCCCTGAGCCAATCGTTCGTCCGACCTTGCAATCAGCTCGTCGAGCTTGAAGTCCCGGGTAGCCCACGGCTTTCCCGGCATCACTTCCTTCGCTAGCGAGAGTAGATGGTTCTGGGTAGTCACTAGGCTGTGGACAAAGAGGGAGCGGTTCTTTGTTTCGTCCCAATGACTCAACGCCGAGACGACCGAGTCCGCAACCGTGTCGAGAGTGGACGCGCTGAACGGTACGTTGCCGCCATCATAAGTATTCGTCGTCTCTCCGCTGATGTTCAGGAGGAAACTTCGATGCGAGCCGGCATCCAGCCAACCGCCCCCGTAAATGATGGTATAGGTGAGACCCGACTCTTTGGCCTTTTGGAACAGATATTCCTGAACCTTGACCTTGGGGACGAAGATCGGGAGCGTGCGGGCCTTGGGGTTGTCGAGGTTGGCACTGAACTCCGATGGGATGAATCGACGGACACGGGCCTCAACCGCCGCGTCGATCAAGGCGATCTGTGACCCGGCTGCAAAAGTGGGCACAAACGATAGCACTGCATCTTGGCCCGTGAAAGCTGATCTGAGGGACTCGCGCGACGAGTAGTCGACGTCGATAACCTTGGTATTGGGTGGGAAGGTTGATGCTGAATCGGGACGCCTGAGGACTGTCACGTTCAAGGTACCAGTTTCAAGGAGTTTCCGCAGGGCCACAGAGCCAAGGGTCCCTGAGGCTCCGATCACTGCGACGTTCATGATGGGCTGCATGATGCGAAGGCGAGTGCAGACCGGACCGATGGTCAATGGACAAATGAGTATGTTGGATTGAGGCGAATCCTTGTGGGTTATACCCTGGCCTCTCTTTAAATCCTACAGATTCCTTGATGTGGTACGTATAGATACTCTGCTGATTGAACGGACCTTTCAAGCCAACATGGCATTACCTTTCCGGCATCCTTTGAGATGACAAATCGACCTAACAGTGGCCGACCATGCGCATTTTGATACCGCATCGGGCGCGTGCAGTATTATCATCTATCGAGGTTATCTCTTGGCATCTGTGATGCTGTTGGAGGGAATACTAAGCATTGTGAGCTGCCATAAACTTCCCTTCCATGGTGGCGAAGAATGCCCACGGTAGAGAGGCGCCACTTGTTGCGAGAAAGGTCTCCCGGACGCATTGGCAGAAAACGCTACCCATTTTAGTGCCATGGGACACTGGGCCCAATGCCACATGACCTGCTCCTTAATCCCCGGTTTTCATCTGCTTCTCTACGTAACAAGATACGGAAGGTTGGTGTTTGCATGCGACCGAGCTTCCGGTTGGGTGGATTTTGAAACCCCAAAAGCTGCTCGATCGGCGGTGCTGCGCCTGTGATTGGAGGGTATGGGTAATGCTTCCTAATCGAGACTAACGCGTCTGTCGCTGGCCGTTGCATGCGACTCTGATTGGGCAACCAATTCAATATGGATCTCCAACCCTGGACGCCAAAAGCTTGGCACGGCTAAATTGCCCCCGAGTCTTGGCGCCGGGTGGATATACAAAGATGGAGGAATCGAGGGTTGCTTGACGGAGTTGGAGACATTGGCATGATCAGGAGCCTTAAATACACCTCTCCAACTAGGCAGTGGCGGTGACTGTTGATACTGATTCATCGAAATTTTGATCCCATATCACACTGGCAAAAAATGCCCCGTCAGAAGCGTCAATATGTACCCAAGGTGAAAGGTGCGCATAGGACCGGAACTGTGTCGGGCTCGGTGATTCTAACCCCACGGCCGATCAGGTTGCTATGAATGTTCTCAGCGTCGGATTCATTGCGACCGGGCAGAGCCGATCTGCGGCAAGTGTGTGTCCCGAGGCATACCCTGCAGCGGGCTGGGAATTCGCTATCGATTCAATGATGGCGAAACCCCGAGTAAGATAGAATGGGGACGCAAGCGGCTCCTTCGTAGGTATGGTTTGCCTGTGCCCCGACCGTTCCATTGAACTATATTGATGGCAGTGACAGGAGACAAGGGGGTGATCCCCCACTGCGGAAGGCGAATCGACTCGTGGCCGCTGGCTCTGATGTATCGGAAACATCTACCGACGACGAGGCAATGACTACCATGCGTCCTCGAAGTCTTCCTATAGTTGATCCCGGCAATGAGTTTCTGTTGACATATTGTAAGCTTTTCACGCCCGCCGGCCGGAAGACCGACGATAGTAACTCATCCAGTCTCTCACCACGTTGCCCCTCACATGGTCGTCATGGACAACAAGTACAATGGATGGCGGTCGCTCATTCTGCCTCTTGCGCTATCCGACCAAACCGTCTTGGACGCTGTTCTGGCGGTGTCGGCCTTTCACCTCTCCCATCAGGGGAGGAGCGGGCCAATGGTGGGACCGGACAAACTCTATATGCAGGCCATTGTAGGGCTACAGAAACGAAGTTGTCTGGATGAATATGACATGCTCACCCGGCAGTCTGTATTTGTGGTGATTCTCACCCTCTTAGTCGGGGTGATGGTCAATGACAGTTCCGATTTCCCCATCCTGTTCCACATGCTCCAGTCTGCGTTCGACACGGTCGGGGGTGAACGTGGGCTGGGAAACGGCGACATGGCCGATTTCTTACGACAGCAAATCCGCAAGTGAGTACCTGCTGTGTTCCGGCCGGGTCGAACCGTCGTGCTAACGAGATCAGAACGCGTGTCTACGCGGCCCCACTGCTGAGTCTGGAGTTCGGGGTATCGAGCATCGTGTCGTATGCCCTAGACAGCTTCGACTACTTGCATTACAACAGCCGCTTCCACCCCGACGACTCACGGACATTCTCGGCCATTGCTGAGCTGCAACAACAGGCATATGACATCTATCTCCAGCGCGCCCTCCTTGGTCCTCGGGCTACAGTTGACTGCGAAAAGATCGAGAGATTCAAACGGTCGTTGGAATTATTTTCGGTGGGATCATTCGGCGAGCATGCCCTGGTGTGGCCCACACTCATGGCTGCGTCCGAGAGCTCGCAGCAAGAACATCGTCTTTTCTTCAAGCACTTTCTCGAGAGGCAATATCGCAGTACTGGTTTTCTGAATTTGCTGAAAGCCTTGACGTTCCTGGAGGAGATATGGGCACAAAGCAACACCCATTGGCCTGCACTTCTCCCAGAACCACGAGTATTGATCATGTAGCAGCGGGGAACTATACTAGGTTATATAACCTCTAGAGCACGTCCCGCATTCATGACCATCCCAGGACCGCATCGCTTCTCCGATGAGTGAGGCCTCCTTCCCTCGAGAAGACAACCTCGCGGATTTGATCCCCATCGTTTCGTGTGCCTCGTTTCTGTTTGATGATCGCAATGTTATAGCGAAGTCGAACGCACAGACCATTGAACTCGGGAGCCCTTGAAAGTTGAAACAACCACTTGACCCCAAGCATTCAAGCACCAACCTCATTATACTAGAGATTATATAGATATCTATAATATGAAGATCGTCGAGCCACCGTTTGATAGCCGTATAGTGTAAAGCTTAGTCAAGTTATACCTTTGACTGAACCGGACAGCACCGGAAGGAGGGCTCGACGAAGAAGCTTATGTAACTGACTGACCGACGCCGACTCGGCCGACGACCATTGTCATCGTGAGTTGGGAGTCGGGACTACTATCTCTATCACTCCACCAACCAACATCCACGAGGATACCACCATTCGATCGGCCTCCCTTTCTTCCGCGGTAGAATTTCCAGCTCTGATTCCCCGGAGATCTGCGGAAAGGGGTAAAGCACCGGGGGTGGCAACACGTTTGCTGATCCTTTGCTTGGCAACGTTCGTCCCCCAACAGGAACCCCCTACCGTTCCCTCGATCTTCAAGGAAATCGGAACCTACTCGTCAGTTTGCTGCCCCCTAAAAACCATGAAAGTGAGAAATCTGTCGATTTGTGACACTTGCCGGGGTCGGAAAAGAAAGGTGAGAGCTCTGGAATGCTACCCGGATAGGCTGGATGGCGCCGCGCTGACGAGTGCGAGAGACAGTGCGATGGAAAGCGGCCGGCATGTACGCCTTGCCTCCGGGGTGGTTGGCGATGCTCGGGCTACGCACATCCCATCTTGATTGTCCAGCACCCACTTTCCGCAGCATCGAAGGAGGGACCGAAACGCGTTCCATGTGGCGATACTCGCCTGGAATGGTCACCAGGGACCATTACGAATCCTGATCTGGTATCAGAGTTCGCGACGTTCAAATGGTCGACGACGGAAGAATTCTACTCTTTGATCCTACAGCATTTTATCCCTGCCGAGGAGCTCCCACGACTCCCTCCCGATCCCGCCACGGCGGGAATGCTCGTCTGTAGCTCTTGGCTTCACGTCCTTCCCACCATCATGGAGAGGAAAGCATCAGTGCCGCTCATTTCTTCTTCCATCTCAACGTTAGGACTATCTATCCTGTCCAAGTCGTCAGGCCAAAGAAAGTGGGAACTGCGCTATATGCAATCATACGGTGCAACGACGCAGGCTTTGCGCCAATTGCTTCAAGCTGGAGCCCGACAACCTGGGCATGAGTTGGCAGCTGCGGCCCTATGCTTAAGTCTGATAGAGGTATGTTCCTCCTCGACTTCCGCATATTCGTCGGAGATCATGGATTACATATTCATTTAATTCCAGGCTCTCAAACCGAAATTTGACCACGGTTGGTTCGGCCACGTCCGAGCCGGGGCCGAATTAATTCAGCTTGCTGGTCCGAGGGCATTTGCCGAACCGGTTCCCCTTAAGCTCCTGATTGGATTCTGCCCGATTCTAGTGAGTCCCTCGGCTAAGGCCCTCTCAAGAATCCTGGAAGGTGACCGTCGTACCAGCTCTCCGAGGCGTGCCTTTCGCAACGGAAGTCGTTCTTAGATTCGGATGATTGGAGGCGTGTCCTGTTCCGCCACAGCAGCCCAAGCCCTATGTTATCACTGATGAGCACGGCAGCCATCATTCCCGGTTTACTGCAAGAAACTGCTGCCTTACCATTCCAGTCCCCGCACCACACTCTGTCTGTTGCCCATCAACTTCTGTCGGCGTTCTCCAGTGTACTTTTTGCCCTCGACCAGTGGGAGTTGTCACTGAGAGGCTCCACATCTGGCCCCTTGTTTTGGACGGGAGAAACACGAGGGACGCCCAACGCGGGCGGACCACCGCCCACATCGTCTATCCATTTTAGCGATACGTACAAAGCCATGTGCCTCATGCAAGCCTGGGCCTATGGCATCGAATGCCTCACTGGTATCGAACGCTTGGGATCCACCATCGATAGCGTACTCAGAACGTCTGCCATGAGTGAGATGCAGAGCGCATGGAACCGTGAGAGAGTCGTGGGCCTCGGTAGAAAGATTTATCAAAGCTTGTGGTATTTTGTGCAGGACGACTTGAGGTTATATGGCCCTGTGTCCACCGTATTCCCGTTGAACATCGCATATGAGGCCCTACTATCGCATTATCCTGAAGCCTCCGATGACGATATCAAAGGCTGCGAACACGCTATTTCTCTGCTATCTCAGAAAGGATTTGCCTTGCATCCACGAGCGAAGCACTCATGAAACGCACATTCGCCGCCAATGGTTCGTGTTCTCCCAGGTGGAGGATAGCCTATCAAGGAGTCGAAATGGTGTTGTTCCAGGTCGTGCACCTCTAACCGCCGCACCCCCTCCCCCCAAAAGCAAAGTTGGTGCGTTGCGATCGAATAGAGTCTCCTCCAAATGCAGGGCAAGGGTTCACCATTGCGTTGTGCAAGCATCCCCTACTGCGTGTTATTGGTACCTGAAAAGACCCGGTTGGACAGCCCTCCATACTGCGTTCCAGAGAGATGAGTGAAAGTCCAGGACTCTAAGTGATTTTCGTTCTCGAAGTGGCCGATCATAGCTGCGACGAGCAAACGGGTGGGTTATGGAAGGAATCCGTCCGTGGTACCTGGTTGGCAATGTCCGTCTGGTTAGGGCGCCAACGCCGTCCTGTCACTACGAAGCACACCTGTTAGACCAGTGTGGTCGGATTTGAGTCAACACAGAACCATAACAGGAATGAAGAGGATCAAGTCAGTCATTGCTGTTCTCTTTTTTTGCGCACTCTTCCACTACTCGAAGGCTTGTTGCCTAAAAAGGAGTCGCTACTGGCTTCTAAGAGACTCGAATCATCGCACAATGTGAAAGACACTGGGCATATCATCATGCGCGCAAAGGAGGACCGATGGGGGAATACAACCGGATTTGCAAGTTTGACTGAAAATAACCCATAACGCAACTCAGTTGCGTTTGTTCTGGCTCCCTCTTATCATGCTCTATTCCATACTTTTTCGCTACAGCGTATCTACGGGTCAGCGGCGCTTCTTGCTTTGGGCAACGCCACCGACGGCGAGGTGTAAGACCCTATCAACGAACTCGGTTATGTCTACAGCCTCCCACAAATACCCCCAGTCTCTTGCTTTAAGTGGTAAAGGCATTACAGGAGAACGAACTTCAAGAGAAGGCCAATCAGATACTAGTAAGAAGAGTCACCAAATGTAATCTGGTTGGCAGGAGTGGGATATCTATCCCGATTGCTCTTGGAATCTATCGAGATCTATGGGTGATGGCTTATAATTGAGCCAACTGTCAGGACAGACTGATAGACTGAAAAGACATTGTGATAATGCTACAGCTGCGGAATATTGTCTTCTTTAGTAATGATGTATGCTTTCTATTCTGTTACCAATAGCCGAATCTCGAATTCTCCATATCTTTTCCAAGGTATCATGAACCCTAGGCCATACCATCTAGATATCTGTCAGAATATTCAAACTGGAAGGTGGTATCCGTTTTACTTGTATAGAAAATCCTCAGGAAGCCCTAGCCCCTGTGGTTTGGAAGTCCATGAGTGAGTGTCCTGACTGCATATCTATTCTTGTCGTGTATACCATCTGAGGTCCCCCTCCGCGGCACTTTTCCCGGTGCTTTGAGTGCCATATCATCGTCATCATCGTTATTATTATTATGATGCCCAATACCCTTTTCCGAGCCGGTGAAGGGTTGGCAATCAATCGGATCACTACGACTTAGCTTCAACTTTAGCGGTTTATGTTTCCGCCGTGGGTTAGCGTTGGATTCCTCGCTCCACAAACTAAATTCGGGCGAACGTTCAACGCTTGGCATTTCGCTGACATCCGAAGTCTTGATTAAACTTCGATAACGATCAACAGCATAAAACTGGGTATCGTGTTCTCGTGACCATATACAGTAAAGCCAGGATCCCTCAGGGCGAGTCTTGAGGCCCCGATGACGCAGCGCCGAGACTACTCTTCTAGACGCAACAAACCAGACTCCACAGTCATTATCATGGCTCAAATTCGTCTAACAAACCTGCGAACATGACTCAGCGGCTACGGAACCATGAAGGCCGCTATCTCGTCAGGCTTTGGAAGCGCCTCACGTACTGCTGCATTTATGGACGCTGACGGAAGCCGGGCAAGATTCCGGGCTCCGAAGCAATGGGGTTACGCATGTCTGGGATTATTGTGCCTGCCAGGAAGATGATTCACAGGATTCTGTTAACCAGGTCGGTCAGTTCAGCAGTTACGTTGCTCGATCAATGGCGTTGGGATATATAACGGGATGATAATAACGGCGGCACGCCCTATCCGGAACGATACGCAGTGGTTCTGTGTATGATCAAGTTGCAAAACCCTCTTTTTGATTGAAATCATATAACGATGTCAATCCTCCCCGAGACCTCGAGCGCGTTAGTTTTCGTAAACGTTGTATTAGGCTGTGTCTTGCTGCCAGCACTCATCCGAGCAGTGACCTCAACCCTACGTTCTGTGCCTGGACCTTTCCTGGCCCGCTTCTCTCGCTTATGGTACTTCATTCAGGTGTATCGCGGCCGATTTCCCTGGTCTAATATTGAATTGCATCGCAAATATGGTCAGGAGTTGCCCTCGCATTGGCAATCGCCGTGAACGAGATACTTACTAGTGTGTCAGGAGCTATTGTTCGTATCGCGCCGAACGAATATTCCATCGACGATCCTGCAGCAATCAAGACGCTGTATGGACCCGGTACATCGTTCACCAAAGGGCCCTGGTATGATGGAAGCCATAATATCGGCGACGAAAAAGTCAGCATCTTCGCGGCGAGGGACCCAAAGGCCCATAACACTGAGAAGCGCAAGGTCGCATCATTGTATTCAATGTCCTCCGTGGTGAAGATGGAATCCGCCGTGAATGGGTGCCTGGAGCTACTGACCGAGAAGCTCCAAGAATTCTCGCGGTATGGAAACTCTTTCTATATGAGGCATATCCAGATATGGAACGTACTGAGTGCTCTTTAGCAACGCAGACACCATTGATCTGCAGTGGTGGATGCAATGCTATGCGTTCGACGTAATCGGCGAGATCACGGTACTTGCCCACGGCCATTCAACCTCTGAAATTCCTCGCGCGCTAATCTGACTGTTCTTCTTTCAAGCTAGGGCAACGTTTCGGCTTCCTAGATACCGGGAAAGACCCAATCGACCTCGTCCACGCTATAGACGACGTCCTTATTTATGCTGCTCGCGTTGGCGTTTATCCAGAACTACATTACACACTCTCAAAGCTCAGGGGCATCGCAGGCCCTAACGGATTGACCCGGGCGACAGCTTTTGCTGCCAGACGAATTCAGGAATACAAAGCACAATCCACATCATCGGATGACTTACAAAAGTCTGATGCAATGCTACCCCAGCTGATACGACTGCATGATCAGAAACCAGATGTCGTGTCCGAAGGAGATGTCATTCGAACCTGCACACTTAACATTGTCGCCGGTAGCGACACCACGAGTATCAGTCTCACTGGTATACTTTGGGCTCTGATGAGAAACCCAGCGGTCATGGAGAAGGTGTGATAGGGAGCCCTCTAGTTCAAGGCGTACTGCTAATGTTTCCATCTGTGTCAAGCTCCGGGCTGAAGTCGACGAACTATATGAAAGCGGCAAGATTTCAGATCCCGTATCCTTCGCGGAGGCTCATCAGATGCCGTATCTACAGGCAGTTATCAAAGAAGGTGTCCGATTGCATCCTGCTACTGGGCTTCCCATGTCTCGGGTTGTTCCTAAAGGTGGTGCTACAATTGCCGGTAGATACTTCCCCGAAGGAGTGAGTTCACCCCTGGTCTTCCAGCAAAAGCCAGATCATCGTCATATTAATGCACAGCTATATATAGACCATCGTCGGGATTAACTCATGGGTAGCTCATCACAACAAGTCTGTTTTCGGTGAGGATGCCGATGAGTTCAGACCCGAGAGGTGGTTAGTTTCAGCAGAAGAAGGTCAAACAATGGACAGATATTGGCTACCGGTGAGACCACTACCCTTGACACGTAATTTTGTCTCTGACAGGGAGAATAGTTTGGCCATGGCTCCAGAACATGTATCGGCAAAAATATCTCCCTGTTGGAAATGTCTAAACTTATCCCTCGCATCATACGCCGGTTTGATTTTGAACTAGCAAATCCACACATGAAGCTGGAGACGAGCAATGTCTGGTTTGTAAAGCAAACCAATGTCAAGATCAAGCTACGTGAGAGGAAGCATTAAGGAAGCGATACTTTGCAGCCCCCTCCCGTCATATCGAGAGTTCTATGGATAATCTCTGCCATGTACAGAAATTTTATAGAGGCCCTCCATGCATCACCAACAGGCCTTTGTCATTTTCATATTGAGATATCAATAAATTGTATGCTAGGCACATGCCCTTCAGTGGAAACATCTGCAGTATTTTCACCTGGCATCAGAGTGTTTTGAACTCGGGCGCCAGGAGTCTTGTAGTTGTGTTCACAACATAGTGAAGAAAGTATATAGTTCATCAAATAGAGGCGATCTGCGACAAGGCAGTCACTTTTCCCCGGTCCCAGTTTTGATCTGGTAGGTGGTCTCAAACTACGACCTCGTGTTCGGATCCGCAGGCTGCGTGCTGGGAGTTAGGTAGCTGAGAACATAGGCCCATACTGAATCCATGGAATTTAAAAGCGCATGTGATGAAAGAACGATGGACTTGTAATGATTCTTAGCACGAGGAAGGATGCCACGAAGCCAAAGACCAGTTGCGTACCTGGACTAGGTCGAATTGGTTTCTTAAAGACTGCCTTCTATGGGCAGACCATCAATGTAGTCAAGGCCGTGCGCGCATCTCATACGTAGATTTACGTTATGGAAACCCAATGGACCTGACGTAATCGGGCCAAACCCATTTCCATGTCAAGCCGTGGCTCAGGGCGCCTCTTAGGTACGCACATAGAAGCCCGCCTTGTTTCAGTCGGCGGGTATAGCTTCCCGGTTGAGACTAGGGGAGGGATCGCGCCGGTCTTGGCCCCGGAAAAGAAGCTCCTAAGTCTTACATCTCCCGCGGGCATAAAATAGCTGGTTGATCTTGTGAGCAACCGTGGTACTGAACGAAGACTGGCGGTGTCTCCATCTAGCTAGTAGGCCCAAAGCTGGCGAATCAAAGCCCAACGACATCTCAGATGGCAGATGGCGGGCCGCTGTTGGTTTTATCATCGTAGCAGAGCGACACGAAGAGGGCCCATCCTTTCAATTTTGACCAGTCACACGGATAACATGATTCCAGTTTTATCCCAGGAAAGTATATTCAAGTATGTCTATGTCACAGGCACTGCGGAACTGTAAGGAACGCAAGGTTCACTGTGACCGTCGCCGTCCGTGCTGCCAATGCATCAAAGTCAATCAGGAATGCATCTTTCGCACCACAAGTAGAATATTACGGCAATCCCCACGAGTGAGGCTGAATCGGCCAGCTCCTGCTGAAACAGGAATTGACTTAATGGGCCGTGTCCATCGATTAGAGAGCATGGTCAACCCTCTACACACCAGGGCCAAACAATAGCCAAAGCCAAAAGCATCAAGGACCTGTGGATATCTCCAACTCCGACGAGTTAATCGAAGACAAGGACGGCCCCTATGCTGCCGACCTCCCTATTGAACCCGGGTGCTCCGGCCATGAGTCCTCCACCAACCTGTCAGCCCCGGGCGTTATGGTTGGCGAAGAACAAGGAAAGCTCTACATAGGTGATCCCTTCTGGGCAAGCCTACAACACGAGGTTAAACAATTTCTTACTCACTTTAAATGAGAGCCCGTGGTATCAGAAAGAATGCTAACCCTTTGGAGTGAAGCTACTACGGGAAGGGCTTTGCAAGACCCAGTTACCGGCACACATCTTGCCTGTTCTTCAAGAACAGCTCCAAGTGATCTAGATCCTACCGACGAAGATTCGTTGCCGCCGACAGCACTCAATATCCCTGGCCCGAGGTACTAGGAACAAGTCAATCGTTTCTAGGATCGTACTCTCACAGCATACCACCAACAGATGGCAATGACTTAAATACAGGCATAGGAAACGAGAGTACGATTTTGACTATCCCTCAAGGCAATGGACAATTGCGAGAGGCCTTGATGGAAGCAGATTGGCATGATCAGAGTACCGTCGGAGCTCCTTATCAACAAGTCGAGACTGATGAATGGAATGAAATGTTTTCTACGGATGGACAATCAACTCTATGGGGCCACTGGGGCCACTGGGGCCACTGGATATTGTACAGTGGCAGATGTGAGTATAGAGCCGGGTCGCATTCACAGGTGTTTATCCATCTAAAGTCCATCATGTAGGTTATGAGACAGCGAAACGTCGCTAACATTGTCTAACGAGTACGGGTACGAGTACGATGAACACGGCGATTCATCGACAGTTTCCTGCAGATCAGACCAATTTCCGATCATACCCCATTTTCCCAGACTACTATGCCTCTGGGTATAAGGGTTATAAACGGGCGTGATGTGTCGCTTGTTGTATATAGTCTATCCCTCATTGATAGCTCCATCAGCCTTCCAAAGCAATCTCTTGCAGCTTCCAATTCTATACGCCATGGGGGCCCTCAGAGCAGCCATCGCTTCCGGGATTTTTCTGGCTCCAACACTAGCTAATCACCTATATATTCCTCCAGTCTATCACAATGGCAGTGTCGAGGTTGAGGACCTTTCTGGTCCCGGCAACCTGGACGGGTTTAAGATGACAACGCCAGCGAACAGAAGTTCATTTGACTTTTGGTATTTTGATGCCTTTTCTAGAACCACCAGCGCGGCCATCAACATCGTCTTTTTCAACACGGGTGATTTTGCTGCAAACCCGCATCCCTTGACGGTGCAAATCTCTGGCACCTTCGACAATGGTACCCAATTCGCCGGAGAGGTCCTGGCGTCCGGAGGCGCTGTTATCACCAATGATGAGACTGGAGGTACCGGAAACTGGCTCGGCTCAGGGGCCAGCTTCCACGGTACCAGCCTGGAGAAGCCCAACGTCGAGTACGTGATTAAGCTCAACTCACCCAACATCGGGGTGGGAGGCACGGTGAAGTTGACATCCGTGAGGAACTCCCTGTCAATCATTATTAGGACCATCACTAACTTATCCACACCTGCAGCGCGCACCACCCCACTACCCCTGCAACCCAAACTCCGATGGTCTAAACACTCTCCTCTTGCCCCATCTTCACTGGTCCAACGCTGTTCCCGATGCCCAGGCGGATATCGATCTCACCATCAACGGTACCGAATTCAATGTGGCCGACGGCATTGGATACCACGATACGAACTGGGGCGACGCATCTGTCATCACCAGTCCCAAATACTGGGATTGGGGGCATGCACGGCTAGGCCCCTACTCGCTGGTGTGGTATGACCTCCTCGACTACAATGATACCGAGCATGTCTATGCTTATATCTCCAAGAATGGTCAATTCATGCACATCAATTGCGCCGAGAAGGCTGTCGAAGTGCGCCAGTGGGGTCCTAATGCCACATACCCACCACCAGTGGCATTGCCGCCAACGAAGGTCTGACTGCTCGATTCGATCTGGGTGGTGGGCAGGTCTTTGTCGCAAATCTGACCAAGGAGGTGACAATTCACGATCAAATTGTTTATGCTAGGGCGTTGGGCTCTGTGACTGGTGGGATTGAGGGGCAGGAACAATACCAGGGTCGTGGGGCCTATGAGGAGTATGTGTATGGGCTGTTGCATGGCAAGTCCTAAGGAAAGAGTGTATGATACTTTCTAGTATTACGTGTTCGTATTTTTCTCGTCGTAACTGAGAAAGGATTAGGTGGGACTTAGATTGCTTGAGGATGAGGTTACCCAACGGTGGATACTAGTATCGCCGGTCAATACAAAACTAAATGTCTACTACATAAAATCGCAATAGATCCCCTGGCGTGTCCCGTGTGTTCGATCCTAGGTATAAGACTAGTTTATTTCGTCTGCCAATACATCATTCGCAACAGAGCTCACTTCGTAGGTATACACCCTGCCTACCGTGTCCTTAGTTCGTATCTCTCTGCAAACCCGCATTTAAAATAAGTGCAACGAGTGTCGTTGGAGCCACTATGTGGTGCCTAGGATCCACGCAAGCCTACCTGAATACAATAATCGTTGTAGGTGGCAAATCTTCCGTTGAAATTTTCTTACTGCCTTCCAAAGATGTTATTTTTAGTTCGCCTTTTCAACCCACTATTCAATGAAGTATCCATAGCCTCACAAGTCTGGAAATCTCGCGGTAAATTTCTCAGGCTCGACCTAGACTAGATCCCATAGAATCCTGGATACGACTAAGTAGGCCCACTCCATCCCGGACCCGCAATACGAGTACGTTAAAGATGCAATTGGCTGCTATCGGACTCCACTGAGTGTTCAAAATGATCTGGTAAAAGTTTTAGGGGACTGTGAGAGGAAATGTTGAGTACGGCGGACTAATATATGAAGGTCGAGGCAAGGCCATCTATCTGCTCAACTTTGGCATGAAGCATCCTTATGTGAATGGGAGTCTTTGTATCCAACTCCGAGATAGATATATCTCGTTCAACTATAGAATGCAACAACCAAGTAGTTCATACTGATAGAAACAATAGAAACGAAACGGATATATATAAACTACCGTAAGCTAAGAGAAAGATGCGTATATTTCACACCCCCATTTCTACTTCACTATAAGCCCCCTCTCCAAGCACCTTTGCCGGATGAAGAAAATGAAAAACCGTCTGCACCATGAACATGGGAATAGTATCAAACACATACATAAACACTTCATGGCTGGCAAGATAGCCGTCATTCCCTTGGCAGAATTCAACAATGCGAAACAGACACCGAATAATAATCAACAACGACACTCCAAACAGGACATATAACAACGGCCCATACGGCATTGAAAGCACCCGGGTGCGTTTCAGCTTCTGGACGCGTTGGTGGAAAACAACTGAAAGGGTGAAGAATCCACCAAAGAAGATCAATTGCACGAAGAGTCCCACGATGGTCACCTTCTGGCCGAGACTAGACATCGAAGAGATAGCCATCATACCACCGCCAGTGGCTTGCATCAGGAATGCAATTACATCCCCGATCACGAAGATCTTGGTGACCTTGTGTGGTGCTATTATGGATAGTTCATGCGAGCGAGCGAACAGGACAATGCGGCTGTATATCATGTAGATTGTCGCTGCGTAGAGGGAAGGGGGCAGGAGGATGCAGACGTTCTGCCCAATGTAGGGTCCGATGGCTGTTTTGTCTTTTGCTGAGGCCGTGCGGAATATGTAGCCCACGGTCATCACTGGAAAGACGCCTGTCAATACAATGTACTTCGAGGGAGGGGAAAGGGATTGTCTCACTGATCGCTCCCACGACGAACGTTGTGAAAAACCAACTACGGAGCTTCCATAGCTGGAAGATGTGGAAGCCGGTGCTCGCGCCGTAGCAGATAAGGGCGATGACTGCGGCTGCTACACTAGGGCTGTAGTGATAGAACGAGTACTCACTCATCGTGATTGATCGAAAAGGTGAGGTCAAGATGGAACACTTAGCAGGGCAATAGAGAGAAGTGTGTCTGTGAGGGAGGACCTGGTAGAAAAACACTGCATTATATAGGGAGATGCTAATATTATCTACGCCCCCAAGGGCTTCAACAGGATGCAGTCCACCTACAGCAGCACTAACACGGTCTAGTTTAGCATCGATTCGTAACAACCTACTAGTTGATCTTCTGCAGGTCTGTAGATTGTGCCCTAGTAGCTTCGAGCGCTAATCAACCAATGATATCACACCCGTACTCGTACCTTTCGTATAGGGATAACAGAGCCCTTTTCCTCCTAGCAACAAAGTTGTACCGAGTAATTATAGAAAGCGCACCATTTCCCGACAATTGGAGAGACAATTTCAAAGACTGTTAGCATGTCCTTTAGACAATAACAGGTATACCTTGAGGACAAGAGTCGCCCGCTGTTTCTGTCCTGTACGAGCCATTGACGAGAATCGTAGGATAGAATATACATTGGAGGTATAAAATACCATACCATACACTATGCTAACGATTATACAGGGGGAGCTTGACGGTAGACCATGCCTAGCTCCTCCATCGGCCACTTAAGCCAACCCCGAAGTGATGGATCCAAATAACCAGATACCTCTCGTAGCAAACCTTCGGGCCACCTATCAATCCAATACTTGGGCCCTCCAGTCCTCAGAAGAACACATGAGTAACCAAAGATGACCAATGCATAAGGGTCTTTCCGTGCTAATAAACTTCCATACTCATCCCCGAACAGACATACCCATCCAAAGAAACCCGAATAGGGCATTTTCGACCACTTGATGAGCTCATTTGCAGCACTGCGATAGGTCATAATTTGTTCTGAGGCAAGTGGCATTGTTTCAATATAACCCGCAAAATCATTCACACACGACTCAAGCTCCACAGGCCCGTTTCCCAAAGGCTCACCGTCAAACAATGCCCCTAAGACGCCAGCCTTAATGTGCGCCCAGGTCGACAGCATGATTGTGCGAACTCCTTGAATATGCACGATCCAAGGAGCCAGGACATCAGTCCCACTGCACAGGAGGCTATCGTGGTTATACGAAGTGCCAAGTTCGAAGACAAATGCAAGTGCCGAAACAGCATAAAGCGCATGACAGTTTGATGGTGAGATTCTCGAGAGTGCCAATGAGGAGTCTTTCAAAGATGCCTCATACTGCTGATAAGCGTATGCTTTGTAACGCACCTCCGACGAGCCTTTGCGGCATATATGCAGGGCAGACACGGCCCTGATCATGGGCAGGAGAAATCTGTGTTCGAAAGCTATCTCAGGGATCTCAAATTGCCATATATAATGGAATTCAGCTTTATCAGAAAGTGTCTGGTATGTAGCCGTCGAGTAATGATGAATGAGCCTAGAATTTAGGACATCATCGTCGCTTACTGATGGTTGAGGCTGAAGAGATGAACCTGACTGAGCCCAGGGGTTTGGGGGCAAAGTCCTGGTGGTCCCTATGTTAGAAGGGGAAGGGGATGGGGTAGCAGTAGCAGACGCCAAAGAGCTGTGATCATTCATTGCTTGCGATCCTGCATATTCGCACTCTATACGGTGTTGGACACAATTTCTGCACGATGGCTTTTGTTCGTCGCACTATGCCGCTAGTCAGTTGTAGTAATTGTCAATACTCCGTGCATTTATGTACAGACACTCATTACAAAGCATACAAAATGGTAGTTAGTGAGCTAACTATCGCTTTGGCGAGGAAACTCAGATATAATTATATTATATCAAAAGAAAGAGATCTCACCTTTATCCTACGCCTTTTGCAATTTGGACACCCTGTTCTTGTTTTCCGATGTGATCTCCTGGCTAGGGGCATCGCGAATAGTCCTGGGCGCAGAACCAAGTATATAGAGAGCGCTCAAAAGAATAAGGAATAGGAGAGATAAATTAGACAGCCGTGATGGAGATTAGAAGGCACGATCTCCTCTAGAAATCTCTAGGCAAAAGAACCTCCTGCAGTTGCACTGCAAGATCGAATGATCAGTAACCAAGAGAAACAAAGCTTCGTAAGCTGACTCCTATACTATGAAACCCAGTTGTAGGCAAACACAGTTCCGAAACGTGTTCATTCTCTGGCTTGGGCCATACACAGCTAAGGGACGGACATCAGCCGCAAGCTGGATTTGATACTGGGGTGAAATGCCTGGAGGTCACCTGACGTTCGGTCCCACCTGACGCTCGATTTTCTATTCAACCGCCTTTGAAATGAAGCCCTAGAGCCATATCATACATTAGATCGTTTCTGAATCGTTTAGTAACTTCCTATGTGCACTACCGAGAATCTAGATCACCGGTTTAATGATCGGGATGTGTTGTAGTCCGCGTATCCGTCGCCTCCGCCGATGTATCGTATTAGATTGTTTGGATCGCTATATCCGTTTCAGTATATCCCTCGATATCAATTGGGTGATGAACATTATATTCATCTGGTCTACAGTTGATCCCTTGATTTGGCATTTTACAAACATATTTAGCAACTCTTGCGCCACGAAATAAAGATGGTGGGTGAGCACCACGCGTGAGTATCGGTTCTAGAAATTACAACGTGCTTATGTTTGGTATGAGGTCTTCCCTACGGACCCTACCCCATGAAACGCTCGATCAAACAGTATCCCAATAACTGGGAATTTCGGATGCGCTATCAAATACCGCGTACTCTGGGGGCTTTCCGTTTGATTCGTGCCCTTCATGTGTTGAAGGATTCTCCGGGCATGTTTCAACCAGCTTCGCATCATGGACATGGTCGCTATACTGGGGCAGTGCCTCTTCTCCCTCGTCCCAAGTCGCAATGTCTAATAGCGACTGGCGACTAATGCTGGCCGGTGGACAGAACAATAAAAATATTGGAAGGGAAAGGCGAACCTACCGATGATAAGTATGATATACCGGGGTGGATAAGGATGGCTAACTAACCGAAGATAGATGACCATCGGGGTTCAACAGAGTGATTGAGAATTGTATCGAATGTCTAACTTGCAGGACCGTGGCCGCAGTGCTTTGTAGACACTGCCGGGTAGACTTTGGTAAATGAAGCAACCGGGAGCATTGATACCAACATCTGTCGTCCGTAGTTATATCCATATCCTCCCAGGTTGGAGGGTCAAATACATCGGTCAAAACCTCTCGGGATCGAGAAGCATGGAATGGCCTCGATACTGTATGTGTTTCAATAATCACTGATCTAATAGTTTTCACATTCAGGCTCTTCAGCAAAGGAACGAAGCGATATGTGACTCGGATATTGCCGCCGAATTGGACAATCGGGGTTGGAATGCTGACTTGGTACATTATCTTGTTCGGCCAATCATTCTCGATGCTCTACCCGGTATTAGCTCCTGAAGCTCTGGGTCTATCTTGTAGGGTGAGTTACTTACACTAGGAACAGTACGCAAGGGCGTCTCGTAGACCTTTCGAACGCTGATCTCTCTCGACGTGGCTACACTCTCACCTTTCCGGCCATAGATCTGTGCTCTCAAAAAATACTGAATATAATAGTCATCCACGCCCGTCATGGATTCCGGTAACCGCCCAGGAAGGCACATTTCGAAAGGAAATTCATAATTGCCCGGCCCTAAGATCGTTGCGGATCTTCCTGCCGACACCCGCAGAAAGCTCCAAACATCATGATGGAAGGGCAACTCCTTCCAAAATGCTTTGTAATGTCGATGTGACTCGCTTGGGAACGCGGTGTCCCAGCTGTAACACACATTGGCTTAGTGATGGTTTCGTTCTCTTAGACGTGGTGGACATGTCACATACTTGATATAGTAGCGGCCCTCGAGATGTAACTTGATGTCGCTCACTCGCGTAGGTTCACTGAGGCACAGAAGCACTTTGCCTGGAGCATGGCCGTACTTAACCGTATGCCCTGCTGTGGGGATCCAAATCGTGTTCTGATCCAACCTGCAGGAGACCATCAGTGAACATGCCTACGTACAGTTCACAGCCCGCTGCGCACCTAATAACAAAGTAGGTTGGTGGTACCTTTCGATGTGAAAAGTATTTAAACGGGTGAATCATTATACCCGTGTTGCCTCAATGCATATACGACTATCTATGCATACGAGTCTACCGGATGTCCATCCCAACTTCCATTGATTTATATGAGCCCCTTCTCTCGATCGTCTTTGCTTAGGTCGCCTTTGCGGATTCCTCCGAGAGGTTGAGGTATCACTCGTGTGTGAATAACATTACAGCCGGGACGGTGAGGTCTATGGAAAAGAACTAGAACGTGGCATTCCATCCCACGAGACAAATTCTTGAACGTGGCACTTGAATAAAGGGGTAGACTCTTATTCGGGTCGTGCGAATGCAAATAGAGAAATAAGTAGCGGCAAGGTTCAATAACAGGATGTGGACCAACCCACAGATCCTCAAACAGGAAGATATAAGACAGCCTGAAGAGATACGAAAAGGGGTAAAAGTCAAACAATACTGACCCAACAACTGACATTACTGCTCATCTGCCATCTAGGGTGCATAAGCCAGCTCGGCATACGTAATCTAATGCATAAGGCGAGTGCATAAACCTCGGCATAACGCAACCCCGGATCTCGATCTGCACCGATAAATCATGGTCGAGAAGTGGAACTATTGAGACTAGGAAAAGGATCTGCGCTTTTCCGTGGACTTTATTGGAAGGCCAACCTTATGTTACTTAATGATGCATTACCCCCTCCCACTGGGAGGGATGATTTTTTGCATTCCCTATCCCTTGCTTTCATATATCTTTCCACCTTCGTGACACTCGTGGATCATCGGTGATCACCAGCGCAGGCTGAGAAAGATCACTCTCAGCAATGTCCGAACGGCCTCTACAGGCCACTATTGATTCCAATGCGAATAATGCAATCCCCAAGAAGAGTTTCCGACTCCCAGCATTCCTGGATCACTTCAATGCCCGGGAGCTCAAAGTCTTCTTCCGGTGCTGGGTTGGCATCTGGGTGGCAAGTCTGTTAATCTTCATCACCCCAGCATTGACCAGCATTGGTACCGCTACGTTTTTTGCGAGGTAAAGTTCACCCGATGACCGATTGTTGTACCCTCCTTTTGAGCGCATCTGTCCCGCGACCGCAATGCTGAGGATGTGAATCAATAGCCTCGTCCTCTTGTTCAACCCGCCGTCCGGGATCGTGTTCATTTACCTACTGGGAGCTCTGACTCTTTTCATTGGAATATGTCTCGCTTGGGCATGGGGTGTCATCACGATGAAGGCCGCTTACGCAGCCAGACCAGTAGCAGACACACAGGCAAGGCTGGCATCATTGCAACAGACAGCAGTAGCCCAAGCCAACGCGACAGGACTTCCGACTGCCAGTGTGGCACAACAACTTATCTACGATGGCTACATGCTGGACACGCGGGTCACAGCGATTACATTCTGTCTCGTCTGCACATTCATCTACTTCATGGTAGGAAAACCTCTTCCGTGGTGAACGCTGACCAGTTGAGAAGCGTAATAACCATGCATAGGCTCGCCTGCGTGCCAGTAATCCCAAAACAACCCTGACCTCCATCTTTGGAATCATCATCTCCGACCTTTTTCTCAACTTTACGCCCCTTCTACCCTCATTCTCGGGAACGCTGCCTCTGACGCTCGTGAAACCGGCCGCCATCGGTGTGGGACTCGGCTTTGCATGTTCAGTGCTCTTTTTTCCTCGATCGACCTCGCATGTGGTGCTGGATAGTATGGAGGATATATTGGAGCTAATCCAACAGCCACTGGCGTTCACTTCCGTAACGCTAGGGAAGAAAGCACAGCAGCCGGACGTCGACCGACTACGCAAGACACATGCGCGGATTATCCAGGAATATCGAAAGATGGAGCCTGGGTTGGCGTTTCTGCCATTGGACTTCTCCGTGGGCCGCTGGGGTCCCGAGGAGGTCTCTTCGTTCAAGGAGCCGATGCGTCAGGTCGTCGCGGCCATTCTGCTTCTGCTTGAATTCCACATCGGTCGGATCCATGGCGAAGTACGCACAGAAGACATCCTTCGCGAGCATGCCGAACAAACAAAGGATGCAGTTATCTCGGACGAGAAGCAGCCTCGCAAGGTTGGAGCCCAACAGCTCTCCCAACTCGTGGAGCTGCTGGAAGGGTTGCGCAGCCCAGACAGCCAGCAACTGTCCGAAGAAGTCGTGGATGAACTGGTCCGCACGAGTGCAGTGGCACTCGACGCGTGTCTAGAGGGATTAGCAGTGACAAAGGAGTGCCTCCATATGGTCAATTGCCGACGATGGGTGAGGCGAGCGTCTTCAGCGGAACGCGAGGAACTGTATCAGCGAAGTCAGACAGCACTCGAGAGTCTCCGCAAGGCTCACAGCAGCTTTCTTCACGATATGACCGAGCTCCTGATTGGTCATTTTGCACCTACGACAAATGGCGACACTCGTGACCAGCGCAAGTTAGGAGCACTCGTTGTTGGGATGGTCTTTGAAGAACACGTCTGTATCACAATCACTCGCACACAGGCTCTCCTCGCTCGTGTATCGACCGCTTTCCACGACGCGAAAGGAACCAAGATATGGTGGCCGACAAGCCTTCGATACGCCGCCTCCTGGGCATTTCGGAAGAAAGCAAAAGCACCAACAACGACGACGGTTGTGGAGGACGATCCGGACGAGGCAGAGGACCTGACCAAAGCTGCCCAAGAAAAGCTTCGTATCAGTCGTGGATACCGACCTAGGCACCGCAGCCCCCTGGGGCGAGCGATTTTAGGAACCTATCATTGGTTTACTTCGAACGAAGGCCTCTTTGCCTTACGCATGGTGGTTGTTACAATCGCCCTAGGCATTCCCGGGGTGATTCCCCATACCGCTGGATTCTACTACCGGGAAAAGGGCCTGTGGGGACTGATTATGGCGCAAACCGGGTTGCTCGTCTACATGTCGGAGTTTACCTTTTCCACTCTCGGGCGACTGGTTGGGACGGTCGCTGGCGGTGTTCTAGGGCTTCTGGCATGGTATATCGGCTCGGCCAATGGTCCTGGTAATCCCTATGGATTATCGGCCGTTATGGCCGTGATGCTTGCAATCTTGATCTGGATTCGCCTGTATTTGCCTCCGAGCCTCCTTCAAGGAGGAATTATGGGCGGTGCCACTTTCCTCCTGGTGGTTGCATATAGCTATGATGATACGTGAGTCCACCGTCGACGACATGTAGCGCCACTTCCTCTGCTAACATTTCATTCAGACACATTCCACAGTACGGCAACCCTGGAGTCGGCTATACGGTCTTTTGGCGACGGCTACTCCTCGTGCTGATCGGCGTCGGTGCCGCGACAATTGTCCAGATGTTCCCCCGTCCGCCATCGGCCGCCCGGCATATCTGCAAGACCTTATCTCACACAATACGGACGTTGTCCGACCATTATGCATTGCTCTTATCGTGCTGGGGACGCTCTCGCCACGATGGGCGCGTAATCGGCGAGTCAATCTCCCTTCAGTTGACGGAAGGGTTGGTGATGCTCGACGGTCCTATCGATATGCTACGGTTCGACTTCTCTAGCTCTCGCTTCGACAGTGAGAGTCTGGGTCGCGTGAAGGTGCTCTGTCATGCCATGAACCGCAGTTTGGGACAGCTGTTGCTGTTATCTGGTACCCTGCCGAGCGAGTTTCAACATCGACTGGCGCAACAAACCGCCCTGCTGGATCACCAATGCATTGGCGAGATTATGGCTGTCCTGGGGATGTGCGAACAAGCACTGAAGACCGGCGATGCATTGCCTGAGATTCTACCCACCCCACTCGTCAGACGCGCCTTTGACTACTGGCAGTCCCACCCGGCAGAGATTGACTTCTCTCGCGACACAGTGAGGGATGAGCATTACCGCCGCTTCTGCGTGGCCTTGAGCGCGTATCTTAAATTCCTAGGCACAATCGATGAATTAGTGCTAGTGATCAAGGGGGTTTTGGGCGAGGCGCATTTGGTTTCCCATGAGTTGAGAGACTTGGTTTGAGGCATGTTGGTTGTGGTGTTGGCGACTTTTATTATGAAAAGATAGAATAACAAGTATTATAGACTATACACGCTCTCGTGGGAGTATAATTGATTCCAATGGCAGTGATATTAAGCCTTCCATGAAGTTGATACTAGAGCATTAAGATTTTTGAACATTTTTCAGTCCGCGATTACTGACAATTAAGTGATTTCCAAGTTACTCTCTTCTTTTTCTTTCTCTTTTTGGGGGGGGAGATCAAATGAGCAAGCGACAGACTGGCCTCGTCCGAGTATCGAATGATGTTTGACAGCTAAGACATCACTCATCTTTGATGGCAACCGAGACGGTACCCATGGTACCAGACTCTTGCCAATCTCCGATATCGACTTTATATTTCGGATTATGGTTGAGCATGGAGAATCTATTCCGTCTTCCCGACTGCATCGGGGCGCTCCATGCCAGTGTGCAGATGCGGGCGTCCTTCACGTCATCGATGAGATCGAATGTTCCTTGGGTTCCCGACATAGAGTCGGTTTCACCGCATGAGCAGACGTCTCTGATGCCGCCGTTATGACGGATGATCATATCATCCACATCGTCGGCTGTCATGACATCGCTCTGGTCACCCTGCCGATAGAATTGCCCGCTGAACGAGCGTCAGCAACAGCAGAGGTGGCACCGAAGTACTGGGTGCATACCTGTCAAGGTGGGCGTTTTCGATGCGCAGATCATACTTCATGCCATCTTCAATCCGAATATCGACATACTGACCGAAAGCGTCCGCAGCCATGGCGACTTAGTGGAGCATACAATGCTGTTCAATAGAATCAAGATAGTGAGGAATATGTTTGTTGATCACCGATACAAAGCTCTCCTTCACAGCAGTGGGTTGGGGGGGTAGCATAAGTTATTTAAGTGAGGTGATGATGCATCTATGACTGCGACACTGAAAGCTTCCCCCCAAGAACCGTGGAACGGGCTGCGGTATCCCCCCCACCCCCGCATGCCTGTCACAGTGGGCTTCTCGGATATAATAAACTGGAGGAGCTGGCTGCGTCATGGTGCGGAGACAGGTTATTCCGAAGGAACACCAGAAGTTCAAGTGTTACCACATAGAAAGATCAGGCTGATGTTGCCCTAGAAGCGGGGCCACAGCCGTTGTTGCGATTCAATGTCCGAGGTTGCCAAGACCGCCATCGTATAGACAGCTCAGTCGGTGGCCGAGTATGGCTAGTGTTGCCTGACTGAGTCGAATATGATCTCTCTCGCTTTATTTGTTCGGCATGCCTGCAGGGTATGACTCATCTGTCGACATGCAGCGTCTCCGATATTTATCTCTGTTGCCTGCTTGACAAGAGCTGAATTGAACGCCCAGCATCCCCGTGCTATGTCAATGAAGAGGAAGAACTCTTTCGTATCCAGTTGAGAATCGCTGTCCAGTCGAGATCCCATTCGGAAGAACCCTCAATCCTATCCTGAGCTCCTCAACTGACGCCGTGAACTACGAGCGAAATCAAAATATAACTCCCCAAAAATTATGGCGGACCAGGACAACATCCGAACGCAACTCCGCAACCTTCCGGTCCTCGAAGGCCCATTCGCTGAAGTGAACTTTGACCAATTTCCGGACACTCCTCAGGATGCTTTCAAAAAGTGGTTGGACGAGGCGGTCATGGCCGGCGTCAAAGAGCCCCATGCCATGACGCTGGCCACTGTGGACGAACAAGGCTACCCAGACGCTCGAATCCTCATCCTGAAGAATGTCGATGATCGTGGCTGGCACTTTGCTGTCAAGGGAGATAGCCCGAAAGCTCAGCAGCTGGAGACCAATGGATATGCCGCCCTGACGTTCTACTGGCCCCAGGTTGGTCGGCAAATCCGACTGCGCGGAACAGCCCGGCCGCTGCCAGACGCTGAGTGCAGGGAGGACTTCGCCGAGCGTCCGTTTAAATCAAGAGTGAGCGCCATGGCCTCGAAGCAAAGCCAGGTGCTCCAGGACCGTGAGGAGCTTTCCCGTCGCATTGCGGAAGTAGAACGTGCCGCATCCACTGGGCAAGAAGACGGCTCCCAGAAGTGGAGAGTATATGCCGTTGCACCGACGGCGGTTGAATTTTGGCAAGGGTCGAATGATCGCCTTCATTATAGGCTACGCTATGTGCCAGAGACAGAACAGGGTCCTTGGCAAAGGGACCAGTTATGGCCATGACATACTCTAACTTGACGAAACGGCTTAATCCGTAACCAGAGTGACAGACTCATCTCAAAGTTCCATTATAACCAAGTTGTTGTTGACAGAGTCAAGCCCTTTAGTAGCGATTGGACGTCTGTCCGTAAATCAAAATCGATCCTTGATACTATTGCGTAGAGTTCCTGGTAATCTTCTCGGTGCCAAATTGCGGTCGCTCGTCCTGTTTAGTGGATGATTTGTATCACTAATAAATCACAGGGAGTAGAAAGCCTTGACCATCTGCGACGAACTCTGTAGTCGCGCAAGGTCAGCCCCTAAAGAGAAATATCCAGCATACCCCACGACCCGCGACCAGGAACCGTTTCACCTCAACCATTTCTCCCGACGAGCGAATATCGGAGTGGCCAACGGTAGGGTTGGATGGGGTGACGTCACGACCTGACCATGAGGGTTTCCGATGCAAGCCCTGAAGCCATCAGCCAACACGACCCAGACAAACCTGCTGGGCTTGAACGAAGATCCGACCGGCCTCTCGAGGGCGAAACTTGGCGGTATTCAGTTAAAACCAGGGGAATTGTTACTCGCGCCCATTGCAGCTTTTTCATGTGGCGTACCGATATCTACCAACAACTTTCAAAGCCAACTACGGTGCCAATCAATATCCAGCGGAATTAAACGCCGAAAGAGCTCTACGGATTCGTTCAACACGAAGTCCTACCTTGATTCCATCGTACGGTGAAGTGCGACACGTTCGTCGAGCATCCCGGATTGGGAGCGGCATACCATTCAGGCCTTCGATTTATGGCGGCTCCGTCCCCCGGCAATCTGTCAGCTCAGCAACTGGCAGATATTTCGCCGATCGGCACTGCTGTCCTCAATGCGCGAGATGAGATTCTATTCTTGAACCGCCGTTTCCGGGACCTGATGACCTGCCGATCGCGCAGGGCGTTCGACGGTTGGTCCCAATCCATTGCCCGGGGCGACTACGAGCGGGTGGCAACAGCATACGACACCGCGCTGAAGGCCAACAAAGCGCTGCGCATCGAATACCGTACGGGGAACGAACCATGCCAATGGCGCCTACTCATGCTAACGCCATTCGGCGAGGAAGAGCTGCGCGGGCTCCCCCTCGGCACCGACGGAGGCTCCTACTGCACGATCACCGACATCACCGAAGAGAAGCGAGCGGAGATTTCACAAAAGAAGATCGCCGAGGAGGCACAGCGGCGGAAGGAACAACAGGAACGCTTCATTGATATGATCAGCCACGAGGTCCGAAATCCCCTTTCCGCCATTCTACATTGCACCGAAGACATTTTGGAAGCGGTCCAGCAGAAGGACCAACGGGACATCCGGGTCGAGGACATTGCCCAAGCGGCGGAAACGATTAGTCTTTGCGTCGCACATCAGAAGAAAATCGTCGACGACGTGCTGACGTTCTCGAAATTGGACGCAGAAATGTTCACCCTATTGCCGCGGCGCGTCCAGCCCCGACAACATCTAGCCATGTCGTTAACCATGTTTCGGCCGGAGCTGCGAAAGCATGACATCGACTTCGAATACAAGCTGGACCACTCCTACGCCGACTGTGAAGTGGACTGGGTCGTCGCCGATCTCGACCGCATGAGTCAAGTTCTCGTGAATATCGTCTGCAACGCGATCAAGTTCACGGCCAAGGCAGGCAACGAGAAGAAGATATCGGTGTTCATGGGCGCCTCCAAGGTGCGCCCGACGTCCTACCCACCCAACGTCGTGTTCTTCAGCTCGGATGAGTCGGCTCTGCGGCGCAATGCGACGAACCGGCCCGAGTGGGGGCAGGGGGGCATGGCCTATATCATGGTCGCGGTGAAGGACACGGGCATTGGAATCACCGACGAAGCGCAGAAGCGGCTCTTTGAACGATTCAATCAGGCCACTCCGAGAACCGAGTCGATCTACGGTGGATCGGGACTCGGCCTCAACGTCAGTCGGAGGCTCTGCCATTTACACGGGGGCGAAATTGGCGTGAGCTCGAAGGAGGGTCACGGAAGTACATTCGGCTTCTTCTTCACTGTTCGTCGAAGTGTCGAGAGCTCCAAGAGCAAGCCACCCCGACAACAGCCGGGGGCCATCGCCGAGTTGTGCCGGGAAGTCCAAGCGCTCAGCAATGAAGTGACGGAAGGGACAAACGAGATCGCCAATCCGGCCATTCCCACCAGTCCTGAGATGACATATGTGAAAGAGGTGTCTCCCAACGCGTCCAAGGACGAGATCTGGCAGCATACCGCCAGAATCGCCTACGAGGCCGGCGACACGGAGGTGATGCGTCACAGTCCCAGTCTTGCCCAGTCCGCCGGTCAACCCCAGTATCCCAAGCAACAACCATCCCAATCACCACCGTCTCCACTGGACGCGACCAAAGGACGGCGGGTTCTGGTGGTAGAAGACAACGTGATCAACCAGCGTATTGTGGCGCGCAAGCTCGAGTCCTTGGGGTTTCAGGTGACTGCGGCCAGTAATGGGCGAGAGGCGCTGGATATAGTCCAGCAAAGCACATTCGACTGCATTCTAATGGATCAAGCGATGCCGGTGATGGACGGAAATTCGGCGACGCGAGCCGTTCGCGATCTCGAAAAACATGGGATGGCGCATGTCCCGGTTCTAGGCGTCACCGCAAATGTCCGGGCTGAGCAGCAAGCGGAGATGAAGGCGGCCGGCATGGATGACGTGATTCATAAGCCATACAAGATGCGAGACCTGTGCGACAAGATTCAGCAGTTGCTGCGATAATTTTCCGTCAGTTCCCTTCAGTTCAACTTCATTATCCTTGGGCGGTCACTTTTTCTGCCGATACCCGAAATGAGCTGAGAGACCTTTCCCTTAACCGGTCTAGCGCGACAGAGCCTTGGGGACTTTTAGACATTTTTCCATTTGCACATTTTGTGCAAGGAGAAGACGAAAGAGACTAATAATCATAATGCATGAAGGAAAGAGAGGAACAGACGAGGTTGTACATGAAGCCTTACTAGAGCACTCATAACGGCGTCCAATCAGTAGTAATACCCATCATCGCATAACCCAACAGTCCTGTAGTCTCATGGCTTGGCTTGTATATATATACTTTCATATCTTGAGGAATATCTGAGGATTGATCTCGACAAAATATCTTCACACTGAGGATTCAACATTACAACCACGAAACACTGGAACTCCCTCTCATGGGAAGAACTCAACAATAACACTAGAACTGATTTATAAAAGTTGTATCCTTTGCTACGTGCGACACCAATTTCTCCCACTGAAAAGCGCCTGATATTGTCTCAATCGTGGTATAGCCATCAATATGGGTTATCGCATGAAGGTCCAAGACGTGCAGCCGACGAAAAGATTACAAGGTTCCATTGGACGCTGTTTGCGAATTGAAGGGCATTCCCCTGGGAAGGATACAACTGTCCACTGAAATGAACCTAGTGAAAGTGGGCCCAAAACACGCCGGCACTTGATGCTGGCTAGCTTACGATAAGCCGAATCTCATGCTAAGAGCTCCAATGAATTCGCTTGGATTCATGACCTGCCTCTGCTAGTCCTAGCCGGGCCCCCACTACTGCAACTACGCTCAACGCTATCACAGTTGATATTATGTGCTTGCTGCATGGCTGGCGCTGGCCCGACGCTCTCCGACGGAGCTACGAATGTTCGCGGATACTACCAGAATCTGAATGATACGATGGCTGGTCCTTGTATACGGTGGCACCTGAAAGCTATGGATCCTTTTTAATTTCCTTTTCCCCCCGGCGGGTGCCATTGCACGTAGCCACGACCAAGGTCTCGTTGCACTGGGAGTGTAACCGTATCCCTTCTCCTGAATCAGTCCCACCGTGACTAGAGGGCTCGACACAATGCGTTTCCTATCACCCCTCGGCGTTGTCACGCTTTTTGCCTCGTGGCCCTCACTCAGCCGCGCGATTCATCCGCCCAGGCCGGTTCCTCCGCCGGTCTCTCGACCGGTCTCGACGCAATCCTCAGGGGTGGAAGGAGAGGCTACCTTCGAGCAACTCTTAGATCATCATGACTCCTCAAAGGGGACCTTCTCGCAGCGCTACTGGTGGAGTACGGAGTACTGGGGTGGCCCCGGCTCACCGGTGTGTTTTGCACCTTGCAGCGATACCTTGCGTGGCAGCACCGTGGTCACTAACCTGACGCCGTAGGTAGTATTATTCACCCCTGGTGAATCCGCCGCCGATGGATACCAGGGCTACCTCACCAATAACACATTGACTGGTCTGTACGCGCAGGAGCTTCAGGGTGCTGTGATTCTGATTGAGCGTGAGTGGGCCATTTCCCTGGGAAAGAGTAGAACATTGGTCTAAAGATGATCTAGACCGTTACTGGGGTGACTCCTCGCCTTATGAGGAACTGACAGCGGAGACGTTGCAGTATCTTACGCTGGAGCAGTCCATTCTGGACTTAACCCATTTCGCCGAAACCGTTCAGTTGGAATTTGACACTTCCAATAGCAGCAATGCGCCGAGAGCGGTAAGAGAGAGTTTACATCCAGACGATATCATCAGAAATGAAAAGCCATATCTCTGACATATGCATTGTTAGCCATGGGTGCTGGTCGGTGGGTCATACAGTGGTGCTTTAGCAGCCTGGACCGCTGCCGTCGCCCCAGAGACGTTCTGGGCCTATCATGCCACCAGCGCTCCCGTTGAAGCGATTGACGATTTTGTGAGTCCTATAACCTCGTCATGGGTGTTGACTTGACGGCTCACAGATGTTGTAGTGGCAATATTTCGACCCAATCCGTCATGGAATGGCACCGAACTGTAGCCGAGATGTCTCGTTGGTGGCCAATCATATTGATAGTGTCGGGAAGAATGGATCTGCCGCAGCACAATCTGCTCTAAAAGAGCTCTTCGGTCTGGGAGCTCTCGAGCACTATGATGATTTTGCCGCGTAAGTGCAAAGAGTCCGCCAAGTCGGAGGGAGACCTAACGTTTACAGTACCCTTCCGATAGGGCCCTACCTGTGGCAGGACAACACCTTCGTGACTGGATACTCCGGTTTCTTTGCTTTCTGTGACGCTATTGAGGTAAAACTCTGCGATATCTGTGGTTCTGTCTGATACATGGGCTGACCCAGTTGGGACAGAATGTCGAAGCCGGCGCGGCCGTTGTTCCGGGTCCAGAAGGTGTTGGTTTGCAGAGAGCTCTTACAGGCTATGCGAATTGGTTCAAATCAACGATCCTTCCCGGTTGTAAGTACCTTGCATTTAAACTTCCCTCAATCAATCTGACTGTATCTCCAGATTGTGCCAACTACGGATATTGGAAGGATAACCAGACTGTCGCCTGCTTCGACACTCATAATCCATCCAGCGCCATCTTTACGGACACCTCTGTCGATAATGCTGTCGATCGACAATGGCAATGGTTTCTCTGCAATGAACCTTTCTTCTGGTGGCAGGAGTAAGTTTTGCTTAACCATACACCGAGCATATTCTAACCTTTGAATCTCAAGCGGTGCCCCGGAAGGTGTCCCGACAATCGTTCCTCGTACTGTGAATGCAGCGTACTGGCAGCGCCAGTGCTCGTTATATTTTCCCGAAGTGAACGGTTACACCTACGGCAGTGCAAAGGGCAAGACTGCTGCGACTGTCAATAGTTGGACAGGAGGATGGTCCGACACCAAGAACACTAGTCGTTTGCTCTGGGTGAATGGGTAAGAATAGCCTGAACTTGCAACCCACCGCGGGAATCGAGAAAACACTTTATTAATATGTTCCCAGACAATACGACCCTTGGCGCGATTCGGGCGTCTCATCGACCCATCGCCCTGGTGGCCCCCTAACGAGCACAGCTGATGAGCCAGTGCAGGTTATTCCTGGTGGATTTCACTGCTCTGACTTGTATCTCAAGGATTATTCTGCAAACGCAGGGGTGAAGCAAGTGGTTGACAATGCAGTGACTCAGATCAAGTCATGGGTTGCTGAATACTACAAATAGAGAGGTGGTACAGCTGATTCCTGAGGCGAGATGCTGTTGTCAAATTCAGATGTGCCTTGTATATACATACTACCAGGATGTTGTATAATTGCCAGCAAACAACATGAAAGAGGACAAATCGTTGTCATGGCCCTTACTAGGCTGGCTGACCTTAAGACAACTCTGCTGACATATTTATCTTTTAGCCACTTTCGATGTTACAATGGTGTATAGTGGATGGGGGATGAGAATAGGTTACGCCACAAGGGCAATGTTAGTACGAATACTCATGTCCCCAAGATGAAATAGGTAAGGCGACTATACTAGAACGAATACAGGACATAAGTGATTAGAATTCCAATCACAGACATAGTAAAGTTCGGTGACCAGGAAGAATGCCAATAGATAAACTATAGCATTGCCAGATCACAAACACAACATTCGAGTTGAATCAAACATCGGACCACAGTTCCAGATACATCATGCTTGTCCTGAGATTGCTCTGCTTATTTCATTCCGTTCTTCAAGTTGTCATACTGCGAGGCTGGGTAATCCAATTGATTCTCCGACTTCTCAAAGGCCCCTGTGCCTCCGAGTGCATTTACTGCCTGCTCATCCAGTTAGACAAATTCCACATGGACCATACCAAGAAACGAGAAACCTACCGTACTGATCAGGCTGTCACTGCCTCCTTTGTCAGAGCTGGTTTCCCACCACATAGAGCCGCCCAGACCCAGTTTCTTGATGTATCCAGCCTTCAACTGAATGATCTTGGGGGTGTCATAACTGATCAACCGTTTCTGCTGGCTATCGTAGCTGTAACTGGCAAGGATGTTCTCCATCTCATGCACCTCGGCTCCCGGCTTTGGTAAGGCTTTGTAGTCCCACACCCCTTTCTCCCAGGTACCCTCGCCATCTGCCGTGAATGGCTTACCCAGACCGTCTGTACTAGCGAACGACCGACCGTACAGAGGCATGCCGAGGACAATCTTGTTCGCCGCTACCCCTCCTTGAAGATACAGATCAATTGCCCCTTGAGTGCTGAACGGAGTGCTGTTTGGATTTGAATCATCAGGGTATGCGTTGGCTTGGTGCCCAGTGAATTTGGCAAAGCTTCCGGCGTAGTCGTAAGCCATGAGGTTCCAGAAATCCAGCTGGGCATCCATGTCCTTAATGTGCAGTTTGTTGATCTTGTCCGGGCCTGGCCGAGAAAGCCGCGTTAGAGACAACGCTGAGGTGCGAGAAGTGGCCCCAGATGGTGATTAGCTTACCTGCCGATGTTGCGATGGTGAGAAGGAAATGCTTGCCATTTGCATTCTTTCGGCTGTAGTCGTCCAGTGCCTAGCTCTGCATTAGTGTGGAACTTCATGAGGCACCACTGGGAAAGGGACGTACAGTTCTGATCTGCTTCAAAAGGAGAACATAGTCATTGGCTTCTTGATCATTTTCCGGATACTAGAACAATCGTAAAGAATCAGTAATCGTGCGCAATATGGGAGAACTGGCGGACATGCGGACCTCCCAATCAACATCAATCCCGTCGAAGCCCAAGTCAGACAGCAACTTGACTGACGAGTCGGCAAACATCTTCCGTCCAGCGTCGGTGCTCGCAGCTTTCGCAAAGTTCGGGGAGTAGGTCCACCCGCCGATGGAGAGCATGACCTTCAGGTTGCGGTTTTTCTTCTTCAAGAGATACATCTGTTTGATGCAACCATAGACATTCTTGCCGGGGTCAGACCAGGAGTCACCAGGATAGTGTTTCTCGGTATCAGCGTAGCCATCGGTCATGTAGACTTCCCCGGTCTCAGGGCGCACGTTGGCGAAGGCATAATTGATATGGGTGAGCTGGTCGATCACGATATCCTGGGGTTGATGATTGCGGCCGTAGATAGCCTTTGGAGTCGTGTCAGTTTCATGCCACATTGGGAGCGGAGACATGATACTCACCCAGTTGACAAAGTAAGCAACAGACCGATAGCCTGACGCTGCAGGGGCGCCCTGCACCTCATCCCCTCCCTCCAGCTTCGAGATGGCCACCCCATGGGCGACCCAGGCCCACCCGAGCACAACCGTGAGGCTGAAAAAGATCCTGGTTGAAAAGCGCATTGTTGGTCCGTGTGGCTGAGACACTGAGAGAAGGTTGTGAGATGTTTCAACTTCGTGAGATGGGGTTGCGATGGCTTTATAGACAAAGGTAGCTACCAAGTAAGTGAATCAACTCTGTATGTATAGCGTCCTCATGGCTCGGCCTTCACAGACGGTCGCCGCCGACTGCAAGGTGGTGGTTGCATCGTGAATGAAAGCGCTTGGGACTTTACCGCATTGTCCAAGAAAGTAGGATTTTGATGTTTCACCTTGATATGGAGAGGCAGAGTTTCTTTATGACACAACCCTCGGGTTGCATACAGTCGAAACGCCATTGTAGTGATCACCCCCTTGAGGTTTCTTTGCATCGCACGGAAGTGATTATCCTTCGGGTGAACAACTTAGTATATTCCACTGATTCCAATCAGTGGCTGTGGAATCAATCCTAAGCATATGTGAGATGACCGTAATGGGGAGCCACATCTACTAGTCGGCAAGCCCTGTGCAACGTATGGGATTGATCTACAGTCACCGAGTGGCTTCAGTGACGATGGTCATGCTAGGGTCGAGGTAACGCATGCGCGGAATGCGCATACAGACACGGATCGTCATTGTGAACTGGCACATGGCAATACAATTTCATTTGATTCAGGCTTTGAAAGTAGAAGACAGACCCATCCACGCATAGAACCAATGTAACGGTGCTGGCTAGTGTTAGCCGCGATCCGCGACAGGCCAAGGGGTTCCTTGGCTAGTATCACAACATGTCAGAAGGACAAAGATAACCCTATTCCAAGTTGTACGATGGCCACAGGCACGTGCCCACTCTCACTCGAATGCTGAATCGAAGGCATTGACTGAAGTTGATCAGTTCCTCACAAAGGTTTCCCGTGCCCCCTCTGGTGTCATTCACTCCGGACGCGGAGGATGATTAGAGGGGCTTTAGGCGCATTCCACGACTTGGCGCATATTTCGTCGCGCTGACCGGAGATCATATCGAGTGCGACATGAAGGAAGTTGGTACCACGTTTACCTTCCTGCAAAACCAGTATAGACAAATGAAGTGTTAAACGGATCGCCGTATGGCCCAAGATCCAGGCGACGTAACCTTGACTGCGCACTGGTTCAGTCACCTGGATTTGGGTCATTGTCAGGAGACTTCAGCATTTCGCACATCTCGCCCGCGACCTCAACCTTTCCGTCCACGCTCGGTTTGTCTGATTAGCATTATCGCCTGCAATGGAGAAACGCTCTTTTGTGATCGAAGGTAGTCAGTCCGGTAGCGCGCCAATACCACCCAAGACCACAGTGCAACTAGCTACTACATCGGCTTTGGTTGGGGATTGCAGACGACTGTATCAGTTGACATGAAGGTGACAGCATCTGCTAGTGTCACGCTGTATGAACGGGCTTGCAGATCCTCATCTGCAGGGGTCACTGGCTCTAGAAATTCCCCTCCAATCATTATTTGTCCGACCGAGGCAGGAACGCATCTCTTGGATCGCACCCGACGTTACATCTCGTAACCTGATAGCCCAACGCCTATGCCTGCCTGGGATTACCGCATACCCGCCGACCGTTTCTTCCCACGGCGATATGATGTGACCTTACTGTTCCTGAGTTAAATCTCCTAGTGGATGGACGCGTAGAAACGCAGGGATCGCATCGGGTCGGAACGGAAGATCTGCAGAGTGACGAGAGTGGGAAAGGCTGTCCCTAGAGAGAATATATATGTGAGTATTCTTATATACCGAAGAGAAACCTGAAGAATAATTATCATTCGACGTTTTCGACGTTCTTGCATAGTTCATGGAGCCGGTTGGCACTGTTCCGATGGCTGGCTGGTGGGGCCGATTCGGAGATCCCGAGCATATACATAGTAGTAGGATCTGCACAGAGGTGGTGGTTGATTCGTATTTATTATGGACGGCAGCGCGTACGGGGATCTGCTTGCCGGAACTTGTATACAGAGAGGCAGATCTCTCTCTCGAGGCAACTCACAGTGCCGGGTGAAGATGCCTCATGCTTCAGCCGAAGTTCTCCCGGGACTCTCTCGGCATTCCCCAGACAGAATCATAACCAACCCCACAGGCCTCCCCGCAAAACAAGCCCAAGGGATTGAATCGATAGAAGAAAGTCCCCATGCATGAGACCCACTTTAGAGGCAAGCGTCGGTGGTAATTATACCGACAGGCCTGGCGGAATCCAACTTAAGTGACAACTGTCCTCCGCCCGGTGTGGACAGTTATGCGAACTGTCAAAGAATACGAATGACGGAGTGAAGCTGTATGCGACGATGATCCTCAAGCAAAGTATCTTCTGCGCAATCAGTGCCGGATTGTTAGCTAGCCCTGTATTCTGCGAGGATACATTTACCCCTGTGGGCGTTGCGGTTGGCGATCAACCTGAACTGAGCACCAACGATTTCGCTACATTTGCTCTCGATCCACAGTCGCCTCTGGCAACTGTCGATTATGGCGCAGAGCGCGCAGGATATCCCTTCCTCGTCGTTTCGTCCCTCACGCAGCCTGTCCAACTTGAAGTGAAGTATAGTGAAGAATTCAACGGGCTAGACCACCCTTTCAGTGATGGCCCCTACTCATTCTCTAACCAACTGGGGAACTCCTTCCGCGTCGAGACGTTCAATATCACCAGGACCGGGAGGGTCACGTCGTCCTTAATTCAGGGTGGGCAAAGGTGGCAGTCTATTCGCCTGCTGACCAGTGGGACTGTCACACTATCTCAGGTTGGCTTCGACGCGACAATCGACACAGTGGAGCCAGAGGATCTACCTGGGCAATTCACCTGCGATGATGAGGTCTTGAATGAGATTTGGAAGCTAGGTGCGAGGGCTGCTACAGCCGCCTGCGTTGATAAACAGTCTCAGAAGGCAATCTGGGAAGTTGACCCGGTAAATGGCGTATATGCGCGCAGTGTGCGCCCATCCCTGTCAGTCAACGGAACTGCATTGGCCAATTACACCCTAGAATTTGAAACCATGATCCAGAAAGGGGGCAGTTGGTGGTCTGTTGTAAGTGACTACTACGCCAGGCACTCTGGATAATGATCGAATGTGACTGATCCTTTCACCTACACAGGCATCACCCATGGCTGGTAACGCATACACCATGTTGCTAACCGGCGAGCTTCCGGAAGCCAGCCGCCTGGCAAATGTGAACACCACACTAACACCGCCCAACACCATTTCGCTTGCCTACGGGGTGGACTTTGTCAATCAGACCACCCTCACAACATGGGTGTTAGATGTGTTCGAGGTGCCATTCCCCGTGCGCGAAAACACCTGGCACAGAGTGTCCGTCTCACTGTCACCCAGTGGCTATCTCTCAGCCTCGTTGAACAATACACTAATCTTCAACATCTCACAGGCCGCATATCCGCTGGCAACCGGGCAGTTCTCAGGGTCCTTTGGCTTTGGTGCGTACCAGGACCATGCGGCGTACTTCAGAGACGCGAGCGTCTATGATACTGAGAGTGGGTCTACCTTATACACAAATTCACTGACGACTGAGGATGTTCTCGTCGAGTATGGCACCCAGGCAAATCAAGAGAGTCTCTGTTTGGACGGCCCAAAGCGCGACCGACTGGTATGGCTAGGGGACTTCATCCATACGGCGCGAATTCTCGGTGTCAGCACATCCAGAATCGATCACGCTCGAGGGACATTGCAGTACCTGTTAGACTCGCAGATTGAGGATGGCGAGCTTGCTATCTCTCCCAACATCGGCTACAATATGAAAGCCTCGCCTGACGCGTTTGCACCAACTGGCTCCTACTACCTGTCGGACTACCAGCTCTTGGGGTTGATTTCCTTTCATGACTTTGTACAGTGGAGTGGTGACCTCTCTTGGGCAAACCAGACATGGCCGAAATGGCAAAAGCAGATTGACTGGATAATTGGGAAAGTCAACCATACCACTGGTCTTATCTCTTTCAACGCCGGCGCCTTTATAGGCCCTCAAGATGGTGGATCTGCCGTCGCTTGTGCCGGTGTGCAAGCGCTGACTGGCGCTGCCGAAGTGGCCACTGCGCTGGGAGATACCAAGTCGGCTTCTCGCTACCAGCAGGTCGCAGCGTCCATCGCAAATGCCGTCAACAGGCATCTCTGGAACGGTCAATTGGGGGCATACAGCTCCTCCCGGGATGACGTTGGCAACTTCTCTGTCAGTGGTACAGCATTCTGCATCAGCTCGGGGGTGGCGTCTGCTAATCAGACTGCACGCGCCTTGGCTACCCTGTCACGGCTGCGTCTGGGACCTGGCTACAAAGACTCCTCTGATGTGTCTGATTCGGATCCCACGGTCAATATCTCCCCAAACACTAATGGCTTCCTTCTTCCAGCTCTATTTCAGGCCAATGCTCCAAGCCTGGGTCTCGAGCTAATTAAGAAGCTCTGGAGCGTGATGCTTCCCCTCAATGAATCACAAAATCGGACTGCGGTGGGAACAAGCTGGGAATATGTCAACTCTCAAACACAGCAACCGGGACTGGGCCTTTTCACCAGTCTCAGCCACCCTTGGGGTGGAGCACCAACATATATCTTGACCGAGTGGGCCGCAGGAGTGCGCCCTGCCCCGGGACCCGACGGGTTCGGATACCGCAAGTGGATCATTGCACCGGAAACGGGCTTCCAGATAGGCTTGAAGAGGGCCCAGGCTAAGGTTGTTACTGCCTTTGACGGGCCACTAAGCGTTGAGTGGCATGTACAGGGTGGTAAGCTTTATGCGAACATCATGGCACCCACTTCTACTGAGGGACAATTTGTCTTTCGGGGGAGGACTATCAAGCTCTCTGGTCAAGCTTCTTATAATTTCTCTGTGAGCGTTCACTAAGTACTAGGCTACCCACTAGAGTAACCTTCTACTGCCAATGAGAAATTTGGTATAACTATATCCACAATAGAATCCTCTATGCTTGAATCATCGTCGCCAGCCGAACATAGAGACCATGCAATGTATGTAGATGCTTACATACTCTGACTGCGACCTTTTATTTGTTCAAGATTGCCACCTTTCATTTTCTCCATATATAACTGAGCTTTGCGACAGCTGTAGGTTGGATTATAGCTGAGCACTCAGGGAGTGGGGGGTAGACCACGACATATAATTGATACGGATGTCGCAATATGAGATATGAAACTTGCACCAGATGGACTGTAACATAAATGAGGAATTAACTCTCTTCCTTCTATCCAGCTACTGTGGCAAAGACATGCTGTGTCTGGCCAACAAAAAAATATAAGCTCATATCCTCGCCGTTTTTTCGGTGGATCCTTCGTCTTTTCGCCTCTCGTCATGGAATATAGCTGTTCTAGGTCTAGCAGGAATGTCAAGCATTCTCAACGAGACCCCCGAGAGAAAGGTTGCGTCCCATCGCTGTATCGCCACTCCTGGTAATAACTTGGGGAACTTATTCAAAATAGTATCTCTTAATTCCGGAGTCTCCATAGCGTCCATCTGCTGGCGACGGTGAGCCATATCCATCATTTGGGACAATCGCGCGGCGCGAATATCTTGGACCTGCTGAAATATGCTGGAAAGCTCTGTAGTCGACGGTGCACCCAAAGAAGACGGTTTCGATAAAACCTCCATGAGGCTGTTTGTCAACGCCGCTGCGCTCTCAACAGCTTGGCTTCCTCCTTGTCCGATGCTAGGAAGCATCTGCCCCCAAGCGTACTCGTCAGTTACATCACGACTCGGGGTGTGTATCCCAAAGGGCCATGGCATGTAATCTTACCTTATGTACGGCATCGCCAATGAGCATGACTCTGTTCAAGTGCCAATGTCTGTCCACGCATTCACGCATAGGAGTGTATATGGTCGATATTCTGTTCTTATAGAGATCCGAGAATCGCACGTCCGGCCTAATGTGGTCATTCCAGTGTTTTTGAGCGAGAGCATCTTGTTCTTTGTTGCTTAATTGAGGTATATCTTCACCGTGGAAGGTCTGTCCCATGTGGGCCATGAGAAACCAGTACGTCCGGTTATCAGGTCCACTCCCGACGATGTGTGAGGACTGTTCGTTTACGACAAAGTCGAGACAGCCTGGGGGGATTCCGGGAACCCCAGTTGACACGCCGAAGATGCAGGAATAGGTTGCAGGGGTCTCGTCGCCATAATCGTCCTGGAGTCCGAGGGTTCCTGCTAAGCGAACCATTTCTTGTCTGATACGAGAGTGCGTCCCATCCGCTCCGACAAGAATGTCACTGCTGTATCTTGATCCATCTGTCGTGGTCACCTCGACACTGTTCTCGGTGTGGTGAACCGTTGCGACACGCTTCTGGGTCAACACCTTTGATTTGTCCGAGATGCGACTGTAAAGGACCTCGAGCAGTGCCTTGCGGTCCATCCACAGATAAGAATAGCCATATCTATCGTGAAATATAAGCGAAAGTCCAAAAACCCGATCGGAGGATGCAAGGCATACCTTTCACTTGTCGTTGAACCATCTATCGACCCCAGTGCCTTGCCCTCTAGATCTCGCCAGGATACACTAGTGACGGGATTCCTGGTATGACTGAGCAAATCCTCATAGCAGCCCAGCTGATCAAGGACTCGGAGACCGTTGGGCATCATACAGATACCAGCCCCGACATCTGTCACAATATTCGGGTATGCCTCCAGTAATAAATAGTCCACTGCATTCTTTTCTAGCATAAGCGCAAGGGAGAGACCGGCGATCCCACCTCCCACGATGAGGACCTTGCACGGGCGGAGAGCCATTGGAGACAGCCTTTTAACACACAGGTATCAGGGGAGCTAGCTTCAACTGAGATAGACAGAGATGGGACGCCGATGTGCCAGACGTTCAGTCGCGGTCTTCGACTCCGGGATGCGAGGAATCCACGGTTTTAAATATTTTAGTGGGCGATTCCTTACACAATATAGCCAAGACTATTCAGTATACCTGGCAATTGTAGCCCCGCTGATCGACTGCGCCTCGAGATGACCGGCAGTGGATCCACATCAGATGGACACGACGAAAAGCTAAACCCTAGGTCCACAAAATAGCCCCAAATGGCTGGATTAGTATGCATCCCATTGGCAGCCTCGTCTACGAACTGCACTAGTGGCTGTGATATACGAGTACAAGGCTATCGGTCAAGTATCATCACCCTTACAAGCATATCTTCGGGACACTATCAGATGGCTAGGTGCTAGGGATGACGACTCAGAACAGAACTTGATTTGGTCTAGGCATCCCCCTAAGGGAAAACAGAGGAGAGGCAGTAAAATAACAGAATATCTTCTCTTTACCGTAATCTGCCGCCACACCTTCTTCCTCCTCTTCTTCATCCTTACTCTATCCTCCCCGGGCCATGCCTCCCCGTGTGCTCGATAGCTGGGTAGGCCTCGATCATCCGCCTTTGGAAGCCTGGACGTCTTGCACGGTAACATAGCGGGTGTTGACTACGATTTCTAGCACTGGACCTCGAAACAAGGAAAGCAAGAAAGGAATACAGCTGACCGCTTGCGCATCGGATAGATACTCAGTGGCCATGCCGCGCAGCTCTCGTTACGGGTGCTGCCAGAAGGGCTCATATGAACTAGCTCATTCACAACCTACTGAACAAGCCCCAATGGTGGAATAAGTCTCCATCTGAGCCGCGAAGGTATTGAACGCTCGTACACAGGACCAACCGGACATACATTTGACGCTTTCAAGGAGGTCTAGCGGAGAAAATTCACCATCAACCATGGACGCATCAGTTGCCCCCTTCATACGAGACACGCCCATCTGTCGCTGGCGGTATGTCATTATGGCCACGAGTTCCTTGGCTGATAGAGGATGTCCCGCCCGATTTGTGACAATGGGAGTCGTGTCGTCCGGGAGCAGGCCTGTCGTCAAACTCGTCTGCAGCTCCAGCCTCAGTGCTTGACAGGCCAAAGAAACGCACCAGTTGGAATCGAACGTCCCCTCACGATGTGGCCAGTCCCAAAGCAGCTCCATGGCTTGCCACCGCACCGTGTAATCCCGACAAGCGAACGAACTATGGAAGAGGGGAGGAATGATGCCACATTGAATGCTGACACTCGGTCGCTCTGGATACTTTTGCAAGAATGCTTCTATGCGGATGAGGATCTTTCGATAGTCCAGTGTATAACAATCCAGGACGGCGACGTCTCCGCCGACCAGACCTGTTTTCAACGCCACCGTTAAGCCCAAGATCCATATGTCTACTAGGTCGGCCCCTCTCTGTTCTGTGCGACTGAGGCGGTTGTACATGTTGCGGTAAAATTGCTTGAACTGCGGTATGAAACGGCTAAGATGGGACCAGGCCTGGAGCTGTTGGAGGTGCAATGCCTCATAGTCGGAACTGATGTAGTCGGGTGAGCGATACATACAGTGAGAAATAAACTGAAACAGCATGCTGAAGTTGGGTTCAAAGGCACGGAGGACATCTTGGAGACTCTGGAAGGGCACCGCCGGGTCGCAATCAATATACTGGTCGCTCAGCTCATTCTCAATGCAGAGGAGCGGGCCTCCGACTCCAAAATGTGTGGACATGATATCCAGGTGCGCAAATGCCGCGACCAGGCTCTGTTCGATCAGCTCCTCCCGAGGTGTCGGTGCGATCAGTTGTCGATGGGCCTGGAGGTCCTGCACGATACGGATCCCACTCTGGAGGTGGCTGAATGCGTTATCATAATGTCCGCGCAGCAGATCCGATAGCACGAACAGAAGGCAGCAGACTAGGGTAACGTTATAGAAACGAGGATCCTGGGATGTGCGGCGCTTGATCAGCAGATTAAAAGCCCGGCTCAACTGCTCCATAGCGAATTGATGCCAGGTATTTTGTGGTTGATCCATGGACAACGGCATTCCCTTGGCTTCAGAGTCGTAGTGAATCGCACTGACAGCGACCACAGCATGGTATACGGCTGGCTCGGACTGAGAGATCTGAAAGACCAGCTTTTCCCATAGGGTTGAATCGAACAGACCGAGGAGAGTGGGGATCGTATGATTTTGGAAGTATGACAGGCAACGTCGCTCGTCCGAGGTCATCTTCCAGCGAAAGCCATTGAGGATATGCACCTGGACCTCTGTGGTAGAGCCTTTGTTCGCCGTCCTCCCCTTCGGGGGCAGCCGATAAATGTCATAGCCATCGCAGCGTCGGCCGCTGGAGGTGCAGTTCTGACACGAGCCCGGGGCCTCGTCACATTTGACATGACGAGCTCTGCAGGTACGACATCCCGTTCGCGATCTCTTCCCGCCTGCCCTTTGGCGATCGGTAGCTATTTGTCTCATGTTGAAGGTGGGTGTGGTTATGGATCAGACAGCGGATCGTAAGGCTGAGATCTCCACGCATTGTACCTTTGGCGGAATATATCTAAGTAACGGCCGATCAGCTGAAAGGGGGAAACGGCATCCGCCGTAGGATTCAATGAGGCTGACCGTCAGAATTCCACTCCACAGCCTCAGTCGAAAGCCGACTTATCATCCAATCAGACTAGCAACGCAGGTGAGCAGAACTGACCCGTCACTGACACTAGTGCATCTAGTGCAACAGGAACGCTGATCTTGAACTGGATGTTCTTTTTCTTTGAGTTTCCTTTTATTCTGGTTGGATTTTCTGTTCTTCTCCCCATGCAGTGCCTGGTGGCTACAGTTGTATCTCCCCGATTGGCACCGTCCAAGAATCCCCCTTAACTCCAACGAGCGGATCTATCTCCAGCTACAACGTCCGAAACGGCCCCCAGTAAGCGAGTGGAGACAACTACGTGGGTGCTCGGACTAGAAGATAACAGGCTCAGTGGTGCCCCACCGTATTGCGGCCAGGCCGAAGCCAAACGCGAGAGCAACGCCAAGACACAAGCATGGATTTCCAGGTTAGGTACATTTTAATACTGCTCACATCCCAGGCGGAGGCTTAGCCCCCGTGGGGCCTTCCGCTGTCAACGAGGCCGCTTCTGGAACGGAATCGTTCTTGATTCGCCTTTGCTCCAACCATGTCACCACCCCTGCGAGGCCAACGACGAGGCAGGCCAGGGCAACGAAAAGACCAGTGGTCCAGCTCGGCCGATTGAATCGATTCATCGTCCACATACATAAGGCAAGACAAATCTGGAAGACGGTGTTGAGCATGTTGCCCCAAACCACGACGTCCAGTTTCCAGAGCGCAGTTGGCGTGGGATGTGCTATGTCTAGTTTGGTGGGAGAAGATGTAGTGGGCAGCATGTCCATCACCTCCCGGGGCCGAAGGAACCAACTCGAATGGATGTCTGCCAAACGAACGAGCCCTCTCTGACGACTCCGCTCCGATCGACTGAGTCGCCAGAAACCCCAAAAATATAGGTCGCGGATGCGCCAGGGCGCCAGCCCAAACCCTGTCACACAGAACAGGGCGTTCAAGATTTGAGAGTCGATCTCGATCCAGACTCGGCGCGACGAATCAAGGCTGTCGCAGTCGGGGTGGCACATCGCCGGCGCTGCATTGCACATCAGGAGGAACAGCATGCCTCCCCACGCAACGATATTTAATGCGTAGATCGTGATCAGGATACCCATGGGCGTGAGCACCCAGCGCACGAAGGGCCGAGCGGTCGTTGCCCAGAAGCTGTCAGACGACGGGGTGGCTTCATCACTCTTATCCTGTATCTGCGCTCAACGATTAGCCATTGTGTAGCACCTCGACCCTACGACCACGTACTCGATTGTATGAATGAAGCGAGCCCTTTCTGAGGCCCATACCCCGTCGTACCTGGAAGCCTGCGCTACGTTCTTGCTTTGTCTTTAACCCTGGCTCCAGTAATTCATCTTGTGTCTTCTGGTGGCGGACGACTTCATAACCTTGCAGAGAAGGAACTGTTGACGGTATGATGGTCATGATGTATCCACCTGGTAAGAAATGGCAGAAACACAACGAACTTGGGACATTGAGAAACCAGAAGGTCGAGAAGACGTTTGCACATTCTGCAGAAGATAAAGGATGTCCTGTTGCCTGCATGAGGGCTCAGATGGACCGATTGGGTAGCGGGTACGAATACGGATGGAAAGCATGGACCACAGTTTCTTTTTTTACCCACAAGTGGGTTCCTTCGACGTGGCGAACACCAACACCACGTCGAGGCCATGAGTGAAGCCGTGGCGGAAAGTTGACTGATGTGATGTCCACTTAGTACTGCTATGTTTGTTCTTGTTTTCGCCGAAGTCTGTTGCATGAGTCGGCCTACACCATGGAAGTTGTGGGATCGTCTGTCGTGTATCTACGGCACCAGCCACCATGATGGTCTCTAAGGCGAAGAGTGAGAATCCTCAACCAGGGATAGTACGATAAGGCTGCACAAGTGAGGCCGTTCTGCATGGTATCTAGTACCTCTATTGTCTAAATCTAATTACTTTACAATTTCCCTTGCGCCGACGGGGTGCGGTTCCCATTCTTCAAATTCCGATCGAATCCGACCACCATACAAACCTGGGAGCTGATGGCGACCAACTCTCCATTCTGGTCAAAGATCTCCACACTAAGATCGGCCCGTCCGGCGCGCAAGGCTTTTGTGACCACACGGCTATGTAACCAGCCAGTTCCCTCGGCCGGGATGGATTTCTTTAAATCCACGTTGAAGGCCACCGTGGGGAACCAGAAGGGACCCGGTGGACGACTCTGTCTATGTTCTGGGGCGTGGGTACTCGCCCAGGCGGAGGTTGCCATGGCACCCAGTCTGTCCAACGCCATCGGAAACAGATCGAGTAAGCACATTACCGCCTCGTTTGTCCATCGGGCAGGAACCTGGCCACCGGGGCGAAATCGCGCCCACTGGTCTACGGTGGTATTGATGCGCTCCTGCACAGTTGGTGGTGGCAGAGCTCCAAAGAGCTCCGTATGCTGAGAGACTGCCATCGCGGGAATGGTGGGGAATCGTGTCCATGGACCATCTCTACCCCGTTCCGCCAGGGCAACAAAATCGATCCCGCCGTCCGGTTGTGATCCTGGGGGTGGGGTTGGCTGCAGCGTCGAATTCCCGCTCACCGCGGGGCCTTCCTGATCTGCCTCCGCCGGACTGACCGTTATAAATCCCACCACTTTAGTTTGCGGTCCTTTAGACGCGGCATCCTGTGACAACGTTACTTGAATCGTGCTCGTTCGCGCGCCGAATTTGACATCTTGAACGGATAACGTGGCCGGTCCGACTTGTGTCGGTCGTACAAAGGTTAATTGAAAGGAGATCGGTAAGACCGGTTTGGATAGGTAGGGCGGCGCATCGGATCGAGCGAAATGCGTCGTGGCCAGGCGGTAGAGGATGGCCGTCGTATAACCTCCATGGGGGACTAAATCGAGGTTAACGGTTACCAAGCACGAACCGGAGGAAACACTCAAAGTTACCATTTCCGATACACCAGTCCTGGTGCAAATGCGCCGAGTATGTATGCGAAGTCAGAGGAGTGACCTTGATGGCCTCCTCGAAGAGTTCAGAATGCGGAGGTGACATTTCGGGACAGTATCTGTTGCGCGGTGCAGTCGATGAATGGGCGCAGTGGAGGAACCGGGGCCCATCCTGCTTTTCTTTTCCTGTCTTATTTACATGGCGATGGATTTGCCTCGCTAGCCAACCGGAGGTCTCGTTCAGGAATCAAATGGGCCAGGAGGATGGGCTATATCCACAATTCTGTCCATTGAACCTCGGCAATGAGATACGCCATCACGTGGGATCACGTGGAGCCATCAGAGGGGAATCGAAGATGATTCACTTGGGAAACGAATCAAACGGAGGACGGAAGTAGAACCTACAGCAAAAAGACATCATGAGCAGTGCGAAAGGCTGGAAGACCATCTCGACATTTCTCGATAGTTATGGTTGTATTGTAGATTGTCTAATTCCTTGGACCTCCGGCGCTCACGACTGGCGCTAGTCTGCATTGAGCACAGGACACGCTAACCCCATCCGCCTTAGTCCTACTCTTGTCGATCCACGGCGGAGTCACGACGAAACTTAAGTTCCAAGTATATCCTGTCAGTATCGAAATGAGACGACGGCTTCGAATTGCAAAGATTCTAAGATCAAGGACTTTCGGTGTCCAGGCAGTCAACAACATGAGCTGACCATTCCTGGTATCCGGGCTAGGCAAGACTAGTCCCGATCACGAGATCCGACGGTACGCCGCATGCGTTGGATGCGCTGCCGATCTCCAATTCATTTCAGATACAACCCCTCCAATTCTAGGTTGAATATATACATACCTTCCCCAGACTCATTGCATCACATTGTATCGTCACCCGTTGTCCTTGTCAGTCTACGTCGTCTACCAGTCAGGATGAAAACCACAACCCCATTTCCCCTCGAGAATCTACCATACGGAGTGGTCTCTACCCCGGATGACCCAACCCCGCGGTGTGCAACTGCATGGACGGACTATGCGATCGACCTCGGTCGCCTCCAGAGGGATGGGTTCTTTAACTCAATCCCAGGCATGATTGACGGTGCCTTTAGCAAGGTATAGACACCCCGCCAATGTTGCTATGGCAGAGCTTGACCCATCATCTTTCTCAAAGCCTGCTCTCAATGTCTTCGCGTCAACTCCCCAATCCACGCAAGCCGAAGTGAGAGCGCGACTAGTTCGATTTCTTGCGGGCGCGAGTGAAGCTCCTAAAGAGAAGTACTTCCTTCCCTTATCGCAAGTGACAAACCATTTGCCAATGGAGACCGCGAACTTCTCCGACTTCTACTGTTCACTCGAGCATGCAAAAAATGTAAGTGTCCATGTTCGCTTACTTTTCCTCTGTGGCGAGCTGAGGACTCGCTGATGGACTATATACATGCATAGTGCTCAAAAATCATGGGCCTCGAGGTCAATCGAAACTGGTATTACATTCCGTCGGTCTACAACGGCCGCACGTCCAGTCTTAGAGTCTCGGGACAGCCTGTCCGCCGACCGTGGGGTGTAATATCAGAACCAGGTGCATCTTCGCCAGCGACGTGGTCACGAAGTAAGAGGCTCGACTTCGAGCTCGAGATGGGGGTATTCCTGTCGAAGCCTCTGCGGGCTGGTCAGATCCTCGACATGCGCAACGCCAGAGAGCATGTCTTTGGTTTTGTCATTTTGAATGACTGGTCAGCGAGGGACATCCAAGGATTTGAAATGGCCCCTCTTGGTCCGTTCCATAGCAAAGGATTTGGAACCACGATCTCACCATGGATCGTCACGATCGATGCACTGTCGCCCGTAGAGTGCCCCGTCTCGATTCCACAGAGCCCACCACCCTTACCCCATTTGGCCTGGAAAGGGAACCACTCACATGCAACGTGGGATATTGAACTGTCCGCGAGGATCTTGAGTTGGTGTCCCTAATAGGCCTATACCGTGCGGGTCCCGCTAACTGCCTGAGCAGGAAAAGGGAAGACATATCACATTACTTCCACTAACCTAAAAGACTTATACTGGACACCGTATCAGCAGCTCACCCATCTCGCGAGCGCTGGAGAAGGTCTGTCCACGGGAGATCTCTTTGGCACGGGTACTATCTCAAACGATGTACGTCGTTTTTTCTGCTCTTATGGTCGCTACCCTCCACAAGATCAATTATGTTAACTAACGCTACGTGCAGCGACTCAATGGAGTCGGCGAAAAGTCCGGCCTGGCTTGTCTTCTAGAACGGGCACTGCCCGAGAATAGATTAGCATGTATGGAAATAGACAGCCTTGAATATCTAGAAGATGGGGATGAGGTGATCATGGAAGGGTGGTGCTTGCATCCCGAGACCGGTCGGCATTTTGGATTCGGCGAATGTCGAGCTGTGATTGTACCCGCGTTGGACCTGCGAGATATGTGATATATGGTTTTATCGCGTGTGGCAATGGCGAAAGGTGGCTGGCTGTCTTATGAGATTTACCTGGTTTAATGCCACGTTGGGCCAGGTCAGCCAAAACGAATGGACGATCAGCAACAGGAATACCCTTCAGGATCCGCTTAGATGAACTATACCTTTCACTGTTGGAATCTCCCTACCACTAGTTAATACTATTACTGCTTATTGTTATGATGATGGCAAACTGCTCACGTGCAGCCGCGTGACCTCGGTGGACCCTATTCGATCGATGCATGCAGCAAAACGCAAGGGGTGAATACTAGTACTACTACTAGTAGTGCCGTCTAGACCGAAGCTCAATTCTCTCCCAAAACTATGCCTTCTTCGCAGTTCCTACAAGGCATTCACCCAACAAGCTAATAGAATAGTAGATGCGACCCCAATCAGTGTATCTGTTCATCACTGGCGTCGAGAATCATGGACGTGAAAGGGGAAGCAGGTGGGAACGCGCAACGGGAAATTGTCAAGGACACGAAGGTCGTGTTAGGAGCGACAGACGAGCGCATTCTATTGGATGAGACCGAATCGCAGACTGTCGTGCGCAAGTTCGACATGCGATTGCTAACTCTTTTCACTGTCATCAATCTGTTCAGCTTTATCGATCGAGTTAATATCGGCAACGCGCGTTTACTGGGACTAGAGAAGGACCTGGGGTTGTCCGGACTACGCTTCAACATTGCGCTGATGTGCCTTTTCGTGTCGTATTGCGCTGTGGAGTTACCTTCAAACATCCTGTGCAAAATTGTCGGGGGACATATATATATCCCTACCCTTGTGCTTTGCTTCGGCATCATCACGATGCTCACCTCGCTGGTGGAGAAGAAAGGCGGCCTATACGCATGTCGCTTTCTCCTGGGGGTCTTTGAAGGCGGTATTTCCCCCGGCTTGGTCTTCATGTTGGCTTTATTGTAAGTTCCCTGGCCTTTTTCGTCTCTTGCTAGCGGATCCCGACAATACAGTTACCGTCGGCATGAATTGGGTGTCCGAACAAGTATATATATCTCTGCTTCTTCCGCGAGTGGTGCGTTCGGTGGCCTTTTAGCGATCGGGCTGTCTAGGATCCCTCCCTGGGGTCTCATTCATACGTGGAAAAACATTTATTTCTTCGAGGTGGGCATCTCTCCTCCTGTACGGGAACGTCTAACAGTACCCTAGGGCTTGGTGTCCGTCATTCTCGCGGTCATCGCGTTCATCTGCATCCCAAGTGGACCGGAAAGCGCACGATTCTTAACAGAATCTCAAAAACGCATCGCAGTGGATAGGATGCGTATCGACTCTGCTGGAACAACTGAACATTCGCGGACTAAGTTCCGCCATGTTGTCCAGGGTTTAACTACCCCGCCGGTACTATTCTGCGCCTTCGGATTCTTCTTTGGAAAGTAAGTCGTCTCCCGCGATCAAACCGGTGGAGTCTTTACTCAAGGATCTCGATAGCACCTGCGCTCAATCCTTCTCGCTGTTTTCACCATCTATAATCAGCGCCATGGGGTATAGCAAGGAACTAGCTCAACTCTTATCCGTTGGACCTTACGTATGTTTCCCTTATTCCGTTACAATCTCACGCAGACCCCGGTTACTGATCGAGTAGAGCATCAGGCTGCTGCCTGTGTGATATCCATCGTAGTCGGCTACATCTCCGACCGTTATCAAAGCCGGGGCTGGATGATCTTCGCCATTGTTCCGTTCGGAATTGCTGGCATGGGCCTGCTCGAGTTCCTCCCGGCTTCTAAGCCGGGTGCGAAATACGGAGCCTTGTATCTTGCTGTGCCAGGCATCAACAGCTTCCTGCCGCTCTGGCTTGCCTGGGCAGTTAATAATGCGGCGACGCCGACCGTCAAAGCGGCGTCGTCGGGTCTAGTCTTCACCGTCGGGTCGCTGGGCGGGATTCTCGCACCGTGGGTTTATTTGCCTGGGGATGCGCCGAACTACCGCACGGGTCATACCATCATGTTCTCTTTTTTGTTTGGCAGTTGGGCGATGTGTATTGGCTTGATAGTGTATATCAAATGGGAGAACCGGGTCAGAGAGATGGGAAAGCGAGATGGTGTGCTGGAAGGATTGGGGCCTGAGGAGCAGTTAGAGCTGAGTAGTCGACATCCAGCATTTCGCTATGCTGTCTAATCCCCAAGCAAGTATATGGACGGTCTTGCAATGGAAATCCAAGCCCCCCTATCCGGCTCGCGACCATTGGGAACACGTTAGGCTGCTACCCTTCGGTAGCCTATCTTCGGAGAGAAAAGGCCTTCGAGCCCTTCCGCCCGATCCGAAGGCCAGCTCGGACTACCCCAGTGCCTTCCTAACAGGTTTATCAAGCTTTGCTTTGTTCGTGGATCATTGCTTGCCGTTGATTCGCAATAGCGTAGGGTTGCTTACGCAGATCGGTGGTGGTTGCCGAGGTCCAAATGCAACGGTATAATCTCCCGGATACATTGATCAGCTCATCTGATTGCTAATGCAATTTAAATCTATGGACTGACACCTGGAAAGGGAAAAGTAGTAGTCATTTTCAGAGAGCGTTAAGGTGCCACCATGACCGCACGTGCGTCCGATCTTCGTCGGTTTAGGGCTCTCGATGAGGATCCACTTCGGCGAGTAGTGTCGGCTCTACACACCAAAGGGGAAAAGGATGTGCAGGAAGGTAGTACTGCCAGGCTAGGGACATTGGATAGAACGTGAAGAGACAGAGACAGGATATCTCATTACACGTGCACGGTCTCAATGCTTGTCCTTATAAGCCTTGGGTTCTTGCCTCGTATATGGTGGAATAGGTCTGTGGCTGTTATCCCTCGCCTCGCCATCCTTTGGATCTTGCATGTATTTTATGCTGAATAGTTTTTTGACTGTTAAGATTTGTCATTGATTATGTTCAACTTGCAGTCATTCGGCCAAGTGCTGCCACTGCTAGTGGGCACTGCCCTGGCAGCGGTTAGTTATCCCCCAATTCCAGAGGACTTGACAACCCCGTATCAACAACGTCTCGCGATCTATGGCCCCAATGGTGAGCTAGTCTACTTTCTCTCAAAAGCGCGATCATGATTAACCTCTTCGCTAGCTGTTTCGGTGGGTTGGAACACCTATGAGAAACTAAACGAAAGCTGTGTCCAATATGGTACTTCTGAGGGCAAGCTCGACGCGCAGGCCTGCTCTTCGACTTCGTCGACATATGCAACCTCCCGGACTTATTCCAATGCCGTTGTCCTCACAGGTTTGACTCCAGCAACAACATACTACTATAAGATTGTTTCCACGAACTCCAGCGTGGATCAGTTCCTGAGTCCTCGCAGCCCTGGTGATACCACGCCGTTCAACCTCGATGTAGTCATCGACCTTGGAGTCTTTGGCAGGGATGGCTACACCATCACCTCCAACAACGCTAAGAAGAGCAGTATTCCATCAATTGATCCAGCATTGAACCATACCACTATTGGCCGCCTGGCTGACACCGTCGATGATTATGAATTCATCATTCATCCCGGCGATTTTGCCTACGCCGATGATTGGTACCTCAAGCCGAAAAATCTATTGGACGGCAAGGATGCCTACCAGGCCATCCTGGAGCAGTTCTATGACCAGCTGGCCCCTATTAGTGGACGCAAGCCGTATTTAGTTTCCCCGGGAAACCACGAGGCAGCCTGTGGCGAGATCCCCTTCACAACTGGTCTCTGCCCGCTAGGACAGCGTAATTTCACTGCGTACATGCATCGGTACGACGAGACCATGCCTAGTGCCTTTACGTCCTCGTCCTCGAACAGCACAGCCCAACAGCTGGCCACAAAAGCTCAGAGTCTCGCTCAGCCACCATTCTGGTACTCATTCGAGTACGGAATGGTGCATGTTGTCATGATCAATACCGAGACGGACTTCCCCTCGGCCCCCGATGGACAGGATGGATCGGCCAAACTCAATAGCGGACCGTTTGGTCGAGACGGCCAACAACTGGCATTCCTCGAAGCAGACCTCGCCAGTGTCGACCGGACCGTGACGCCCTGGGTCATTGTTGCCGGACACAGGCCGTGGTACTCGACCGGCTCCAGCTCCAACATCTGCGAGCCCTGTCAAGAAGCCTTCGAAGAGCTATTCTATAAGTACGGCGTTGACCTCGGAGTGTTTGGCCACGTGCACAACTCCCAACGCTTTTTGCCGGTCTACAAGGACACGGCGGATCCCAACGGTATGAACGATCCAGCGGCTCCTATGTACATTGTCGCTGGTGGTGCCGGCAACATTGAGGGTCTGAGCTCGGTGGGGTCGAAGCCGTCATACACCGAGTTCGTTTACGCCGACGACTATAGTTACAGCACTCTCCGCATCCTTGACGCAAACAATCTACAGGTGGACTTTATCCGCTCTTCCACTGGAGAGGTTCTCGACTCGAGCAAGCTTTATAAGAGTCACAGGGAGCAGTTTGTCGTCCAGTGAGACAGGGCTCACCAATGTGCTCGTTGGTGTGTCAAAAAACTTAGGGTGAGAGTGTAAGAGCATAGTCTCTTTTGGGGATACGTTTTGTCTCTAATTTTATATCCTCTATGGTGTCAAACGTCTTCTGCTGGCTTCTTTATAACCTACATCTCTAAGACCTGTATACTACACCTATCCTACTCACGCGACTTTATCATACTATTGTATATAGTTCTCCCGATGGTCCTACCATACGCAAGGAATGACAACTTCGGATGAGTAGAGTTATACACATTAAAATCTATATCTACCTGTTTTGGTTCAAGTTTTAATCCAATATGGTGTCGCTAGCAACGTTACGAGCCGAACAAAAACTCCATACCCCATGAAAGACTCAAGATGAAAAGCTCCAACCTGTCACAGCGCCGGAACCGCCACATCGTTCTTACTCTCTTGTCCGGCTTTCTTGACGCTCTTCCATTCCAGAAAGCAACTGGCTACCAAGGCCACCAGGGCAAGCGCCAGACTGACGCGATATGCGTCGCGAAGCCCACTCATATACGCCCTAATCACCGCATCAAGCTGATCCAACTGCCCCAGACCTGCCAGGACATGTCTCATTTCCGTCGCCCCGGCACCGACAATCGCACGCGGGTCCACGGTAGGCGCATACTCGCGGATCCCGTCGATCAATCCGTTCTGAAAGACAGATTGCCCAACAGCAATGAAGAGCGCACCTCCCAGAGTCTGGAAGAACATCACGGCAGCCGTGCCGACGGGGATATCTTCAGGTGGGAGAACAGTCTGGACCGCCGTCATGGGAATCTGGAAACCTGCACCGACTCCCGCTCCGACCAGAATCTGATAGCCAATCCACTTGCCAGTCTCGATGTCCACGGAGTACGTCGTGATAAGGCCTGTGCCAATGGCCGCAATGGCGGTACTGCCGATCAGGAACGGAGTATAGTAGCCTGTAGCCGTTACGAATCCACCGACGAGGACGGATGAGACGACGGTTGCCAGCATCAGTGGAAGAAGCTGAATCCCCGATTTCATGGCGGACGATCCTTTCACGCTTTGGAAGAAGATGGGAACATAGTAGACGAGGAGGAAGAAGGCACCGCCGAAGAACAAGGCGAACATAGTCGCAGACAATACTGACCGTCGCTTCAGGATCCCCGGGGGCAGTGTAGCGCGGTCGCCCAACTTGATCTGCGAGAAGGTGAAAATGACGATCATAAGTCCAAAGCCGACAAATAGCCCGATCACACGCGAGCTATTCCACGGGTATTTATTTCCTCCCCATTGTAGCGCTAGCAGGAGGCACACAATGGCCGGGATGAGGAGACTGGCGCCGATAAGATCTAGCTGTTTGATCCGATCGAGGACGGGCGTGCCTGAGAACTCGCTCTTGCTAGGAACTCGTAGGATGAAGATGATAACGGCAATGGAAAGACCGCCAATGGGAAGACTGCAGGTCGTTAGAGAAACCAACCTGGGGCCTGCTTGAATTTTGTGTAGGGCTCACTTGATATAGAAACACCATCTCCATGACACACCGTCGGTGAATGCACCTCCGAGTAATGGTCCAGCAATTGAAGCAATTCCCCATACCATGCCGAACATACCAAATACCAGGGGTCTCTTGGGCAGTGGAACTGTGCAGATGAGCTACTACAGTGCCAGGAAGTAGACATCGGGTATCGTACCTGTCATTGATATAATCACCAGGGCCCCAGAGAATATGCCGGCAACACCGATGCCCGCCACAGCTCTGCCAACAATCAGGACAGTGCTACTGGGTGCAACGGCGCAGATGAGTGACCCAATCTCAAAGATGAGAACAGCAATCAGAAAGCCCCATTTGACCTGAGCGATTGGGTGTCAGCTCCGGGCCCATAAACCAAGTGAGCTACGGCAACGGTTCACTAACACTGAATATCTTATAAATCCTGCCGTAAGATGGTTGCAATGCCGTGGATGTCAAGAAATATGCACTCCCATACCAAGCGATGTCCTCGATGCTCTTGAACTGGTCGGTGATCTTCGGGATTGCTACGCCAATGATTGTCTGGTCGAGAGCAACCAAGAACATGGCAAGGTAGAGGGCAAGAATGATCACTATAACTTTCGTGATGCCCGGATACTCAGTCTCTCTTACTTCCGTGTCGGGCTTCTCCGTCGAGCCTTCGATATCCGACTTTTCCGCTACCGTCATCGTGCAATGTCTGCTGGCTTTGACGGTCGAGGCTTGTACGGGATGGAAGAATACGTCGCTCAATTGAAATTTACTCGAACGAACAATTATTGCGGCGTTGAATCGGGATTGTGCATAATAGGGGATTTATAGGCCCAACCTGCTCAGGTACAAGACATGAGCGTACCAGATGAGGATTGATGAGTCGGACATTCGGGCCTCAATGTGACCGATAAAAACTCTATGAGGATTGCATCTGGAGATAGCCATTTGGGCAGCACGTCCCGAATACGAGGTCGAAAAGATGGATGGGCCAATCATGCGGGAGGCTCGTTCGAATAGCTTCAAGTTTATTGCGAGTGCGTCCCGTTCTGCAGGATGAGAAAGAATATCATGCCTACAGTGAGTCACAAATGTCGGAGAGGCTTGTCGATTCTGTCTCAGCTTCAACTATCCGCCACGTGTGCCATGCTCACTTTCGGGAGTCACATCCAGCCAAAGGGCATATTAATGGGCCTATAGACAGCACGAATCACACAGCCACAATAGCGCCTGTGACGCTATCATGCGATTTGGTGAGACGCGGGCGATACAGGCAAACGCCAAGGGTGAGGAATCTGGGAATGGCGACCTTGGAGGCTTAATTAAAGTGGATTTGTAAGCCCAAAGAAGGAAGGAAAGCAAAAGAAGCTCCTTTAAGCATTAGCTTCCCATCGCAAGTAAGAGCCACCGCATTACCGCCACTTTACTGGTGGAATCGGTGTCAAAGCGAGCCAAGAATTGCATAATACGAAGCACCAAGACGCCTGATATCACCCTCTGCCACATGAAGGGACACGCTTCAACGTTTCCCGATCTGAATAACGCCCCATGTCTTGTGTGGATCTTCTGTTGGACTGATCAGTGACCGATAGCCAAAGAGGCACTGCTCCACTTATGTGATGACTAGAGAATAGAGTCGGTCAAGCATACCATGAATGCGATGGAGTCGTGATTCCAACTCCGAGTGGCACAAATAAGGCTGAACCATACCTAGAACGGATCAACTCCAAGGCCGAGCGTGGACGATGCTAATATATGTTTCTAATTAGAGGACGAGGCTCGCGACACATTGTCAATATATTCCAGAGTGTAGAGTCTCTTAACACAAGCCGGTTGGGTCGGTCTACCACTCTCAACACTTCATCGGTAGGAAGCATTCTGCCATTCTCGGTTGCTTACAGCTTCCATCTCGCACTCTACGTGTGAATCTAATGAAGATCTGATTATGAGACTGAGTAATCTGCTCGCTGTAGCGGCCACTACCATCTGCTGAGCAGCTACAATGAGCCTCTGGGAGGAATACTCCGAAGTCACGCACGCGACGGTGTTCTGGGATAGAGCCTTCACACATGGATGGGTCCGGTGGGCTGTTCTCTATTCCGTCCAAAGGCTCCCCGTCGTCCTGTAGAGCAAGGACTTGGGCCGAAGCAATTTGATGCTCACAGGGTGTGTTAGGTAAATTATAGGAGACCGAGTCGGGGCCATTTGATGCCAGTACCTTGTCTTCAGAAGCGATAGTAGATAGAATCCAGGAGCACGATGCTGGAACAAGATCTTCCTCAACACTAATAATTGTTTCAGCAAGTGCAGCCCACGCTGCGCACTTAAAGAATGCTTGAACCGGCGGCGCTCGTCGAAGGAGATTTAGTGCTTCCCGGCGCAGGTAACGGTCCCGGCATTTCACTGCCGTGTAGAACAGCGGTAGGCCTATGCCAGTCTCAAACGTGAATGGAGGCTGTGCACCATCTACCACATTGGATGCACTGAGTGCGGATGTGGCATGTTGAACTATCTGCCGGAACTGGTCCCTCTGTGCATCGTACACCATCTCATTATCTGCGAGGCATGTGGAGACCATTGTAGAAGCAACTGTATGATAGGTCAGCAGGGTTGACACAGCGCCGGCGTTTGGAGAACTGGAGGGTTGTTCCATCTCTCGGTGTTTGAGGTTAGAAAACGCCCTCTCCCAGCTGTCCAATCTGAGCGTAAGAGCGCACTGTTGTTCCTTCAGCGAGGATGCGGTATTACCATCGCATCTCGGAAGACGGTAGCATCTAGCCGCTTCGTTTCCCAATTGGAAAGCTTCCGTGAGTAACTCAATCACAGCTGTTTGGGCCGCTGCAATGGTCGCAAATCTTGGGTTTTCATGCACGGATATGGGCCTAAAACTCTCCCTGACTGGGTAACCCCCCGATATCATAGCTGCAGACCCAAGTCGGAAGAACATGGGTGTTATGACCTCTCGAAGTACGTTTGCATAGTATGGCATGGTTGCAGAATGTCGTAGGGTCATAATGAGATGCACTCCCTGTTCATACAATTGCAGCGCCTCCACAACATGGCCCTGGAGCGTCTCGATGCAGATGTAGAGGACGCACGTTATGAGCGCGACATGCGGGTTGAAATCGTTATATGCCACCCTTTGCCGGACGCGTGCCATAGACCGCGAGTACCAGGATACAGCCTTGGTGTGCTTCCTGACCAGCTTAGCGTCTGGAAGAACCATGGGAGGACCGATAAACGGATCTGGATCTTCGAAAAAAGCACTTATGGCGACGACAGCGTCCCAAACTGCGGGCTCCGATCGACATAGTTCCGGAACGACGCCCCTCCAAAACCGATGGTCTAAATAACCGCCGATTGCGGGTCCTGCGCGGTGGAAGTAGTACTCGAAAGCGCGTCGCTCTTGCGACTCATGGTTGACGAAATCGCAAAGGGGGTAGTTGCTCTGGATTGTCAGCGTCGACGGACGGGCGATGCGCGTATCGCTTTGATTCAAGGCGTATGTACACCTGCGCCCGGTGTTCTTGCATCGTACACACTGCGGCTTTGCCTCATCACACTTGACTTTACGGATTCTAACATCAGATGAGACGGGGGCAATCAGAACCCGCCAATCTAAGGCGGATGAAGGCGGCCACCTACTTGCACGTCGTACATCCTGTCCTCGACTTCACCTTTGCCGACCACCCGGTCCCTCGATAGTAAACAAAGGCCTCGGCCATTCTCACCCTGCTGTTACCCTGTTGATGGGCAATCAAATGTGTGATTTTATCATTCTTGTGGGTAGACGCAGGTTAAGGATAGCAGAAAACTAGACTTGATCCAGACTAACTGCCTGGGTGCCTGAGGGTCACAATTGGCCCCTTCGGAACATGACATCATCAGAGGTGTCAACTAACCCAAAATAGCCACATTAGGGCTGTGAAGGCATGAAAGGTGCCGCCATATTAACATGGGTGATGAGGAGCACCCCAAGAGATGCGGGATATAAAATGATTGAAAGGGGTGTGTGTGGTCCAGTATGACTTCCCTGGCACTGATTTCACTGCAATTGAACCTCATTCGGACAACTCGAGCCGTCAATCCAGTAAGTACAAGGCCATCCATATATATACATACCAAGGGAGCATGCATCTAAGCTGAAGAACCATAACAGAACGGTATCGCTTCTGTCTTTGCACATCTATCACGCATATCAGTACCTGATCGCTATATTCACATTTGCCGGTTCCCACGAATAAATGGCAACGAGATACCGTTGAGTCTGCAGTTACGCCAGCGGGATCCATACATTTTCTCATTCGTCAATGAAGCTACGGGTGACCGTTCCAACTAGCAAGTCCTTGTAGGGGCTCTGAGCTGCGCAGAGTAAGGATCGTCTTGCCACACAAGCGTATCTTTAAAGTGTTGCCGATAAGCTGCAGACTCCTCCGCATCAGGGGCATTGAAGACATCCTCTTCTGGCACGCCAAGCGCGGCTAAGACGCGATGGCCAAGGACGACAGTGATGGAAATGGGAGCCTCATTATTGGCATGATCATCCTAGGATCCGCAGTATGCGTAATGATTTATTGTGGTATTCGACAAATGCTGGAGGATCTTCCACGGTATGTGATTCGGGACAGGTCCCCCGAACAAATCGCGTACATGCGGGAGGTGCGCCAACGGAATCTTCATCAAGCTTGGTGTAATTCTCGATCCAAACCTGTCGCCACAGACCCCGGGCAATAAGAGGGCGAGCGCGGGAGATGCGGCAGAACACGGCTGTTACGGGGAGGATTCGCTATTATATCCATCGTGTCTCTCAGTGGCGCTCTATATTATATATATCCAGGGGGGATTCTGATCCATCAAATGATCCACTTGGGTAAGGGGTTGTCATGTTGAAAATTTCCGTTTCTTGGCAGTCGTAGAGCTTCGATGTGCGCAACACCATAATAATAATCCTATGCCCATGGTGTGAACCGTGTCATAGCGCTCTCCAGGCATTCATTTTGCCTGTGCCAACCAACCGCTTGACATTGTCCATTCCTAGGGGCCCAACGAAGCAGTGCTTCACCAGTGCCTGTATCGAGCACTATCCTGCAAGTGGTCTCATGACCACTGTGAGGCACCTAATACAGCGATGTCCCAACCCCGAGGCATTCGGTATCCACTTCAATCTTGCCCTTTTGAGGGGGTGGGGACGGATATGTGGGCAATCAGCAACGCTAGTAGTGTAAGGCGTTCAGCCGCAGCTGCTGTAGCCTGTACCCCTCATCCTTCTCCACGCCAAGGGTCCACTAGATAGTTTCCTACCGCTGTGCCAGCCTTTCCAGCAATCGTACATTCCAGGCGGTGTTGGCTATGGGTACCTATTAAGAGAAAGAGAATGCTAGCAGTTCCCGGCCATGCATACGCACAACTTGCTCGACTTGCAGGATTATAGACAGAATGTCCGTCTGACAAGTGGAGATCCGCTGTCCCAGGACTAGCCCTACCACTCTGCGATCTATCCAATCTCTGTCTCCGACAACTCCGACTGTTGTTCACCATTTGTGAAGGTTCGGCTGTGGCCATCACCAGTAGTCACCTATGACATCCTTTCAACCAGCTCTGCAAGTATGTTACATCAGGTGGAGGATTACGGCCTCGTGGATCGGCGTGTTGAGGACCGCGTGCCAAGAGCAGTAAGGGCACAGTAGTTAACTCCAAAGTCGCTTAAAAAGAAAAAATTAATGACTGTAGCTCTTTCATAATGACAGCAGTGGGTGGCCGAACTTTGTGCCTGATGGAGATCTCTCCATTGGCTAGACATTGTCAAACTTTGGTAACAGAGTCCCATCCTATCAGGCTTTAGGATTTCTAGCTTTGACGATCAGTTGAACCGGACAGGATTCACAGGAACGACTTGAGTTAAACGTAAGCTCCATAACCAAGGCCCGAACACCAACATCTGGTTGGACTGTGCTTCACATTTCATACAGCCTTTGATTATATCCATGGGGCTTTCGATCCTCATTTTGGAATGGTATCACCAGCAGCCTGTCGCCGCTCCACAACTGGTAGGTACACGAGTCCAACAGGACGATCAGATTCTGTACGAATTGAAGAGCTTAACGATGATCCTCCTCAAAGGTGGCTAGTGATGTTTAGCCTTCAATAGCGGTGTCTCTCCCTTGAGTTGGATTCTTCCCTTGTCTTGTCCGGTGCGAACCTCAAAGGTGTAATTAACTTTTTGAGATCCCCAAAATCTCCTACTCGGCCGTTCCCAAATTCCCGGTCGAGTAATCGACACGTCACAAACTCTACACTGTGCATCGTAAGCACACAATAGCACAGTATAGCTCCGCACAAAGGTTGAGGTTGTTCCCTGGTAGTCTTTCCCCAAGGTAGTCACCAGAAAGGTAGAGTCAAATGCGAAGCCGAAACACGGAACTGAACTCGTAGGGGGTGAGAGTAAGGACGAGAAGGAGATCTAGATCTTTGATTTGAATTTGTTGTCACATGTGGCCCAAACCCAATAGCATGTCCTTCCAGGTGCATGTCGTGAAAAAGCAAAGACGCCGAAAACGCCAATCTATGTTTATCTATCGGGTGGCTTACGCCGAGCAAGTCCGGAATTTGGTCCCTGCTCGTATTATTGGAGGTACCTCCTTGCGTGGTGATGTGCTACACTAATTAGGGTTACATCCTTCAAGGAAGGGCGAAGTCAATGCGTCAACAGCGGAGGCAACCGTTCGCCACCCGTGTCCTTAAACCTATTTTATCCCTTGGTTCCCGGGGAATGTCGTGCTTCTCGCACTTGGAAAAGGAAGGCAACATGAATTTTCCGCGCAAACACAGCGACTGGGGTTTCCATCAGGGATCCCCGATAGTGACGGTGGAGGGTTCATACCCGCTGTGATGGACAATCCTCAGCCATGGCTACAAACAGCGAATCGCGTGCTCATTGGGGTCGGCTTGGCTATTAACACCCCTCTTCTGGTAATGCGAATTTATACCAAAATTCGCTTGATGAGAAGATTCTGGTGGGACGATGGTAAGTCGGTATTTCGGAGCCCACGGAGCCTTGAGCGCATAGCTAACGGATAGCGGCCAGTATGCTTGATTCTTGCATGGGTATATACCGTCAAAGTATTCTTATGATCTACCACCCTGTACTTACCGGCAACTAGATATTCTCCCTCGCGACGCAGGCGGTCATTTTATGTAAGAACCCGTTGAAGGAAGACAGTGTACAGTCGCTAAGATTACTCTAGATGGGTTCGGACATGCAGGATATGGCATCCACATTTCAGAACTGCCATTATCCACGCTCAGTACCTATCGCAAGGTATATACATTCCAGATGTGACGTGAATTGAACGTCTCTCGCTAACAGGCCGGCTTTTCCTTGCTGTAGTGCATGCTGGCGGCATCGGTCATATATGTTCCCGCTCTCGCCTTTGCGAAGCTCGCCTTGCTTATGCTCTACTATCGACTCCTACAGGCGACGCATCCGCTATATGTATACACCATCTACGTGGTCGGCTTCATCATTGCAGGTTATAGTATTGCGCTTGACCTGGCATTGATCTTCGGCTGTAGCCCTATTCAAAAAAGCTGGGACATCACTATTACAACGGGCTCTTGCATCAACACAAGCGGAGTCTATCTCGCGACTGCTATCACCAACACAATCAGCGATGTCATATTGATACTGCTTCCGATCCCCATTGTATGGGGCCTCCGTCTATCCGTTCTTCAAAAAGTCGGAGTGCTCTGTATGTTTGGTGTTGGGTTTTTGTAAGTGAATTTCCTCCCCCCCCCCCTCTGCACCATATGGCGGCCTCATTAAACCAGTCTGTTGTTGTGATTCTTACCTAGTTCCTATAGAACCACCAGCATAAGCATCGTTCGCTTAGCAACGCTGATGCCTCTGGTCACGTCGCAAGATCAGACACACGATATCGCCCTGGCCGCTGTCTTCATGTGAGTGCGGCACGCCATCTAAATCGTTCGCTTTGTTAGTTTTACTTCATACTGGGATGGGACTAATGAATATCGATCGTATAGCAATATCGAAGCCAACACCATTATCATATGCGGCTCTTTCCCCTATTTACGCCAGTTCCTGCGATACCATGCTCCGCGGTGGATCGATTACAGTCTGAGCTCGCGACGGAAACAATCCTCTTCTACAGAGTCGCCATCGGTCCCAGTGCGGAAGCCAGGTCTCACTCAGCTCCAGGATGATATCGAAAGGGCGATCAATCATACGGATGGGATGACGAGCGTAGAAGGGAGTATCGAACGGGGGCCTAGAGAAGTACTATAGCATCCCCCCCCCCCCGTGTGCATAAAAGTGTAGACTTGGCGGGGGTCAAAGGTACTCGCTGCTAGGAGGGAATTTTCAATAACTGAAGAGGACGTTAAGATGTGGAAAAATAGATTTTGCGATTCTATCCTAATACCTAGATATTTACTATTCAACGAATCCCTCGGTGTCGCCGGGCTGTTCGAATATTTCGGGATAGTTGGCAAAGGTTTTTAGAAACGTCACAAAACGCGCCCAGTGCCGCTCCATCCCATGGCACCATCATACAAGGTTCCGTAGCACAGTTTCTCGTGATTATACTAGATGACAGCCTCTTCCAGCCAATATGCAAAGGTTACAGTCTTACCTCGAAGACAATCAAGTTTGCATATAACCCGCAGGCTGCGGACAGAGCGAGATGTGCCAACGTAAAGTGAGGGGCGACACGCCTGTGGGAGGGAATTCAGTGGCAAAGCTACAGATCCCGTTGCCTTTGTTTGCACCGTCACCTCCGTCTTGACTAGACCCAGCCCCATTGTATGTACAAGCCAAAGTCCGAGGTATTCTTCGCTGCTGCCTCCGAAAGGTAGCTGCGCCCCCGCGTACAAGAGAAGCATCCCATTCCGGTGCTTCCATTTGTAATCCTGCAAATATTGAGCCGGGCAAGCCGTCATATTGCCACCTGCACTGCCACATCCCCAAACGCACGGTTGGGAGCCATGCGGCACTCTCGCATTCGTTCAGTTGAGTTGGGTGCCGCCATGCGGGGGCCATACGATTCTCCACCAGGTTTACCTGGACTCCGGCTTGTTCAGTCAGAGTGCAACGTCCGTTCTTGACTGACCGAGTATCCACCTCGGTAGAAGTAGATGCGTGCGGGAAGGGTGCGGAGTATAGAGTACGGATCGGAATAATACCGTGGGGTTGCTGGTGGCTGTAAAGTCAACTCGAGTGATAGGTTCTCATGTCTGACAAGAGTAAGCAGTGAAATCGAAGATTTTGGAGTGGGTTTGTTGTTCGCCGAGAGGGCCAGATCCGCCTAGGTGTAAGAAGGGACAATTCGAAAGGAAAGTCTGGACGCGCCCTCGATAGTCACTTTTCTATGCTTCAGTGTATCTATTCGGACGTTTATCTGAAAAATGAGCGCAAAAATATGTCTAGACGGGCGAGAGCGTCTAACGTAGGTGAAGGTCACCCTACATTGGAAGGCCCTATATATCGTTTTCTAGATTTGGCCATTGGATTCGAAAAGCTGGGCAATTAGTGGGTTATGAACTACCCCGGTAGGTATATATGTTTGATGAGGCGCTCTGGTAGAGAGATCCCCCGCTCGGCTTGAGAGCAAATGTATAGCACTGCTATTGAGCTCTCTACAAGGAGTCGAGGAACAATCTAACATGATATCGAATCGAGTGTGAGTGATGCTGATGTCACCTGATGTCACGCGGTGGTTCTTTTCCTGAAACGGACTAGCGGGAGGCATTCACATTTCTCTGCGTCGTCCAAAACCAGCACAATGCCATAGAGCGAGACTTCGCTTGATAGCTACCAGGGGCGAATTCATAAGATATACACACATGGACGATGGTGCTAACTGTTTAAATCCCAGTCGCCTGTGTACAGCTCCAGCAGTTATTCCCTATCATCGTCCTCAGCACTCTCTCTCACTGAAAACCGTTGGATATCAGCAAGATGATCTGGCCAACTTACTCCAATTGTGGAGAAACTAACCCACATAATCCGCATATCCTTTCCACTGATACCCATCTGATCCGAGCCTCTTTCCGGACCCTCCTACCGTCAATGCCGCTTCCCGGAAAAGCCGACAACCAGACTGCCCCGTTAGTGCGTCCACGAATCTCCTCCGGCAGTGAACTCTTGATACTTCTGCATGCGCCACTTCTAATAGTGATTTGCAATCTTGGAATCGATATTGTGCCGTAGCTCAACCCCTTCACACCTGTCGATGGTGACTGAGGTCAGCGGCGTATGTTTTCCAGGTGGCAGTGATACTTCCTAGGCCATATCCATGGTGCCTGGCATTTTAGGATGCGTAACTGCCCCTTCAGCTGCTAGGGTCGCAAATCCCCTCGTATACGTCATGCTACCCACCTGCTGATTAACAACCCATTATAAATTGCTCTGTCATCGGTCTTAGATTTTGCTTCAACTTCCAATTACGATGCCTGTACCTACAGGTACATTACGTAGAGTGTGGTGGAATATTCTAGTAGATCAAAAGTTAATCACATTCAAGCTTTAGGCGTCAGGGATATTGGTGCTATGGAGAAGACCATCAACAAGCCACTCATCTCAAGATGCTTTCCATATAGGAGATGAGGAATGTTAGTGAATACAGACTGGGTCCCCACATGACGGCCGTCAACGTAATGTTGCTTCTTACTTCACACCGAGACTTCCTTTTCCTTATTTAATTTTATGCTCTTCCTTGAGTCTCAGAACGCTTTTCAATAGAAGGCCAAACGTTCATTTTCAATCCTATTGGCTTTCAGCGTCGTCAGAATGATCGGTGGTTGTTTATCAGTCTCAACCAAGGCTAAGACCCTCTAACAACCTTCGGTCCCAGGCTCCGTCATGCGATCATTTGTTCTTAGTCCCCTATTGTTCTGATTGGGTCTGGTCGGATATATCCAGCCTGTAACAACCCATTCCATTTAACTGGCTTTCCTGGCCCATCGACCCATGGAACGGTGATCTGCCTTGCGGTCATAGGCATCCCCGCTGGCTACCTCTCGCCAAAGTATAGCACGCACTTCTCCCCCTTCTCATAACACCAGTAAAGTATTGAGATGCACCTTTGACGAGTTTATGCTTCAGTTTATATAAGCCACGCCGTGCCATCCCACGAGAGAACCATGTCGAAGCCATTGATCAAACTGTGAAAACCAACTCTCGTCGGATTTCACCAGATGCCATGAGACCGCAATCGAAAACCCTGTACCACCTACGCCCGAAGCTTGACGAGATCCTGAACGATACAGCCCCCGTCCCGTATACACTCGGCACCTTCATTGCCTTCCTCGCTCAAAACCACTGTCTGGAGGTTCTCGAGTTTATCCTTGAAGCCAAACGCTACCGGAAGACATTCGACTGGCTTGAACATCACGGCAAGAAATGCGGTGAAGATGAGGCCCACGAGGAGCGCCTCCGGCGCGTATGGGATCGCATAATAGACACATATATCGAATCCGGCGCACCGCGTGAGATCAACGTACTAAACGAAACCCGTGAGGAGTTATTAGCGTACACCAAAACCCACGGCTCCATCCCCCCGCCGAGTCTCCTCGATAGTGCTGTTCAGCACATGCACGAATTACTACGAGACTCGATCCTCATCCCCTTTCTCCGGAGCTGCTCGGGCACCTCCCATGTGCAGCCGCTATCAGTGCCATGCCTCAGTGGCACCGAGCGACTGTCCCCGAGTCCCAGGGCCTCAGATGACACCGCACGCCGGAGGTCGAAGTTCAATGGTCTCATTCCATCTTCCCCGGCCGATATGTATTCCTCCGATGGATCACAGCCGCCGACGAGGTGCATATCACGAGAGACCAGCTCCCAAGAGCCACTTCGCTCGTCATCCTCTGACATCGGGCGTGAGATCACTGGTGGGCAAGATTGGGATGTTTTGCCGGACAGTGAAGGCACGGGGATGTGGCACGCCAATACGACCCCAGACAGAAAGACACGGCTTCCAGATTCGCCTAAGAAAAGATGGCGCCGCTTACAGGGATTTACCAAGCATTTCCGGCGTTCTTCTAGTTGATGTTAACTCTACTACTAATTTACCCCGCTATGTATGTCAGGCAAGCGGAATTGAATTGCTGTTTATGTTGAGTTGTAGGCTCCTGCCAACCAGATACCCAATGTGACTATGGCTGGTTGACACCTAATGCACCTGGAAAACTAGACCAGCAATCTTTGGAAAGTCACTCTTCTTCAATAGAATAGACTGTGCTATATGCCGCATGGAATACCTGAGTTTGGTTTGTTTAGGATATGATGGAGCTGACGTATGGGCTCTTTGAAACTCAATGATCTCATGCCAAGGCAGCAACGACGTATTTGCTCAGAGCTGAACCAATAGATAGGCGTCTCAGCTTTGTAGATCAGTTCTGTAACCACGGATCCTATGGCGAAAGCCATCACATCCCCATGAGGTATTCATGACTTCATCCTTTTCCTTCGATAAGGCTGCTTGAACCACGGTTGATCTTCCACCCAACGCCGATGAAACCTAAATGGGTCTGATGTATTGGTCATCGAGCAACTCCCGAAGACCAAAGGCTCCAAAAGTAGGTAGTGATGAAGGTATAAGCCTGGTTCATGGGCTATCTAATTCTATGCAGTCTTGGGTCTTTCTATTCTCGTGTGACTTAATTACTAACCACGTTGACCGACCCCTACAAAAACGATCGGGTATCAGTATAGCCAGATACATCTACCATAGAAAGGCGACTTAAAAAGAAAATAAAGCTGGGACCATATGTCATTGGGATTTCTGTGTCAGTTGTAGGGCTCGTCCAGCTTCATGTGAGGTCACCAGTCCGAAGCTGACCAACCGGAAGGAAGCTGGCGCTGCCCGCGTGATGCATTGCATGTACTTTCCTACTAGAGGGAAGAATTACTTCAATAAATTACAATACAGAAAATCCAGGTAGAAATGTTTGTATGGTAAAGGAAAGCTGTCAATGAAGTCCCAATGATATAGTGGCTGGCATAGGGAGATCTGCTATGAGAGTTTCAAGTACTCCTAGTAGCAAAGCAGAAGAGATATAGAAAGATATAAGATTTACTCACAATTTTCCTAGATGATTGTTTATTATATCTAGTTATAACTAACTGGCAAATGTTTTGTCTTGTTCTAAAAAAGCTATAAGCTTGATATATAGATATTCCTGGTAAACATTGACCAATGTTCTAAAAGCTACACCAGACTGCGCAATCATCTAGCGCTGAAAGCTCCAAGGTGGCACGAAGGTAGCCCCTTTGTTGGAGGCTATGGTATAGACTATTTCAATCCTTTTCATCGGAATCTATGCGGCCTAGCAATACTTCGCAGCGCGTTCGCACCAGTCACGTCATCAGAGGCTATAGATAGATTAATTCAAGGCAGGAACGAAAATAGCTGCCGAATGCATAATCGGCTACTATCGTAAGCGCCCAGAACTGATCATTCCAGTTCAATCTTCCAGTGTTTACCTAGAGACTACGAGTTTGTCCGGGGTGCCACCAACTTTCGGCATCCCTGGTCCTTTTTCTGGCCAATTATTGAGTCAGGGCTTGGCTCAAGTTCGAACCCAAAGCTCTTGTTTCCTTCAGGTTGGTCAGTATCCTGCTTGTGTGAAGGTACCGTGTGCCACGCTACAATGCAAGCTGCTACGTCGGAGAATATCTGACGGCATGGGGCGCAGTTAGAGATGCTCTTCGACCGACGTATCGGAAGGCCTAGTGATTATGGGCCAGGTTTGGGTCAAGTCGACCCGCTTCTAGTTTGAGAGAACCCCAGGCTATTATCTATACGGCTCTCACTTCTCGTGTGCCATCAAGAAGCCACCAAAGCGTGTATCTTCTCGGTGAAACGCAATCCGGTATAAAGAGGTACCAATCGTTTTCTTCATAAGGCGCCATGCAGTTTGTGCATCTAATTGCTTCGTAATACTCTGGATAGAAACCACTGTATTCCCAGTCAATTAGTCCACTGATGATCCATTCATTGTTTTCAAACTTCACGACAATGTTTTCCGGCCGAAGATCACCATGTGTAAAAACTATTGCCGGCGAAGGTGATTTGGTAGAAGGGGAAAGCTGGCGTAGCAAATCAACAAAGACTTCTCCACCAGTTCGATCACTTGTGAAGAGAAAATCTTCAAACTCATCGACCGTCAAGATCGGCTTGGCACTCCGGCGAAGATGTCTTCGAATGTCTTTGCAGCCTTCGCCCAGAACCCCGAAAGCTGTACCTACATCATACGGCAAAGACAAGTCATTCAAGATCAAAGTAAGCTGTTCCTTGATCAAGACCTTTTGGGCTGCACTTAGGGATGGCCATACCTTCGCCAAGGTACTCGAATGCAAGTGGGTCATGAATATGAGCGAGATATCGTTCATTCGAATGAAACCAAGAGGCTTTGGTGCGGCCATGTCAGGCTTGTACTGGTGAAGATATTGTAGTGTTGTGTACTCAGTTGTATCATCCAGGCCTCGCACAACCTTCAGAATGATATCATGACCACAGCCCAAGACCATTTTCTGGCGGGCAAAGGGGCCCTTCCAGACAACCTCGCTCGAGTCTATGACATCGATCAGTCGCTGTGCAAGGCCATCCGATTGTGCTGCGGCTGAACTCGATATTCCAAGCAAATTCTGAACTGTGTCGGACAGAGGGAAAACGATCTCAGCCGAGGCCGACGAGCGAATTGAAGCGCGAATGTCGTCCTCTCCATGGTCTTCAGTTACGGTCGCATTGTCTAAATTTCGAAAAGACATTAGACGGTGGACTGCTCCGGCGGAAAGCTACTCACCAGGTTGGGTCTTCTGGCGCATATAATCCAGGCGATCGGAATACCTCAAGGGCAATTTCACTGTCAGATCAATCTCCGGATCCTTTGCGATGGCAGCTTGAAGCTTCGTCAAGGTGTGTGCATTGAACCTCGCAGCTTTTGGATTTGCTGACACCAGCCATAATCAAATATCGTGCTATATAATCCGTATAATGCATGCAAATGATTACATAGTAGGAAGGTCGGAATGCAACGGTGAAAGATGCTAAAAGCACACAGTGGATTAAAGCAACGGCAGTGGAAGAAAGGGAGCCGCCCTTGTTCAGGTCTCTGAGAGCTCCGACCATGTGACATCCCTAGCATCATGTTTTAGTACGATCAAGAAGAGAGCCCTTTCCAACCACAAGACTCAGGAGCCGATAACAATAATCGACCAATATATCTCAGTAGCCTCAGACCCGGGCTGCTGATCTAAAGCTAGTTTAGCTAGCTAATTAACTATTTTAGAATTATATATTTAGTAATCATACAACGGCTTCATACCGAGGTATGTTGCAAACTGTATTGGACTAGGTTAGTATGAGCTTGAGATTCGGTTAATTACTATGTAAATGGGTATGAAAGGCATCAAATACTGAAAATCGAGATATTTAACAAAAAGTCAAGCCATTCTAGTACCTTGAAAAGCACTCCCCAATCTCGACCCTGGCATTTAGAAAGCGATCTATTCTACGGAGTAAGTATAGCCATCTTTCCAATCCCGATTATTATAACTACTATATCCTTTCTTATACGTATCCCCCCCTTCTAGAACGGTTACTATAAGCGATTTAATAGATATTAATAGCTGCTTGATCCAGTATTATATAGCTTCTTAAGCTAACTTATTCTAAACTTACTTTCGGGTAATTATTAAGGATAATTGTCCACATCCAAGCCAGCGCTGACACTGCAGGGATCGGCGCCAATGCATCTTCACCTGCAGCCATGTTGCCAATAGAGTGTAAACATAGTAGTACAGCAGACATAACAGCTTCCAGTAAGTTAAAAGAACAGGTACGCCGACATTCCTTTCTTTGTTTGCGTGGGGATACATGGAAACCGAGTTCTTTGTCAGGGTAATCCTTCAGCCTTGACGTTCACCCGCACGAAAATGTTTAGGGATCCGCTCTATACTGGCAGGACTATATATGTCTCCGCCGTTACATCCAACAAGCACCCCAACACCAAGACCCAAAGAATATAAGAACACGACACGCGTACCATTCTCCCGTGGAAAAACAAAAAGAAACAAATATGGCTCCCCACGCAATCGTGTTCGATCTTCTCACAGCCCTCCTGGACAGCTGGTCCTTATGGGCCGAAGCGGCAAACAATGACCGCGAAGCATCGTACCGATGGCGCACAAGATACCTGGAGTTAACCTTCGGCTGCGGCGCATACCGTCCGTATGAAGATCTCGTCTACGAATCGGCCAGGGATGCCGGCCTTCCGGACAGTGCACCCAAAGCGCTGATCGAGGATTGGGATCGGATGCGCCCTTGGCCCGAGACCAAAGAAGTCCTCCTGCAACTGAAGGAAAAGGGATATCGCCTCGGAGTGGTCTCCAACTGCTCTGTAGAACTCGGTCGGCGAGCTGTTGCATTGTGTGGTGTGGAATTCGATGCGTTCGTGACAGCGGAAGACGCCGGCTTCTACAAGCCTCATCCGAAACCATACGGGTCGATCCTGTCGGCCTTGGGGGTCGAACCCAAAGATGCCCTATTTGTCGCGGGCAGTAATGGCGATGTCGTCGGCGCAGCTGCGGCCGGTATGGATGTTGTGTGGCATAATCAGATTGGGCTTCCAAGCCTCCCCGGCTCGAAGCCGCGCCTGGAAGGTCGCTCTTTACATGTCGTTCTAGATCACCTCCGTCGGGTGGAGCCGACCTCGAGTTCGAGGGCATCTAGTCGATCATCATCGCGACTTTAGACTTAGGCTGAGAAGCTAGGCGCACTGCACGCGAATCTTAGCCCATTGGAAGCCGGACCGCAATTACGCCACTCGCCCTGGTGGGAAAGGTCTGGAACGTGGGAACTTGAGCAGAACTGGGGACGGAACAATATCATCGTCGTGGGAGAGATGAGATATAATGAATCTATGAAGGGCTCGTGACGGTATCTTCTCTCATCGCTGCAGAGCCTTTGAAGTGTATGTACATATTTGGTATGTTATAGTGTCTAAATACTTTCCTCTCCGTTCAGACATATCCTCAATATTAGCTACGCACCGTAGAGATCAATACCGGATTGAGCACCACATCAGAACTGGATAGGGAAACCGTTCAAGCTTTGAAACAGAAGTTAACAAGAGTTTGCATATTGGTATCACGGTATCAAGAAATAAACAACTTAAAAATCACAGGGGCTTCACAGCCGGTCGCTTGTTGATGGTGATCCACATATCTCGCCAAAAGCCGATCCCACCTTTGACTTCAAACCTCGCAGAGGGCTTGTCAGTTGCAATAGATGGGGTGTATCGGCGGAAGAACTAAAGTACCATGAGGTTAGCAAGCGTGAAGCCACGGGAGGGAATCCTAAGTAACGTACCTGCAGTGGGCCCTTGAACAATTCTTCCATCGCGATGTCCCTGCCCAGACAGACTCTAGTCCCATATCCAAAAGTGAAAATGTACTTGTTGTACAGCTTCGCTTTCGCCGGGTCGAGCCATCGCTCGGGACGGAACTCCTCTGCATCTTCTCCAAAAAGCGCCGTGTCACGGTGCATGATCCATGGGTTACCGGTCACCTCCGTCCCGGCGGGAGCAAACTTACCAAAAAGCTCGATGCCTGGTTCCGACACATAACGAGGGAAGATATTTGGCGCCGGCGGGTTCAGCCGCAGCGTCTCCCGGACACATGCGACGTAGTATGGAAGATGCTCCTGGATAGCGTCGTACTGGGGGATCGTGTCGGGGATGAGTCCCTTACGGCTGGCCGTGTCGATCTCCTCCATCATCCGTTCGTAGACCTCCTGGTTGACGAGCAAGTGGTTGACGAGGGACTGGAAAACCGTGCCAGTGGTATCAGCACCCGCCAGCAGAACTAGCAGGACCTCAGCCTTCAGATAGTCCATGTCGAGGGGCTGGCCGTCCTCCGTGCGTGCATCGATGAACGTTTGCAGGAGATCCACACGGTCAACATCTTTGCCTTCAGCGATCTCGCGTAAGCGTTGCTCAATCAGTCGATCCCGGAAGCGCATCAGCACACCGATGCCGGTGTTGTCTTCCGGCTTAGCGACCAGGTATTTTTTCAGGAACGTTGTCTTCACCCAGCTGGTAAAGGGGTGGAGGCGCGCGAGGAGACCAAACGCAGCAAGGCCGTCGTGGAAGCCCTGGATGAGACCTCCAACGTCTTTACCCTGTTCGATAAAGCCGAACGGCGCCCCGAAGCCGATTTCACTGATGACATCGTATGCGACGTATCTGTTAATATCCACAGGGTCCCGTTAGTTCGATGATGCGCGGATCATGTTTGGCGGGGGTTGACTCTTACACTGCCCACCAGGAGAAATCGAACTGGGCGCCAGTGCTGGCAAAGGTCTCTCCCAATTTATTCAACCAATCGTCGATGCGCGCGTCAATCAATGGTTCCATCCGCTTTACGTTGGAGAAACTATACTATTTGGGTTGTCAGATCGGGCTTTGCTGGGCCGGACTGACATGCATGAATGTACATACCGGACCCGCAATGTGCTTGCGAAACGCCGCATGAGTCTTGTGTGACCGAATGTTGAACAATGATTCGGTCTCCCCGAACGACCCAGTGATATAGTGACCCGTCTTGTCTGCATTCCGGTGGTAGATGTCTGGCAGTTTCGTGGGGTCGCTGACGAGAAGGAGCGTTGGGGTGATTCGTACGACGGGTCCTGCAAGCCATACACACATTAGCCCGATGAGTCCTGCAGCTGAAACTTGAAGGATCATACCGTATCTCTTGGTCAGTGCATAGACCGTAGGTACTTCGGTCTCACGTAGATTGTGCCATGCGATCCAAAGTCTGGTTACGCTGCCCCAGAAAGGTCCCGGAAATACGGACAAGGGATGAAAAAATCGATAGTACACAATCTGATAAGCAAATCGGAGGGCGACATAAGCCCCCAAGGCGAGGATGACGTGGGTTGCAGTGAACATAGAGACCAGGTCCGTCCCTGTCAGGACCATTATCACAACCCTGATCCACGAACAAAAAATGAGAAGGGCGCAGGAATAAGCAAAAACAAAATACAATTTACAAAAAAAGAATTAAAACTCGACAGGGATACCTTGCCTCCCCAGCACGGTTGATGGCAGGAATACCCGGCGATTGCTGTGGAAACTATGCATCATTTCTCTTCTGCGCTATGTGGTACTTTTCGCGGTCCACCCCAAGATGATGATGGAGGGAGAGCGAATCGCCGTGCACCTGGACATAATCTCACCACCGCCTCCTTGCGATGATCATCCTTAGGGGGAGGGTGACCACCGCCGTATTTGATTAGAAATGGCTAATAACGCCAACATGGCCATTTTGAGGGGCTGCTCTGGGAAATATTTCCACCATTTGCTCGCCAATCATGGTCGCTCTATACCAAGAGCTTCCCGAAACGCTGGGGATTATTGGCTCGAGTTCTGGCAGCAAGTGCCGGGGGAATCGACTGAACGATAGAAACCCACCCACCTCATCACCATAGCTAACGCGCCGTCGCTCTAGTGCGGGAGGCCGAGCGTTTTAGGGCGCACTGGGCTTCGGAGCGCGGAGGCTAATAGGCTGCGAGAGGCTGAAGCCGTTTCAGACTCTGCAAAATGTGACTCTTACGTATCATACAACCAGGATATTGTCCCCTCTCTACAGCGTATGCTCGATGGCGGTGCTACTACTGTTCTACGCACACAAGCCTCGTCGCCAATCGATTGGAACCGGCCTGGGAAGAGTCTTAATGGCTTCCTGTTTCTTGACTGACAGGGCATGCCAACAGGGATCCACAGTGGTCCACCCCTCGGGAACTGGGATGCGCCATCAGCCCAAACATTGGTGGACGAGGGAAGTACTAAGGAGTAGTTAGCCGCGGAGGGCTTCCGCGGCCCTCTTTCATTTGATTTCGACAAGGCTCGGCTGCATCGGTGGCCACCAAGTGCCACTTTGATACTCCGGAACGAACAAGCGGGAGATGTCAAGACCAGACGTTGGTTCTCACCCGTGTGATAGATCCACAACGTCCGTCCTGTACAATCGAGATTAAATCTAGGATGGAACATGCGTGCTGATCATTTGGTGCACCAAATCCCGACCGCTGGTGATCGAACAATGCAATTCCTTGATCATATTGCTGGATGCATCTGCGACCCAGGTAAGGCGTAGCTCACTTATAAAGGAGGCAACCTTGGCGAAGAATAAAAGACAAAAAGACAAAAGGGAAACAAAACGAGCAAGGGAAAAAGCAAATAAGAAAAAAAAAATAATAATAATAGGAGGATGAAACTACTACAGCTAAGCGGAAGGAAAAAGTGGGGGGGGGGGGAGCTTAGGGAACTTCCGCATAGGCGAAAGGAGAGAAGAGAGAAAAAAAAAATAATGAAAATTAAACATGAAATAAAATAAAACAAGGTAATACCCCAAGAGGAAGGAAATAGAGAAAAAATAGGAGAAGAGACTCTGTGGAAGTATTCCAAAACACTTCGAGAAGCGAGGTTAATCCAAGGGCCGAAGTGAAGGCCGTTCATTGCACTATAGCCTCAACCTGCCAATTTCGAACACATCTGTTTCATTCCCCATTTGGGAATATAACAAGGCACTCCTGACCTTTTCAAAGCTCTACCAACGAATAAATAGTCCGTGCAAGGTTCTGTCTGAGTACCTTGTGACTACTCAAATCATAGATTCGCAGTGGCACTGGGGTCAAGGGGCGATACCGACTCACTGGGGACTTGAATCATTAGTTCTGTACACCGTCGACTGTAGTATATCAGGAGCTACGCAGCTTAGTGTCTGTGTACCAAAATAGTAACCAGCATCACCTTCGAAAGCGGAGGACGGAGTTAAACCGGTTCCATACTCCATCTTTCGCCACTGGAAGGAGTGGAGATTGACATATCGAACAGTCTTGTATCCTACTTTCGGACAGCTTGCCGACGGACTAACCCGGAGATATTGTCATCAACACGGTTTCTCTTACCTTAATTTCCTCTCTCGGGAAAAGGGGGAACCCCGTGGGACGATCGCCTCATCATCCATGAACGGAGGAACTGGGGAATGATGGCCAGGCTAATATGTAAGGGAAGGATTGAAGCCGACGGTTTCATTCTCAACTGCTCCTATTCGGGAAATGCTTTCGCGCATCGGGCCTAGGGTTGACTTGGCATGCAGGATTTAACGAGGAAGACCAGTCACAATGATCTATAGAATACGGTCCTCTATAGGTCATGCCCGCCATGTGGCGATCAAATTGTTAGCTTCTCGCTTTGATCGTCCGCGATGATTTAGGTTTGCCGATGCAGTACCACTCTTTGGAGGGCACCTTAGTGTTTGCTAGTGGAGTCGCAAATCGCAGAGTGGGAAGAAGGCAAAGAAAAACGGAAACACCTCATAAAGACAGCCTCCGGGGGTACCAGAGATTTCAAGTGCCTGACTGCTAGTCATTCGTTCACCATCAGCAGTGGGTTCGCAGTCACAACAACAATGGCGGGGGATTCAAAGGGTCCAACAGTGATCGCGATTGCGGTCACTTTTGCAGTCTGGACCTTCGTCATCATGTGTCTTCGGCTCTTCTCTCGCGTTTTTGTTCTACACAAGATGGGGTTCGACGACTGTGAGTACCGCTTGACTGATGGGAAAGGGAAGACAATGGCTAAATATTCCTAGATCTGATTGTCTGTGCTTGTGTAAGGAAATCGAACCTGAGATACTAAGCCGCGGTCGCTCACATAACCAGCTGACTTCATGGGCCTTTTCTGCTGTAACCGTTGTGTGTGAGTATACACCAGTCTCGAGACGTCGACGACACTAATTGGGCTCTCTAGCGGTGAAGTATGGGCTGGGTTCACATATCGCAGACGTCGATCCGAAGAAAATGGAGACTTACGCCATGGTACCGTTCTTGCAACCGCTGGATGGTTTTGATTATGTCCTCTGACCGTTTGCCAGGTGGTTTGGATCAGCTCGATGTGTTACTTGGCCACACTGGGCTTTGTCAAGTCGTCCGTTTGTCTGTTCTATACTCGTCTCGGCGATCGGCTTCTGACGCGGCTGTCGATGTTGATGTTAGGCGTGATCATCGCACAGGCGTCATCGTTTGTGTTTGTGGCAGCATTTCAGTGCCGACCTATTGAGAAGGCGTGGAAAAGCACGCTCCCGGGGACGTGCGTGAACATCAACGTGTTCTACCTTGCCAACGCGGCCCTGAATATCTTGACCGACGTCATGACATATACGCTGCCCCTCCGAGTGATATTCAAGCTCCAGGTGCCGGTCAAGCAGAAGGTTGCATTGGGATTTATCCTCTGCATTGGATTGTTGTAAGTCCCTGATTTGTGGTACAACGCATAGTGGATATGCTCTGACATTCTGACTCTTCAATCTTCAGTGCCTGTGTCTCGTCCATCATCCGCATTACCTATATTCCTGCCATGCTGTCTGATCCAGATGCCACATGGGTGATTGCCGAGGCAATGTATTGGTCCGTGATCGAGATCAATGTCGGGATCTTTGCCTCCTCCATCCCCTCGTTCAAGGCGATTGCCTCCCGCTTCATTCCGAGACTTATCGGAGAGTATTCTCGCGACAAAGGGTACAGTGGTTGGTCCAGCAGCAACGATGTGAAGAAGTTCTCCGGCTTTTCCAAAGTCCCAGAGCAGAACATCGGCCTGGACTCCCTGGATCCTCGACACCCGGACGGGGATAACACGATTGGCACGCAGATCGGGTACGGAGGGACGCAGAGTCAGGAGCGAATCATCCCTCACGGCAAGATCTATGCACATACAGAGATTGAGACCAATGTGGAGGTCAGTCGAGACATGTCCTGTCGTACGCTCTCCCATTCCCCTTGAAGGGGTTTCGCAATAGTACCCACCACCAGTGGCCTCATTTGCCAGGGTGATAGATATCCTTCGACCTTTTTCATATCATTCTAATTTCTACGAATCGTCGCTCCTTTGATTCCCTCAGGCTTATGTATTAAATTATAGACCCTCTTTCCTTTTCATTTTCATTTTCCTTGTATTCAATTCCTTTTTATATTCTCTGCTTTCACAGCAAGGGTGGCATAGCGATTGAGTTTAGATTTAACGATGAATGATCATATCGATTAATTTTCGCATGACTACTTGAATCGCACGAAACAAAATGGTGTGAAGGAAAAAGAGAAAAAAAAAATACCAAAAAAAAAGGTGAGGGTTATGAGAGATCAGGTGCCGGCAGAAGAAAGCGATAGGAATTTCCGATGTCGGGACTTCCGAGAAGCAACAACATCAAGTCTTTCTCACTGCCGGGTTTCGGCAAATCTCCCTCCAACCAGGTGATATATTGATACGCTCATTTACCTTGCGATGTCAGTGTCTATTCGGGGAAATAATTAAAAGGTTCTGTGACCAGCTTGACTAGGCTCCAGGTCTGAACCAGGTTTGATACGCTCTGTCCAGGATACACTCAAGACTTGGAGGACAACAATGACCACTTTCGTTTGCCAGGAGAAGATCACACTGGATCAGTGGTAACAGTGATCTTTCCCCCCTTTCTCCTCGGGACCGCCGAACGCAATGGGCCCGGCTATACTCTTTCCCATCTCAACGCTCCCCAGCCTCCCTTTGATTTACCCCATGGGCAACTCCCCACAAATCTCCACAAGAAAACCAGAACCCATGGACCCCGTGTCTTAAATGTACGATTATGAGTCAATTATGCAAATGCCATATAGTTTTATCTCTCACACTACTAGAGTCAAGACGTGATTCGACTCCTGTGGGCCCATCTGCCTCACATTATTGGAGAAATGGTTGATTTAATCCCCACAGCCTAATGCTTAGCTGCTGAGGTTGAGGTAGCTGCGTATGTCACCATGGTGAATGAAGATCATAGTCGTTGGGTTTGGACTAAGTGCGATGGCGCACGGTTTAAAAGGCTGCCCCTACACCCAGAATGCAAGTGAGCTTGCCACTCCTCCTTGTCTTTCTCTGGAACGAAAATGAGGCCGGCACTTAACATCCTCGCGGGAGCAGCCACGCTCACAGTGGCACAGGCTACTAGCCTCAGGGATGTGTGCACGAATAGCCATGTCAAGTCAGCGCTGCCCTCCACTGATGTCATCAACGGTCTCGTGATCGATTCATCATCTATTACCACCAATGCTGTCTATAATGCTTCCACCCCCGGTGGTGACTACTTCCCAGCAGCAGCCGCATATGATTTCTGCAATGTCACTCTCACGTACGCCCACCCTGGACGTAACGACAAGGTTCATCTTAAGCTATGGATGCCAGCTCCGGACCAGTTCCAAAACCGGTGGCTGTCGACTGGTGGAGGTGGTTTTGCGATCAATCACAACGAACAGCAGCTCCCGGGCGGTGTCCAATATGGCGCCGCAGCTGGCGTCACTGACGGAGGCTTCGGCAGCTTTTCAACCCAGTTTGACCAAGTATTCCTTCTGGCCAATGGCACGATCAACTATGAAGCACTTTATATGTTCGGATACCAGGCGCACCATGAGCTGAGCGTCATCGGAAAGGCCCTGACTAAGAACTTCTACGGCACGGGTGATGCAAAGCTGTATGCCTATTGGCAGGGATGTTCCGAGGGTGGTCGCGAGGGATTCAGCCAGGTGCAGCGATTTCAGGAGTTCGACGGCGCCGTGATCGGCGCCCCAGCCCTTCGCTATGGTCAACAACAGACGAACCATCTCTACGCAAACGTGGTTGAGCATACTCTCAAGTACTACCCTCCGCCTTGTGAATTAGAGAAGATTGTAAATTTGACCATTGCGGCATGCGATCGACTGGACGGAAAGGCTGACGGCGTGGTGTCGCGGACCGACCTGTGCAAGCTGCACTTTGATGCCAATTCAACGATTGGCGCACCCTACTCCTGCCCAGCCTCAACAACAACAACAACAACTCCTGCGCAGAATGGAACTGTGTCTGCGCTCGGTGCCGCAGCAGCGAGGAAGATGTTGGATGGCCTTCGTACTCTTGACGGCCGTCGGGCCTATATCTTCTACCAGCCTTCCTCCACATTTGACGATGCGCAAACGAAGTACAACCCCGAAACCAAGAGGTTTGAACTAGACGTCACTGCCTACGGCGCTGAATGGGTCCCCCGCTTCCTGCAGTTACAGAATTACACTCTATCCTCTTTGGAGAATGTAACATACGACACGTTAAAAGACTGGATGGAACTTGGATGGCAGCGCTACGAAGACGTCCTGCAGACCACATGGCCTGACCTAACCTCCTTCAAGTCCGCGGGTGGGAAGGTGCTTCACTACCATGGTGAATCGGACCCAAGTATTCCGGCTGGATCCTCGGTACATTACCATGAGTCTGTCCGCAAGACCATGTACCCCAATATGTCTTTCAATGCAAGTAATCAGGCGTTGAATGAATGGAACCGCTTATTCCTGGTCCCCGGCGCCGCGCACTGCACCTCCAGTACCTATCAACCCAATGGTCCCTTCCCCCAGGCAACTCTCAAGACACTCATTGCATGGGTCGAGAACAATATTGTTCCTGAAACTTTGAATGGTACGGTGCAGTCCGGTGACCACAAGGGTGAGCAGCAGCAGATCTGTGCTTGGCCCTTGCGTCCCTTGTGGAAGGAGAATGGCACGGTTATGGACTGTGTATACGATCAGGCTTCCCTGGACACTTGGGACTATGATTTCGATGCCTATCGCATCCCTCTGTACTAAGTATATAACTAGTAGTAGATAATAAAGAAACGCACTCGCTTCCTGAACATGAATGCCAATCGTATGGAACCTTCATCTGGTACAAGTACACCTGTAACGCTTCCAATATGAGGCCCACCGAATAGGCTCGTCCATTGACTCTCATATCAGGAAAGCACCATGAACGCTGTTTATATTTGCCTTTATGAGTTTATGTGCACAAGCGACCCCGCTGACTAATGAGTATAACTCTTCCGAATCGAGTCAAGTACGTACAGCTCGAATACCCTCGCTACTCCGGTTATTGCACATCTCAGCACCGAACGCGCTCTAGTTCTACTGTGTATGGGAATCGAATGTCCACGCCCCTTTAGCGTAAGCTCTCAATTTAGGGTTTTTGTTGCTCTGGATGCCTACTCGTGGTCCAAAGACGACCGATCTTATAATTGTCCATCAGGAAGACCGGAAGAGTCGGACGCGAGCTCGAGCGCACTTGGCACATAACGGGATCAGGAAGAGGATCCAAAAGCAGCGTGGAAGTGACGATGACAGTCTACCATCCCCCGGCTCAAAGGCCGTAGTCACTCCTTCTATTGCACCTCCAGTCGCATTGTCAGGCTTCTCGATGGTGGAGTATCTGATCTCGACCAATATCTTCCTGGATCTTAGCAGCACTTGGGGCGTGAGTCCGGCGGTTTGCCCTGGTCCTGCAAACTTATCGCATACCCTCTCGCGGGCTTCTGATGCACTGGAATGTATTTTTCGTGCGAACTTGGCATTTCACTGGTTGGATCTCAATTTGGGGACGACCCCCGAGGAAAAGAGGAACATGAAGGTTGCCGCCCTGACGTATCGAGGGCAAGCACTAGTGTTGGCGCAGAAGGAGTTGCTTCGCTGCCGTGGATCAGGCTCCACGAGTTGTGACACTATCCGACGACCGGTCCACCCGGCAAATCGGGAGATCTGCTTCGGCATCGTACTCCGAATGCTTCAACTCGACTACCGATTTGCGCGATGCGACGTTCAGGCCCATTTTCTGGCATGCCGACAACTGCTCAGGGGCAGCTCAGATGTCGGCCTCCCGGTGGATCACCAATCAATTGGCGCTCTGGCATCTACCATTCGGAATCCTCATCTCCATCACCTCATGATCACCTTTGAATGTGTTAATTGCACGCCCAACAGTGTGATCTGGGACGATGCGGATCTAGGCTTTCTTACGAATCATCTGTGTCAATTTGTCAACCGCCTCAAGTCGTGTGAAGTAGTGTCTACGGAGAATCGAAGTTTGGATGAATCTATCCCACTGACACCGGCAAGGGTCCCTCCTTGCACTATCTTATGGCGATGCCTCACCAAGCGACCCACGTCAATCCCGTCGAATATCTACCGTGATGTTTGCGAATCTAGCGCCCAGATTGGGGCATTACTGCTCATATGTTCGGTTTTCTTTGACTATGAAGATGGCCTGGAAGGGACTGATACTTCGATTCCCTCCCAGTGCGTTGAGGAGCTAGAAAATGCGCTCTTTGCTCTCGGGGAGGAAAACGCCGTGTCTAGTGCGCTCAATACGGCTTGGCTGTTGGCCGGCGGAGTCGGACTACCGCTACTACAACGGCGCGCCCGTTTGTGGTCTGTATCCGGGATGTTATATGCTCTCAAACGATCTTCCAGTCTTGATCTGACCATTACAACATCGGGCGATGTGGTGAATGCCGAGTATGTCAAGCAAGTTTGCTTGGGATTCTTGAGTAGCCCTTGGAGACAGTCCTGAAGTAGGGGAAATTCACCCTGGCTTTCAAGATACAGACCACGATTCATACTTGTGCTCGAGATAATATCAAATTCTTCATCTCAACTCAACGCATCGCATTTGCCAAGGCGCTAGCCCGAATAGGAAATTTCCTAAAGGGGAAAGGGATAATACAATGCTCAATCAACCTTTTCTCAACAAAATCTTGGGCTGGCTCGCAGACTGCCTGTTAAATATCACATGTGGTCGAGTCATGAAGACCATGTGCCACGCTATCCTTGTTCTCTGCAGTTTCTTTCCGTGCATTCGCTCCTCGTCGTGTTACTAAGGACCTAGCCGGACAGCGTCTGTGTCAGTAGCGTCCAGAGCAATCGTTAACAATGGTCAGCTCTTCGTCATTACCTCCGGAGCTACGGAAGCTCTCAGATGATGTCTATGTGTATGATCCCAGCATGGACGCGCCTGGCGACAGCCGCAGCAGCGCAAGCGATCCCACAGCTGTTGTACTATACACATGGGCCGATGCTCATGTACGCCTGATTCAGAAATACTTGCAAGGGTACAAAGATATCTACCCGTCGACCAAAATTATTATTGTCATGGCCAAGACGGTGAAGACGTTTTTCGGCAGCCAAGCAACCAATCAAGCCGTTGTGAGGGAAATGGTGGTTAAGGAATTGTGGCCACTTCATAGCGGCAAACCAAGTCCGTCTTCTGAACGTCCAGAGTCTGTGAAATATCGGGGAACACCACATCCCCGCATCCTCATGCATGCCTTCTCGAATAGTGGCGGCGTCAACCTGGAGGCGACTGCGTTGGTTTGGCATTCATTGCAACGAAGCGTGGGCCAACGCATCGGTCCGCTACCCATCCAAGGCCTGATTCTCGACTCAACACCGGGTGGATCCTCCTTTTCCCTGGAATTTCATCGCTGGACAGCCGGGGTCGCGTTGGGGTTCGCGTTTCTCCCCAGGCTCTTGGCGAAACTGGTCGCGGCCATCATCGTGCTGCTCTATTTTGGGCTGCCGGGACTGCTCGGAAAGGAAGTGCTGCCTGTCCGTGGACGGAGAGTTATCAATTCGCCCGACTACATACCAACAACCAGCGCACGGCTGTATATATACTCCGACTCGGATCCTTTGATTGGCGACAAGGATGTGGAGTCACATGGACATGAAGCTAAGGCGAAGGGATATCGGCATATTGAGTTGGAGAAGTTCCAAGGGTCGGGCCATGTGGCACACATGCGACAGGACCCAAAGAAGTACTGGGCGTCGATTGCAAGGTTTTGGGAGAAGGGCTGTGTGTAACGTTCGTATCGTTTTTGTCTACGGCTTAGATGACTGAGAGAGGAATGTAGTGGGTCAGGGTCTTGTAATATATATCAGTTTCAATCATACGCCTTTTCGTTCACTTTATGTGTGTGCCGGACTGCCGGAAGGCGACGGATCCTGTAATAGCCGACGGTGGATCTTATCTGATCATCTGATAATCACCGAGCGTTGTGTGGCCAATCGGTAAAGGTACCAAATTCCCTGGCACTGGGTTCTTTTCCCCCCCACAATGGACACAACTTTTCCTGCTCCGGGGAAGTTGGGTCGCTGCCTTGTCAGTCTTACATACCAGAGCGGTTCATCCACCTACCCTAGTCGTGCGGACAAGCCCCTCGTATCTTCAGCTCCGTGCTTCCGCATCCTTCTCGCTCGTGGTGACCAGTAGCGCACTGCTTCATGTCCCCAATGTCATGCAGAAATTCTTGCGGGCCGTTTCCCATGACTCAGAGGCCGCGCCGATCATGAAAGACCCACGCGACGAAGACTATGAGCCAATCTTCGACTCGTCGGAAACTGTCGCAGAGGCCAGGGAGGGGAGGGCACATGGAGTCGCAGAGATCGAGGCTTTGGCAACCGTGTGGTCGACCAAGGCTCTCCATATCGGATATGCTTTGTATGAAATCCCTACCTCGTAATAGTGCTCGAGCAAATCTGACATGGGTGGTTAGAGTATTTGTCATATTTTTCATCAACTCTTTCCAACAGGAAACGACGGGTAGTCTCTCCCCGTACGTGTACTCCAAGTTCGCCAATCATTCTTTGGTGTCAAGGACGAATGTCCTGACCAATGTCGTCGGCGGGGTGGCTAAACTGCCCTGTGCCATGTTGATCGACGTCTGGGGCCGTCCGAAAGGGTTTGGGATTATGACTGGCCTATGCACCCTGGGTAAGACCGACTCACGGGCGGCAGGCAAGACTTTCGTTAACAGTAACAGGGCTCTTCCTGATGGCGATTTGTGCAAACGTGGAAACCTATGTCACCGCTCAGGTAAGTTCCACGCCTTTGTGCTGGTGTGAGGATTTGCTCACTTGAGGATGACTTCCACAGGTTATATATTGGGTGGGATACAACGGAATGGACTACGTCCTCCACATCTTTCTCTCCGATACCACGGACTTGGTCAACCGATCGTTCGTGTATGGCATGGCATCAACACCGTATGTTGTCACCACGTTTGCCGGACCTGCAGCCGCGCAGTCGCTTTATGAAAAAGGAGGTTTGTGGTGGGGCTTTGGAATATTCGTCTTCCTCACTCCACTTGTAACGGCACCCTTCATGTGGTTACTCTGGGCCTCACTCCGCAAGGCGTACGCTGCGGGGCTGATCCGGAAGAATCATAGTCAGAGAACGTGGACACGATCTATCAAGCATTATTTCATTGAGTTCGATAGTAGGTATTCCGCGATGATGTTGATACACGTATAGGCTGACATGAGCAGCGATTGGACTCTCGTTAGTAACAATAGCATTTGTTTTGATGCTCCTGCCATTGACGCCAACCTCACAGCCTAGCAATGGTAATATGTCCTTGCTTGATAGATGGAGATCGCTGGATACTACAGCATCGCTTTCTCTCGGCGTGTTTGTCTTTATGGCATTTGTGCTCTGGGAGCGCTTTTGCGCCCCAGTCTGCTTCCTACCGTTCAGTAGGCTCAAAGATCGAACGTTGCTGGGTGCTTGCTTTCTTGCTGCTTCCCTTTTTGCCAGCTTCTAGTATGCTGTCCTGATGTGCATTTCATATTTAGAGCCCGTGCTGACATGCCATAGCTGCTGGGATCTTTACCTTGCTTCCTATCTCCAGGTTACCTTCAACACCAGCATCCGGGAGACGGGCTACATTTACAACATCTATACCATTGGCACATGCCTTTGGTCGGTACCGCTGGGACTGTAAGTACCACCCCCTTTCGAGCTATCATGCCTCACTGACAACGCAATAGGATCATCCGTAAAGTCGATCGCCTTAAGTGGATCGCTCTAGCCGCCATGCCATTGATCTTTCTCGGGACGGGACTGATGATCCACTTCCGATCACCTCAAAGTCACATCGGATACGTCGTCCTTTGTGAAGTCTTCAAGGCCCTGGCGGGGGGCACCCTGGTAATCTGCCAGCAGATGGCAGCGATGGCCACCGGCGGCCATGAGAGTGTCGCTGTCTCCTTCGCGTTGGTCGGGTTGTTTACCAAACTGGGCGGAGGCATCGGATCTGCGATTTCCGGTGCAATCTGGACAAATACAGTCCCCGTCTATCTGGAAAGGTACCTGCCTCCAGGGAAGAAACACAAGGCGGCCGAGCTCTACGGGTCGATTGAGGACGTCCTCTCGTACCCGATCGGGACTCCAGAGCGGGATGCTACCATCCTGGCGTACGGAGTCGCTCAGCGACGGATGCTGATCGCTGGTCTTTCCATCCTACCGCTTGCTGTTGCTTCTATCCTGATGTGGAGGGACATTCGCTTAAAGAAACTTAATCAGGTCAGGGGTACTGTCTTCTGAGCCTACATGAGACGACGCAGTGGGCACTGTGAATAGACGTATACTGGACAGACTTTGTACATAGAACCTTCTCAATTCGCAATGAAGTACATGACACCAAGTGACTCAGGCTGACGCCGCCATGGCCTTCAGTTTCTCCTGCAAGGCAGCAAAATTTCTTTGCATGGCCTGCGCATTAAACTGCTCCCCGGTCAGCATCGGATACTTCTTCTTCGGTCCCTGGATGAGCGCGTCCTTGCACGGCTGATTAAAATATGCAATGCTGTACCGATCGCCATAGTAATCCCCCGGCTCGGACGGAGCTTTCACACGGTGAAACGTCGATTTGAAGCGATCATCCGACCACGACATGAGCAGGTCCCCAATGTTGCAGACGATCTCACCCGTGCGCGCCTCCACGCGAGTCCATTCATCGCCGATCCCAAACTCCGTCACAGCCTCGCGACCGGGACATATTTCCAGTCCGCTTTGCCCGTCCTTCTGAAACAGCAACGTCAGGAAATCCCAGTCGGCGTGGGCACCTGCGCGATGGTACGTGTTCCCGTCAGGCGTTTCCGGGAGAGCAAAGTAATGCAGCAGTCGCATGGTCGTCTGTTCATTGGGACGAGACACATCATGACACTGGATGAAGTACTCTTCCGGAAAACCGAGCCCGCGTGCAAAACATCGCATCAATTGTTCCGACACTGCCTGCACGCGATGCATGAACGTCAAGGAGGTTGTTCGAAACCCGGCGAGGTGGACATCGTCCAGCCACATGTTGGTCATGTTCTCTCCAAACTGTAACTGGTAGGATTCCTTGGTGTCCGGTTGGCCTGTAGATGGCCTGACTTGGGACTTCTTTTCCCATCCGACGTTGTTGGGATTCCACGGCACGGTGGCCTTGACGTCGTCGGGGAGGTTGAAGAAGCGCTCAGCGGTCGCGAACATGGTCTCGATCTCATCGGTGGAGATACCATGATCGACAATCGTGAAGAAGCCGACATTCTCGGCGGCGAGGACAAGGTCCGCAGTGATCTCGTCGATGCGCTGGTCGAAATCGGCCAGGGAGATTCGGGGTATCGAACGGACAACGTACTTTGTTGCCATCGTGGAGGGCTCAAGTATTCCCAGGGGAGCTTTGCACCCCAGAAGATACTTGTAGCTTTGGCTTTTGAGCCTTCAGAAGCTATCAACTGCCTACGGGTGTGGGGCATGGCCGATGCAAGTCGGTCTGCTTATCAGAAAGCTTCCCCGCATGACGGAGTCCGCCGATGATTATCAGCTGTAGTAATCTCTTGTCGACGGTTACATGTTACTGTGACTGATCTTTTCCACTTGATATCGCTCGCGCCTCGCTTGTTGATTCATGTCTTTACAATGTTTGCCCTTTCCTATGACAACCGAGAGGGATGCTGAAACCCATGCTATCAGTCAGTGCAGGCTGACACTGATCAGCGAAGCTCACAATCTATTCACGAATTTGTCCGGTGACTATCTACAAGTGAGCTTCATGACTTTTATCAGATAACATACATAGCGTATTTGTTGGGACAGCGAGTTCCCCTTCACGCCCAAGGGCCTTTTATACATACATCAAGCCTTCAACCGCCGAGACCATGGATCCCGACCGATGTGAGTGCATCTAGACCGGTATATCTTACTACTATACAAATCTCAAAGCCGAACAGCCATAAATATCACTGCATCTAACTGCCGGGCAGCCAAAAAAACCCCCTGATAGCGTAGTCACAGATCCGTCAACATCGCAGCACCCACGAACGCCAACCAGGCAGGTATGTCCGCCACCAACATGCGAATTCGATGTATTCCCAGCCAGATATCCATCTCCTTACTCGTTTCGGCTTCGGGATCGGTATTGTCCAGGATACGTTGAATCGGTGGCGCGACGAACGGCACAAACGCCAGATGCCCAATAGCTCCAATGAGGCCAGCCCAGTAAAACGTTGTGCGGGACACAGGCAGCGGTCGGAGGCACGGATTCTTCAGAAAGATATTGCATAATGAGGTGCCAATTGTCGTGAGATTGAGGGCCAGCACGAGGCTCACTCCCCTAGGGAATACATAACGCCAGTACGCAGCGAGAATCGAGTCAGCCTTCTTACGAGTCGGCGGCTGCACCAGCCCTGAGTAGTATATGAGTTCGCTGGTAGCAAGAACGAGACTTCCGGTGCTTGTTGCCAGGGGAGCTGCCCGAAGGAGGGGATAAGGATCGATGATCACTCCTGAGGCCATCGTAGACGAGGAAACGTGAGACCCAGTCAATATGAACAGAACAATTGGGCTTGCGAAGGGCTCTCCTATTCCTGTAGCATGGCTTTATAGATCATCCGGGGAGAGCCTTATGGGCCACAATCAAGGGCTAATGGACAGAAAGTGGGCTGATGTGTGCACTAGTGTCTGTCATTCTCCCCTTATTCGTCAATATCGTAATTTCCAACACTTTATAGTCTTGGCCCAACGTATGGCAAACACCGGTTATTGGCGTGCTCGTAAACGCCCCGCTTAAATTTTGTGCTCGAACCGAGTATTATACTGCAGTCACAGCATCATTGGATAGCTAGATAATGAAGTGTGCTGTCGGCTTCGAATATTGATTACCTGGAATTATGTACAGGGCTTCTCTGGCAGATCCAGAATCTCAACCGACTCAGGTTTATCAATTACAGTCCAGCCCACATAGTCCAGTCAATGTCGAGTCCGAGGAGCCATGGGAAAGGTTACTCCGCTGGCTAGAAGTCATCTACATAGTGAGTAATGACGAAACCATAAGAGAAGATGCCTGGAGGGAACCAGGAAAGCGTTCCATTAGAGACTACACGTTCAGACAAATCAGAGCGACCGTAGCTTGCCGTGTCTATACTACTAGTGATGGCAAGTTCTCAAAATGCTGGGCTTTAATATCACCCTATATGTCTGAATAAAACCCTTTCGTCTGTGAGAGGACTATTAACGAGCTGTACGCAGCCCAAACCCAGCTCACTGCAAGTCGGTGTTAGGGACGTTCGATGGGAGCATGCTACAAGAATTCACGTTATATCCTTGGTTAGTATGGTGGTAGCACCTATGGAACACAGTCCTATGAACCATGTGGTACAAAACTGGCAACATTCATTGCTATGATCTGCATAAAAGTATAAGAATTGTCAGTCGTGGAACTTTTTGAAAGGGCGCACTGAGGAGCAATGTTCATGTATCTGAAAGCAACAAGTGTTGGCTGCAAGTGAAACTGATCATTATTACCTACATGCCTCGGCCCAGCCAGCTCCTCAATACTTCTAGCCATTGCTGCTCGCGGAATCACGTCTTCCTGTCAAGGGTGAATCGACCGATTATAACCGGAAGTTGCAGTGGGTGAGCCGGCTGAACAGTATGACTCCATGTAATTGTAGAGTTGTACGCATAATCCAACCCTCTTGCTGCATAACCAGGTCTATCTGGGTGAAACCGGACCAAAGGCACGTCCTCTAATGCAAAGATATGAGAGGCCTTTTCACCCTGGCTATCTCCTATGATTTCTCGTATTTACCGACTTGGCATCGCGCGGATTGGATGTGTCCTCCATCTAGTCCCATTAATCTAGGGGACCTAGGGTCGATCTTTACGATATAGAGAAGAGATCGTCCAGCCTGCCACAACAATCCTCGGTTTTTCCCCCATTTCTTCACGCTCAACCTGAAGATGCTGCAGCTTTAGAGCATCGGTTGCCCTCTCTAAAATAGTTCCGATAACTTATACTTGCCTGCCCTGGCAGAAGGAGTGCCAAGTGGTTCGTGTTGTGGTTAAAAATAACAACCAGGGAGCCACCGGTGCATCCTAAGGCTTCGTATCCAGAGCATGCCCCACAGCTTCACATATCACGAAGGCCCAAAGGCCAATAACAGTTGCCCCTTTTTCATCTCTGACAAGGATCATCTGACATCATTCAACCAACGTTACAATCTAATCTGCACATTCAGTTCTGCAGTGCTCAGCTAGATTGGGATGTGCATCATGATTGCCCGACACGGCAATCACCATGCTTCCTGAATGATGGCCCGAGACATTGCGCCAAGTTCATCCACTCTCGACCACCCTTATATCTAGGGTCTTACACCCACCAGCAGATCCTATCAACACCACGGTCATCATTCGCAGACACAAGACAACCAGCGACCACAATGAAGCTCTCCGCCCTCGCCCTGACCGCTGCCGCCCGCCTGTCCTTGGAGGCTACTGCGGAGACAGTCCAGGGTTTTGATATCTCCAACCATCAAGCTACCGTAGACTTCAAGGCTGCCTATAACGATGGCGCCCGCTTCGTCATGATTAAGGTGTGTCATCATTCGTCTCAACCTTACGATCGCGTTGTTAACATTCGCAGGCAACCGAGGGCATGACCTTCAAGGACCCGCTGTTTAGCTCACATTATCAAGGCGCTACCAAAGCCGGTCTGATTCGGGGAGGCTACCATTTCGCGACTCCCGACTCCTCCTCTGGCGCAAAGCAAGCGAATGAATTCCTCGGGAACGGTGGCGGCTGGTCCAAGGACGGCATCACATTGCCCGGTATGCTCGACATCGAATACAACCCTTACGAAGGCGGCACCTGCTACGGCCTGAGCGCCGAGGGTATGGTCGCCTGGATCAAGGACTTCGTCGATACGTATCAGAAGGCCACTGGTGTCTACCCCATGATCTACACCACCGCCGACTGGTGGAAGACCTGCACTGGAAATGCCAGCGGGTTTGGCAAGACCTGCCCTCTCGTGCTGGCCGCGTATAGCGACTCGGCGCCGTCGACCATCCCTGGCGACTGGGCGACCTACACCATCTGGCAGAACTCCGACAGCTATAAGCATGGTGGTGACTCTGATATCTTTAACGGAGGGTATGAGCAGCTGCAGAAAATCGCTAACGCTGCGTGAATATGGATTGACGACGTGTCTTGCTATATGAAATGGTTTCGTTTGTTTCTTGTGAATGTATCTTTCAACTGTCCAGGCGACGGTCGCTAGTTAATCAATTGACACGCCGTTGGCCCTCTATCGTCTATTCAACATAAGGGATAGATCAAGCGGAGACATGATAAGCATTGTCTTGCTTTACCTCTTGTAACCGTCTTAGCATTATCATTTTTACGTTCCTAAGAACACCTACCCAGCTAGGAGCATCCACTGTCATTGCTGTCTTGCGGAGGTAGCAGGAACCAATGACCAACTCGCATTTACCACTATGACTCCTTCCGACGAGAAAAGTGCTGAAAGAGTAGCCAGAACGACGTCAAATAAATACCATCCTGTCAAACCAAGTTATTGCTTGTAGGTCATGGTTGAGGTAGAGCATCGTGGTGGTGAGGCCAACTCAGCAAGGGGACGAAGCAAGGGGCATGGGCAATTATAGGGATTCATAAATCTGCCAAGTGATGTAAGATCGTTTCGGACTCTCCCTTAAATTTCCTTCTAAAAGCAATAAATTATGGAGACAATGAAAACAGAATTCCCATTTGTCATTGACATGTCCCATAGACACATCCATCTAGCATTATCCAACCAAACACGCGAGACAATCTCGATTTTATAAGCAAGAGCTACTACCATCATACTCGATCGCTATTCGTTTCCCAAATCAACTGATCCACAAGTAAAAGCCTGAATCTCACATAAATGACCATCAACTCTCTTTCCCAGGATGGCAAAACTTGGGCAAATCCCCCTTGCATCCCAGCCAGTCTGAGTCAATTTCCATACGTTGAAAGAGTCCGGTGGCACAAAGATTGTCGGGCTTCCGTGCAGAAACAAACATGGCACTGTATCATTCATGATCGAGATTCTGCTATGCGGTGGGTCCTCCACGGTCTCCCTGCATTGTCGAGCTGGCTTCGAATGCCCGTTTATGTAGCTTCTCCTGAGCATTGGTCCAGGATAAAATGTCCCCGGCGCGTCGGAATAAGCTTAGAATGTTTAGAATCACACCAGAAGGGGTCCAGAATCTCTAGAATATTTTTAGATGTGACATATCTTAGCCTGTTATAATTCCATCGGCTAGTAGGCCAAATCGCTCTTTGCTAGTCAATTAACGCTCCACTACTCATATAGGTAATTGTCTAGATGCTCTACAGAATTGTATAGTAGACAAGGATCTACATTACGTGTAGAGACCTTTTGCAAATACTGTAGTCTGCATAATGCACCGTAGAGGTTCTTTCCCAGCATGTTTTAGTCTCCCCCTTGGTCTCAGTCATGGACGGTTATAGTATTAGTGGGACGAGGATCGCCCGCGGGTGGCGGCACACACACACACACACACACACACACACACACACACCGGGCATATCTGCCAAGAAGACAAACGTCCAAGTGAAAGAGAGGTCTGTGTTTGACCGCCAAGAGTCATACGTGAAAGGAAACCAGGACTCAAAAGCAACCTAAAAATAAATCCAAGAATTAAGCAGACGGGAGAGATTTCGGTGTAACATAGCTTAATGTTGGCTGTCGCCAGAATATATCCTGCCACGCCTGAGGTCATGACCGAAAGCAGTTGCGCTGTTCTTTCAAACCTGCTTCGCTCTTGATATTTGACGTGAGAATAACCGAGATGCGGGGCTATGTTGAACATCAATCTTACATCAGTACAAAGCCCTTGAGCCTAAATCTGCGGAATTAATCCACCACCACAATATGTGCCTCATCGCGCCCTATATTGATCTAGGCAGAAACCAAGACTTATAGTCCATTCCATAGTGTAGAATCTACCAATAACCGACTGACATGACAACTTGCTGCTCTTGTCTGCATTAGTTCCTTTCTCTCGCAGCTCGTTAGGGCTATGATTGGCCTATACCATGGAAACGGGATCAATGATGTCACTTTCGCCGCGCTAGACCTGACAATATCTTCCTAAGTTCGATCTACTACTACAGTAGGATTTAGTTGGGATCTCATGATCCAATATATCCGAAGTAATCCGGCCCAGTCTGCATGTGTCCCATTTTTGGGTGGTCTAATTTCATTTGGGTTGGGGCACACAATATCCATCCCTCAGGGCACTCGTAGATTCACACAACAAAGACCACTGTAGGATAGAATTAAAGTCAGGGCAGGTATGGTAGCATTGTATATGGACCTGAGTGGCGCTGATACTCAGGGGTTCAGGGCCAATGATTCGTGCTTTGTCCATGTGGGCAACGGACTCAAACGTTGGAACGAGGATGGGGTGGCTTGTCCCCGGCATTCACTAAGGTTCAATATCACCCCCACCTGGGCCAGAGACCCAGCTTGAATCCATGGATCATATCACATTGTTTTCATTTCCCCTATAGGCTATGCGATCACACCGCTTAGGAGACACGGGCGAAAGCTGAACGCCGAAAGCAGCCAGCCTGATGCCAAGAATAGGTCTCGGCGGGTCAGGGGATCAATTGCCCAAATGGGAAGTGCGATATCAACCCTCACCCTTCTTCATCTCTCGGTTCTTTCCCCTCGACAGACAAAAATATAGCTGAGAAGAATCAATGATAAGTCAATATCGATGCATCCGACGCCAGATCAGAATGGTACCTCCGACCCATCATGCAAAGATGGCCTAGTTGATCGAGCGATCGCGTACCAAGGGATGACCCTGCGGATCCTCTACTCCACCAACTAATGTGCCAAGAGGGCCCAGTCGACTGCCAATTGTCCGGGCTCGGCTTGTGCCTACCGGCAAAACCCTACTCTAACAATTGCGGGGTTACCTTGTTGGGCGCATGATGCCGTCCCTGCAAGGGTAAAGCGAAGATTCATGGCCGTGTGCGGGGGATGTATTCACTGGGCTATCTGATGGATCCTGTCGGAATAGCGTGCCAGCAATCAATTGGCTGTTCTGGGACTTGGGCTCCAGCGAGGCTTTTGTCAGGATGGCGGGTGCTCCAAGTATAAATACCACGGGCAAATTGCCCGTCCACTGCGCTGCACGGATTGATTCCTGCAGTAGAGAGGAGCCGACACCTTCTAACCAGCAGTAGACATGTACTTGCCTGGCGCCTCCCTTGTGCTTCTATGGGCAACTCATGCCCTAGCTGCGGGCAACGCAGCACTCCATCACAACCAAGCTCGCCAAGCGACGCCGTATGCCGTCAAAGAGCCCCCATTGACCACACCATGGACAGACAAAGCTGGCACCAATCCTTGGCCCGAGTACCCCCGTCCACAGCTCGAGCGATCTGAGTGGAAGAATCTGAACGGAATCTGGCAGTATCAGGACGCACAAAGCCTGGCTGCTCTCGACAGTCCCCCATTTGGACAACCTCTCGCACACGAGGTTCTGGTGCCTTCCTGTCTCGAGAGTGGTCTATCTGGTAAGCCATTCCAGTTGGACTGGGTCAGAGTGTAGACTAACCAACGCATCTCCAGGCATTCAAGGCAAAGATACCTTGTATTCATGGTTTACCACGCAGTTCACAATTCCTCCGTCTTTCAAAGACCAGAACGTTCTCGTGAACTTTGCCGCGGTAGACTATGAGGCAACGGTCTTCGTTAACAGCAAGCAGGCAGGGTTCCACCGCGGAGGCTACTTCCATTTCGCATTTGACATCACAGAGTTCGTGAATCGTGATGGCAACAACGAACTGTACGCGCAGCTCCCGCTGGGAATCTGATCGCAGCTGACGTATGATAGCCTCGTCTTTGTGCATGACCCCACAGATAGTGGCGACAGTGTCATTCCCATCGGCAAGCAACGATTAGTCCCCGCACATATCTTCTATACGCCCTGCAGCGGCATTTGGCAGAGTGTCTGGATCGAAGCTGCTCCTGCGAACCATATCACCCGACTGGATCTTGACGCCGACATGGACGGCAAAGGTACGTAGTGTCTTTCGGTATGCGTCTTCTTGACACTAATCTATGAGCTAGTTACTGTCACTGTGAATACTGCGACAGAAAGCGCGTCGCCGGTCGAGGTCACGGTCTACGACGGCGATGAGGAGGTGGGATCCGGTGAGGGAACGTCAGATGAGACCTTCAACTTCCTTGTTGAGGATGTAAAGCTATGGTCGCCGGACTCCCCGAAATTGTACAACGTGACTGTCACGATGGGCGCAGAGGAAGTCCACAGCTATGTCGGTTTCCGCACGATTGCGAAAGGCAAAGTCGACGGCGTGGTACGTCCGTTGTTGAACGGTGAATTCGTCTTCATGTTCGGGACTCTTGACCAGGGCTACTGGCCTGATGGACTCTATACACCACCCACACGAGAGGCTATGGTATATGACCTCAAGTTCTTGAAGGACCTTGGGTTTAACATGGTTCGGAAACACGTAAGTGAGACGGCATCCGAAGCTCGTGGAAGTTATACTCACATATGAACAGATCAAGGTCGAGCCAGCACTGTTCTACCGCGCGTGCGACGAGCTTGGACTGCTAGTCATCCAGGACATGCCGTCGCCGCGTCCCCTATCCAGAAATGATGCCTGTGCTACCAGCGACATCGTGCCGAATGAGTCGCAACAGGACGAGTTCTCCAGACAGTTGGAGGTCCTCGTGAACCAGTTCAAGAGCTACCCCAGTATAATTGCCTGGGTAAGTAGCTCCGTCGAGTTCGTCCCTCTCCCACTCTAACCCTTCCGTGCAGGTCATCTATAATGAGGGTTGGGGTCAAATCACATCGTACTACCCTGAGTTCGAATTGACAGACCGAGTGAAGGAGCTGGATCCAAGCAGACTGGTCGATTCGACATCAGGCTGGATAGACCATGGCGCAGGTGACTTCAGCGTAAGTGAAGATGACCACGTTAGATCACGAAATGTTAGCTAACGGTCGCAGGACAATCATCACTATGCCAATCCCCAGTGTGGAACCCCATTTTATTCCCTGGCATCCAGCCCCCATGATCCCAGCCGTATTGGTTTCCAAGGAGAATTTGGAGGCATCGGTCACAACGTCTCCATTGAAAAGTGAGTTCACAGGAGGCCACCTGTGGTGATGACATCTGCTAACTGCCCCAGTCTCTGGAACGTCCAAGAGGCCATCAACCATATCAATGAGACGTATGAGATCGATGAGACACTCGAGGCATGGAACTACCGCGGTCACATCCTGTTAACGGAGTTCGAGGACCAGGTCCGCCGGTTCGAATGTAGCGGTGGTGTCTGGACACAGACAACCGACGTTGAAGGCGAGGTGAATGGTCTGATGACGTACGATCGCCGCGTGAAGCGTGTGAATGAGGAGCAGTGGAAGAACGATATTCAGGCACTTTATGATGCGGCTGCTCAACGGGGTGCTCCGTCCAAGATGAAGCTGTAGGGAGAACGTGTTAACGGCCACTTTGTTTCTTTCATTGTCAGGTTTGAATGACCCCGTCTTTTCCTTGCCTATCTTTCAGATGAGTTACATATTTGTGCCCTTGGGCTTAATTCACTTGTACATGGTCTTAATTTAACTGAGAGATGAATGATTTGCATATATATCCTGAAAGGGCAATGAATCCTGTCTGAAAGGAGGGAATCGAGTATTTCTGATACTACAGAAGGATTGCACTGGGCCAAATGGCAAGGCTATGATACATAAATGGGAACGATGTAGATCGGCACTACGGCTGACGCAGCATCCACGCAATCCAGCGATGATCACAGTACGCAGTACAGGACACCATCAGGCTGGTTTTCACTGTGGATCGACTATGCATGGGAGTTCGAAGTTAGCTGCGAGGCTGCATTGGTAAATCATGTTGCAAGGTGCACCTAGCCACGCTGTTTGTAGTACTTGTGAGAATAGGGTTTCCTATCACTCAAACAATATACACTAGCTAAGACCTTGTCTGACCGAGATATAGAGCAGAAATGGTCGTTCGACTATTGTGTAGGTTGACATATTCAGTTGCAAGGATTAATTACTCGTATTACCTTACTAAAAGCATGCACCTTAGTCTGAGCTGACACATAAATGGCTCTCAATAAATGAGGGTAAGTAGCAGGCTATTAACTAAAACCGCATAAATGTGCATTCGAATCATCAGACCTCCCTGTATACTCGCGCTTCCTGACAGCATTATGCGAGAAATTCCCATCTCAACAATGCGCAACCTACGACGCAGTCTGCTGCTCCGCCTGAGCCACTTCGACCTCCCGAGCCGCCGGTTCTTGCTGCACCTTCGACTCGAGACCCTCGACATTACCTCTCTCCAATTGCTGAATCCGCCCTGTCGTCACCCGTGTCTTCCATGCCGGTGTACCAATATATTTGATGCCGTTGGGGTCCTCGAACATGGCCTCGGTTTCCTCCAGCGTCTTACCGGCCGTCTCAGGGAAGAAGAAGTACACATGGATGAGCATGGCGGTGTTGAACACCCCGAAGATGATATACGTCTGCCAGCGAATGTTGGCAAATGCGGGGGGAGTAAAAAGACCCAGCGCCGTGTTGAACGCCCAATTTCCGGACGTTGACAAGGCCACACCTTTACCTCTGAGACGCATGGGGTACAACTCTGGCGGGTAAGTCCAGCTGACGGGGCCCCAGGTTGGGGCATAGGATGCCACGAAGAGGTAGGTACAGGCGATCAATCCTTTAGCTGCCGAGCCGTGTAATCTCATCGACTGCTGGGCGACTCCATCGATACCACCAGGCACGACCTCACCGTGGACAGCCATGATGGCACCATTGGCGTACATGAAGGTGGCCATCAAGACCGCACCGATGAGCAAGGTCGGCCGTCGGCCCCAACGATCCAACCAGATCAGAGCTGGGAGGGTCATGAGGACGTTGATGATGTATTGAATCGAAGAGGCGAGTAGATTTGAATCTCCGGAATAGCCGGCCATCGAGAAGACATATGTAATATAGTACACTGTGCCATGATGTGTTAGTCTTGGTTTTCTTTCCAGAGGTCGAGGCGGGCCACTTACTCATGACGTTCATGCCAGTCAACTGGGACCAGATCTGCATGAAAAGGCCGATGATGGTGCGGTTCAACATTCTCGGCTTGAAGAGGTCGAAGTACGTGACATTCTTGAATTGGCGCTCAAAGTCACACATCTCCCGGATATCCTGCATTTCGAGCGCTACAAATGGGTGGTTCATGTCTCCTTTGCAGTGGACCTTGGCCAGGATAGTTTGACATTCTTCCCAGCGATCCTTTCGGGCCAGCCATCGTGGTGATTCCGGGAGGATTGTCATGCCCAGGCAGAGGAAAATGCCGGGGATCATCTGCAGACCCCAAGGGACTCTCCACGCTGCCGTGCTATATCCAAAGGCGTTCCGTTCACCGATATAGGAACATCCATATGAAATACTTGAGGGACCGGTTAGTCCATGACGGTGCCTGATGTCTCTTCGGTGGACCAGAGCTTACTAGAACATGATAAGAATACCCCATGTGATGGCCCATTGTTGAACACCAACAAACCGACCTCGCTTCGACGGCGGCGAGATTTCACTGATGTACACGGGGACCTGTGCAGATTCGATACCCACACAGAGACCGTTGAAGACGCGGCCCACAATGAGCATGCCAATGTTCTGAGAGGCGCACATGATCGTGGAGCCGATGATCCTTTACACTCAGAATGTCAGTAACATTAATCTATCTTCTTCGTGTGCCTTGCTTCTTTGTTCTCTCCCTCTCTCTCAAGCTGCAGTGTTGACTCACCAAAGAGAGCAACCGGCCATGATTGAAGTCTTTCGGCCAATACGATCAGACAACGGGCCGGAGATCAAGGCACCCAGCCAAGAGCCAGCAGACATCGATGCGGTGATACCTCCTTGAACCAGTGACTCGGGGCCGGAGCAGTTTGGATCGTCGGTGAATGGAGGGCCCTGAGGGCCTTGGTTAAAGTAGCATTTGTAGGAATTTTCATTCAGCTGAGCAGACATGGAAGAGATATCAAAGCCAAAGAGGGCACCGCCAACGACGGCGATGCCCGCAATGACATAGATGTTGCCAACCAACATGATGGTCGACCCAAGGAAGATGTACTCTTACAGCATGCACATGGGAACATCAGGAGAAAGAAACGATCTACATGGCCAAGAGAGCCCTTTAAATAGGAGCAGTTGTATGCGCAACAGTGACAGGCCATGCTCCCCAGAAGAAAGCTGACCCCGCACAGATCTCGCTAGGAATAACTCCCACGTCGGTGACAAGCCCGACGCCGTTTGAGTGGGGGTTATTAGTATGTATCTCCTGACGTGTCCCGTCGGTGCGTATACGCTACGATTGGATCGCTCGTGCCAACGAGGGAAGGAAACCTCCCGGGTAAGCCAAGGAAACATTGAATGATTGGCCCCGCGGATCCGGATCCTGGCTCTGGTCACCTTTATGAGCGCATCACATTGTACCGAAGCCCTTGTGTTAGGGTTACATGAGGCCTGCCTCGCCGGGACATCATCCATGTTTCATAAACACGAGCCGATCCCCCTGTGCTCTTGTTTTGCGTAGCTTTCTCCCAAGATATTTGTAAGTCAACTGCGGTATGCAATCACCAACGAGATTCTCTAATTCAGATGAGTACGCATGTACAGTTCCCCAGATTTCTCCCCCACCTCCACCTCCACATTCTGCCTTCATATGTACCATGCCGGGACTCCACATCCCCTAATAGCAACCACATGTCTCGCTCTCCACTTTCGAAAACTAAGGATTAAAAATAGTGAGAAGGAACCGCAGCTGTTAGCTCTGCTATGAGGTCATTAGCGAGCATCCCACGAATCCCATAGGGTCATCGTCGGGGTATTCAAGCCAATGAATATAACAAGGTTATATCGAAGCCGGAAGGAGCAGAGGAACATTTTTGATTCGCTCTGGGCTGCCGCATGGGCCTCTTCTCCTTTCTCCCCGCAGTTATTGTCCATACTACTCTGATGCTAGGGTTTATAGGGAGACATGGATGGCACGATCCATGGGGTATCAGGTCACCCCGAGTCATTGGTGGAACGACCGTGTTGTTCCTACGGAATGGATTCCAGGCTCAGAGATACAACTGCCAAGAAGGGTGGCTGCCGTTGTGTATACGATGGGTAATTCGGATTATTGACGCCTCTTTGCTTATTTATACGAGATCGCGCTGAAGGTGATTGTTTAAATCAACTTCCATCGTTGCCGGACTTGAAGCCCTAAGTGTGTTGTTACATTGCAAGAGCGAAAGGATGAGATTACACCGGCTCGCTTCACCCAGGACATCGGCACGGCTCTTGACGATCATCTGACAGGTCTGTTGGGCTCGCACTGATTCGAACAAGTATTGAGCCAGTGAAGAAGGACATGGACATTAACCAAGACCGTCTGTTCCCTTGGCGCTCAGACCATCTTCATCCAGTCAGTTCATGACGGTTCTTTTCCGCTGCCGAATTGCCGATGGTTCCTCCTGGTCCACGTGATCTGGCACGTGATCTATATGCTGATGTAATCGGGGAAAGAGCGAAAACAAAAAAAAGTTTGTTTGTTTGTTTCGTTTTCAAATTTCAACACGCGACCAACCTAACCTTAGAAAGTCGACCGCCATGGCTCTTATCAAATATGACAAGTCTGACATGTCCCGCCAAGATTAATACGAGGAATTGCCTATTTGGTCTGCAGAGCAATCACGGACGGAGTGAAAAGCCGGCCGAATGAAGGTCTGTCCAGATCATGGAATGATGACATGGTGGAACTGAAGACGCTTAGCTGCAGGTGAACCCTGAAACACCGCCACCCAGCCATGGTTGGGAGTGGGCAGCAAGACCCTCTGGGCCATGGTTCAGGGATCGAGACTGCACTCAATCGCCATGGCCCTCCGGTGCGCAACCAATCATTGCTCTCCTTACAGCCCCTGGCGGGCATCCTTTGGTTTCCAGCACGCAAATGCGTGGCCACACTGAGGCTGCGTCGCTCGTCGCCAATGAACAAGCTCCACACTGGGTCCCAGAATGTTGAAAATCCTCTTCCGCCATTACCGAGTCGGTCTAGTCCCGAGCCAACAAGGAAATTCTATTCAAGAACAATGCTTTCCCGGTCGGGGAGGAGGGTCGCCGCTCTAACCTGGCCAGATCAAACTTCAACAAGATGATCCTTCATGCCTAGACTTCTTGGCTGCATTCTCCATTCGATTGCTGCTTTTAAGGTCATCTTTCCATGTCTGTCCTCTTCTCTATAGAAACACGGCGTTTCTACGGAATAGATTTACCGATTGTCTGATACCTTTGTATAGTACCTACTACTTGTAGGGGCTTAAGGTCATGGTAAGTGTATACAGTATTCGTGAGACCCGTCGCGACCACCCATGCCGCAATAAATAGCACTACTACTGCAAGGACCTTGCTTCGCACCTATT